TCATGATCTGCGGCAATCCTATTGCCTGATACTGACACTCTCTTCTACTCCCTTCAGATATCCAAGTTTACAACCGCTTTAATGGATCAAATATTTCCAACTCCTCTGCCGACTATGCCCCCTGGTCCTCCGATCCTTTAGTCTTCCAGTCCCCTACAGCCATAAATCACCCGCAAACTTGAAGTAAGGTAAGTGAGAAATGCCCAGAACATGAAAACTCTTCGTCTCATAAACAACCTCAAGGATGACCATCTAACTAAAAAATGGTAATGACAGGATATATATAAAAAACAACAACCACATCCTCCTGTCCTTCCACAGTACTTCTGTGTATACAGGGTCCTCCCAGGTATGTCCCCCTGTGCTTTTAGAAATATGATAACTAATAAAGGAAAGACAAACTTCAGCATTGGATAGCCTCTAACTATCGTTCTCCCATCTCCCCCACTCACCAGCTTCCCCAGTCTCCATCTCTCCCGGTCTCCAGCTTACCCATATTCCCCGGTCTCCAGCTTCCCCCATCCACATCTCCCCCGGTCACCAGCTTCTCCACCTTTCCCAGTTGCCAGCTTCCCCATGTTCCTCGGTTACCAGCTTCCCTGGTCTTTTGCTTCCCTAGTCTCCAGCTTCCCCGGTCCACAGCTTTCCCAGTCCATAGCTTCCGCGGTTCCTAGCTTCCCCAGTCTCCATCGTCCCCAGTTGCCAGCTTTCACAGTGCACAGCTTTCCAGCTTCCCTTATCTACGACTCTCCAGCTCTCCCTGCTCCCATCCTCTCCGACCCACAGCTCCCAATCCTCCCTGACCCACAGCTCCCAACCCTCCTCGGTCCAAAGCTCCCACTCCTCTCCAGTCCCCTGCTCTCCCGGCTCTTCATCTTTCCTACTCTATAGCTACTGTGATCTCTCACTCTGTGTCCTCAAGATGAGAGTGGTGTTTGGCCATAGCTGTGTTGGGAAAGGGATGAAGGAAACTCCAGGAGTGTTTAATACTTGGTGAAAAGGCCGTTGGCATCAATAACGGCATGACATCTAGCAGGCATACTTTCAATAAGCTCTAGGAACTCGTGCTCTCCCACATTATTCCATGCGGTCTTGACAGCTACTCTCAATCTGTCATACGACATAGTCTCTGGATAGTTATCTTGAAGATAATTCTTGATGGTATGCCATACTTTTTCGATAGGGTTTAAGTCAGGTGAGAATGCCGGCCAGAAAATAACCTTGATTCCTCTCTCTCTTAACTCCAGAGAGGTATTGCCTGCTGAATGTCCTGGTGCCCCATCCTGCATGAGTCTCAAATCTATCCCATCTTGATGACAGAGCTCAATGTACCCATGAATAACAGGTACTGTATGTGTGCAGTAGGTTTCTGAATTGATCGGACCCCAATCCTTTTCCCAAAATATTCTGGGACCTTGCGTGCTACCATGAAAACATCCCCAGAACATCCATCCTTTCTTTCTTTGATGTCTTTCAACAATACAAGTAGTGTCCCACTCTTCTCCTGCTCTCCGTGTAACCCAAGTGCGTGTATGCCTTCCACCCGTAATCCATGTTTCGTCGGTCCACAGTATGGAATTCCACTCTGCCTGTGTCCAGTGAAGATGCTCCTGAGCCCAGTTGAGTCTTATTACATGGTTTCGTTCAGAGATTGGTGGTTTTCTCATCGCCAGCCGTCGGTGAAACCCCTCCTTAATGAGTGCTGCCCGTATTGCTTTCTTTCCTACCCCCAAATCCAACTCCTCAGCCAATTGTTGAAAAGAAAGCCGTCTATTCCTGGCTGACATACACACATATCCGATAAGGTCTTCAATCTGTGCTTGGGTAAGAGTAGGAGGGTGACCTGGTTTCTTGGTTGGTGTTGCTGGCGATGTGCATGCATACTGAATCTGGTGTTGGGAAAAGCCTGTTTTTTCCTGAATTTGCTTATACCTCCAGCCTATTGAGCATAGGAGCTGGCAGTCACGTCTTTGGTCCCGGGTCAAGTGCGGCATATTGGTTGATAATTAATTGTGAAGTATCATACGAAAAAAATTACTCTCGTGAAAAACCTTTCATCCCCCATTCCAAGACTTCAACCCACCCTCCTTCTACTTACAGTTTACCACTATAATCCCTGCCCGCATAACACCCCTGCTAGCAGAATATTCAAAACTTAGGGGCTGTACCTTCGTAGTGCTTTTCCGGAGGGAATAATTTGGCTTGGGGAGCTAGATCTCATTAAGGCGCTGTTCCGCTTAGATCTGAGATAAGATAGTGTATCTACACGGTGACCCGAGGAAACGCATGACTTGCCATAAATAGTAGTAGTGTGTGGTTAAAACTACGAGTACTTGTACTAATTATCGGTTGGGTGTGAGGTTGCGGTGGCTGGTTCGTCGGCTCGATATCATCGAACATGCCGGTACTGTACTCGTATCGGGCCGCCAGCCGTTTCGTTCTCCCAAGTTCAACATCCCGTATGGTATGGGACTCAGAATCCCACTTTCCGCCCCCCCTCTCGTATCACCCCTCAGTCTGCCGACACACTTGTCGTGGTCAAGCTGCCATATGTACCCTTTTGGCAAGTCAAGGGTCTCGAGGCATTCGCGGAATTCCTTCTCTATACCACCGATACCGTAGGCTCAAGTTGGCTGCATATCAGAAACGACCACTCATTGGGGAATGTTCACGGGATGGTTCCTGCGTCCGAGTGTGCCTGCTCCACACCTCGATATGAGCGCTTCGCCGAGAGAGTGTGTATACAACGATCGCGGGGAAGCTGCCACGGCATAGTACAGTACCGGTACTCCTACTGGATTAGTTGTCTTGCGGAACAAGACTTACCTGGATGAGATTAGGTGGTTTTACTAGCCCACGGCAGCTGGGGGGGGGGGGCGAAACTTGTAAATCTTCCGGCACGAATAGACTACTATATATACCGACTTCTGGTTTGAAGCGGGGGGTAAGGTACTGGTACTACTCTAATTTCCTGACGCTTGTGAACACAGCTGCTATTGCAAATGGGTAAAAATTTGCCCGGAACCTCAAGATCCCGGTGGTACAGTATGCAATAGCAGTCATGTTCACAAAGATCAGGGAATTACGAGTATCAGTAGTGAGGTATGAGGCGGTTGGTATGGACTATGTTATGATAGTATGATACAATACAGGTACTAGTACTGTACAGTACAGCCATCCTTGGCAGGTTGGAGGTGCGCAGTGCGCCCCGCCGGTGTCTAGTTTGGAGTGCCTACCGGTTAGCGATATCCCATGGAGCCCTAGACTGCCTTGGAGACTCCACTCCCTGCTAATTTAACCCTCCGCTTGGAGCCACGAATGGACGAGAGCCTAAAACGGAAATTTGAGGCTTTCGTCCAATTGTGTGATCAGATAACTAGGATTTAATCTTCCCGTATAACGTTACAAGTATCACATTCGATGACACCATTCGGGTATCACGAGTTCACCACAGGAGGTTGCACCTTCGGCAGTGAATTCCCCCGCACCTACATATATACCCGCATGGCTCGGTAAGGCGTTGTTTATCGATATGTTGGTGGGAGTAGTCTGGGGTGGATTGTAGCCTCGTCGGACTAAGCCATTCCAGCAGCTATTATATATTCGCGTCTATATGACCGCGCTAACTGAAATACATATATATATATATATTGTGTGCGACGTTTATGAGGACAGTTATTGCATACTGACAAATCCAGCCTTTTTTGCCTAGAACCTAGTGTCATGCAATACCGGCAGGGCAGTGGTCGTGTTCATAGGCGTCGATCAGTTACCGTACTAGTACTATACTATGCTCGAGTACGAGTACCGGTACTTGAGTGGAGAATATCCCCGGATGGAAGGTTGCCTGACGGGCAATGTTACTCGTGTACGGTACTTGTAGTGAGCTATACTGTACTCGAGTGACGTACCGGTACTTGTACGAGTAGTATCAACGCAACTAGATGCCCATTCTGGCAATGTTTTTCCGTTCCTGCGTTTACAGCTCCCGAGTTGGGATCCTGGGACCATTTTTCCTCCTTTCGGTCGAACATTGCAAATCACAAAACACCCAAATGCGGTACATGACCTTGCCAAATACGGTACGAGTACTGTACTAGTACATTACACAGTCCCCAAAGATTGGCTCGTACTTGTACCCTCACAAGGCTCGATGATCACTAGGATTTGACTAATTAGTGGTGAGTGTGTATTTGGGTGGAGTGTGTGTTTATATGTTCCAAAATTGCCAGGGTTCAAGTGTCTCGGAGAACTGGAAAGTTGGCGTCGGTCGGTTCTACCTTTGTGGACGTGTGCAGGGTTTGGGGAGGGGTATCGTCGATACTTTGTTGCGCTGGGCTATTCATCAAGGCTGATACGGGTATGGTGATGTGACAAGTTACCATATTCGAGTATCATGGATGCTATCCTGCACGGCGCCGGTACCTTAATTCACAACTTGACTTGCTCATATCGCAAATTCGCCATTGGTAGTAGCCCTTCCCCCATATCTAATCATACTTCGTCCCGGGCAAGAAGTATCCGGAAACAGGGACCCCCAAAACATGTGGGAAAACATCCATGCGCAATATAAAGTCACGGCTCGTATTTTCGGATACTTTTTGCCTGGGATGAATACTGGTAGTCCCATGAGTCAGATCCTTACGGTGAGGAAGGGAGACCACTTAGCAATGGCCCATAGCGACCTCCATGCAAGGACTGCTGGACTGGGTGAACTGGAATAGCAGGGTCCTTTTACCAAGTTTTCCCTCTTTTTCAAGAAAGCTCCGCTCCGTCCACCCCACCTCATCACATGGCACTGCACAGCCTACACCAATTGTGATATTTCTGTAGTGCAGATTAGTGTTCCCCTTTCCGGGAGTGCTCCCCGTGGAAGCACTTCGATTGGGTTCCGATTATAAACTGCTCTTGCTAGATAGTGAGGAAGGCTGGATAAACGGTGTTTTATATAAATAATATATAAAGGACTCTCACGGTCCACGCTCTGTCCTGTCCTATCCCCAGTACCCCACGGCCCACACAATACGAGGGGACTCATTCCCTGGAATAAAATGACCAAATACACCTTTCTCTCGATTCTGCTGACCGCAGCTACTTCAATTATCGCTTCACCCGCCCCTCATCCACTTCACTTAGAAGTCCGCACAGCAATCGATACGGGAGCCGCCAATGTCCACCTAATCCGTAGATCTCTTGTGAGCGAAGGGGTTGTATACACATACGGATCCTGTGCTTCTTTTTCCTCCCAGGACTCTCACCACTTTGTCTCGAGCACGCCCCTTGGTGTTGTTGCTGATCGGTTGCTGTGGAGAGTTCCTGAGGATGCCCCTCCTGGTGGTTGTATTTCAGCATGGGGGATGAATGGCGGGAGCTTGCTCGGACGGAGCCTTCCGTTGGACGTACGGCCAGGGCTTAAGAAGAGGAACCTTGAAAGGAGGCAGGTTAATCCTGTTAAGATGGATAATAGTAGTGGGATTGATACAAGTGGGCCATGGTTCGATGGGGTCAAGTTGTTGAAGGATAAGGAGGTTCCGCCGATTGTTATTGAGGAGTTGAAGAAGAAGAGTGAGTCGCCTTGATTCCCCTTCCGAACGATATGCTGATATGGAGGCTGTAGAAATTGGTATCCTCGGCGCTGGAATCTCGGGGCTTATGACTGGTGTAGGTTAAGCTTCTTTGCTACCATATATCACTTACCAACGTTTGTAGTTACTATTGGATTCCCAAGGGTTTCATAATTGGGAGATTACAGAGGCATCCCAGAGACTTGGAGGGTATGTGCCTGGCATACTGAGCCAAAATTATTATTATTTTGCTTCCCGGGGACACCGTCGCTGACATTATCTAGCCGTATACACACTGAGTACTTTGCCGGAGGTCCAACTACTGATGATTATCAATACCAAGGTGAGAGGTCCGCGTGCTGAGACTCTAGATTATAAGATTTCTGACAATTTATCAGAGATGGGGCCGATGCGATGTATGGACTCCGGTATCCCCGTAATCCAATCAGCTTGTCGCTAACATCCCCACAGTCCCTCGCTCGATCAAATATGCCGGAACGAATGAAACCCTAATCATCCGTGACCACCACATCGTTTTCCAATTGGCAGAATACCTCAACAACATGAACAAAGGTGATGCGAACCTCGTTGTAAAATTCATTACTTGGATTCAGACAAACCCGAATACTCGTTCCTACTTCCAGGGCATCAGGAAGCCAGATGGATCTGTGCCTACTTTGGCAGAAACACAAGCCGATCCTTCACTCAACCCTGCCCCCATAACTGACCCTAGTTTTAAGGAAGTTGAGGACCAATTGTTCAACTTGTACATGACGAAGGAAAAGATGGCCGAGTTAGCGAACAATGTTTATAGGGCTCATAAGAAGGCTATTGGTACGATGGCCAGCCTTTCTGAATTGGGGATGTGGAACTGATCTTTCTGTGCATCTAGATGAAGGGTGGGACGATTTTTCAGAATTCGAGTATATTCATACTCTCCTTGGGTAGCCTCCCCTCTGGGCCATTTTGTTTTGAAACAAGGTCTGAAATGGTCGCTAACCAAGCATCAGAGCATCGCTTAATATCACAGACTTGGCCATTCCCTTCCCAGAATCTTTTGCCGATTCATTCTGGGGTGATTAGTAAGCAACTATATGTCCCTATAGTACCGTAATACAGTCCTGGGGTTAACTCAAGTGTTAGTATGGATAACGTTTACTTCTCTGCTACTGACTGGGTTACCATTGATCATGGTAAGAATGATTCGGATATCTTTAGGAACAAACGCGGAGATTCTGACCAGTTTGCTATGTCCAGGCCTTAATCGTCTTCCACTTGCATTCGAGCCCATTGTAAAGGATAGAGTCCATTTTGGTCGAAGGGTTGATAAGATCAGCTATTCGAAATCAGGGAACAAGGTCAAATTCTCTTGGAGAAAGGATTTCCGTGATAGAGACTACCTGAATGCGGAATATGATTACGCTTTGGTCGCAGCTCCGTTTTCAATTGTTAGGAAATTGAGAACTCCAGGTTTTATACCCCCTCCGCCGTTGTTGCCAAACCATTCCTAACCATCAGCAGCGTTCAGCAGTGTCCTCGGAAGAGCTATCGGCAGATTGGGCTACACCAACGCTTGTAAGATAGCAGTGCAGTTCAAGACTCGATTCTGGGAACACCTGGACCCACCAATCTTTGGTGGTTGTACGACCACCGATATCCCGCTCATCCAAAGATACTGCTATCCATCGTACAACCTGAACGGTACTGGCCCGGGAGTGCTTCTCGCTTCGTACAACTTCGGGGGTGACGCAGACCGGTCTGTCAGCTTCACAGACGATGAGCACATCGAGCACGTGATGGCCGCTATGGAGGAGATTCATGGCCCTGTTGTAAGGCAGCAGTTTATGAGGTAGGTTCGCTCATTGGGCTGGATGTGCGCCGTCACCATCCGCTGAACCTTATTAGGGCTGAACGCAAATGCTGGCTTCTTGATGGGCTTGAAGCGGGCTCGTGGGCTGAGCCACTTATTGGGCAGCATAAGTTGTATATCCCTTCGTATTTCAATGTAGAGAATAACGTACGTTCCCCCAGCACATGCTCTTTTTCAACTACAGGTGTTAATTTTACTAGATCATTTTTATTGGGGAACATACCTCGTATACCCATGCTTGGATTGCTTCAGCACTAGAGTCTGCCGTTCGAGGAACAGTCCAATTGCTCTTGGAGTGGGGTCTCGTCGACGAGGCGAAGAATATTACGGAGGCGTGGATGGGGAGATGGTGAGCCCCAAACCCTCGAAAGCATTGAATAGTGCACTAACGAACCCTAGGATCACGGTCTAAAACCCGGAAAGTGTTTTTGACAATGATGTTAATGGGAGCGTGCGTTGTGCGCTGTTGGGGTGGGTTATGAACCGTCTTTTTTTGGTATTCTCATAATTTATCACTTGCCGGGAGTACGGTGTTTAGCAAATAATCAAAGAGTTGGATAAGTTAAGCTAGAGTGAATATTCATGGTGGCCATCACACATTATCACCCATTTTCATAGTCGCAGCAGCTCGGGTCTACTGTATCTGCTCGCAATATCATAGTTTATTCCAGAGAAATCATCCCCCCCCAAAAAAAACCGGACCGCTAGTCCCTAAACCCCCTCACAGGTTCGCATCCACCCTCTAACTCTCCCACAACTTCAACTTCTTGTCAAATGAAATCTTCCACCCCCCTTGCTCCTTCCGCTGAATCAAGTCCGAATACACCTGCGCGACGACCGGTCCATCAATCCCTTCATATACCCCCCCCGTCCTCTCATCCACCTGCATGGTAAAATAAAACCTCTTCCCACTCGCGCCATACGTGGCAACAAGACTCTCCACGAGCGTAGCGCTCGCACTCTTCCCCATAGCTAGACTCACAAAATTCGGCATGTTAATCCACGGCAGCGGGTTCCCCGTATAAATCAGGACCCTGGGTCCATCGTCATCCTTCCCCAACCCCTCCCACCCCTCCACCGCCGCCTGCGCCGCCGCGTACAGCGAAACCGTGTTCACGGCGAGCTCCTTGGAGACCGCTTCGGTGGATATATCGGCGAGCCAGTTGTCCTCGTTCTGCGGGAAGGTGGCGGCCCAAGCATTGTACACTATCACGTTGGGGAAACCGCCTAGGGCGGCGGCCGCGGAGGCGATGTGGGATTTCAAGTCCGTAGAGGCGGTCAGGTCCGCGGTTATGTGGTGGTTGGAGGGGGTGCCGGCGGGGGCGGAGCGGGAGAGCGTGGCAACGGCGTAGCCCTCCGATTGGAGTTTTTGGGTTAGGCTAGCGCCGATGCCGCTGCCCGAGCCGAGGATTAGCGCTCTTAGGGTCATTTTTTGTTTGTTTGGTTCGGTTGTGGTAATGGTTTTCGTATGATGTGATAGTGGATTGAACCGGACTTGGTTCTGAGGAATTGATTTTCACGAAGAGGCATTAGGCCCTATTTATGTATTCGATCCTGCCACTACTATTACCACTAATACTACTACTACTACTACTCGAGCACTAAAAAACAAATAGAACACTTACTCGAGTAGAGCTTTCTCTCTTTCTCTCTTCCCTTCCCTCTTCCTTTCCCGTCCACTCGCTTACCGGTACTCGCCCCCCCCGATGTGGGACCTACCCGGAATACCGAGTAGGCCCAGCATATGGTACCATCACTCATCACGGACTCCGTGCGTATTACCAATCCCTCCTCCACTCGGGATATCATCACTTTGGTTGTTGATAACAGCAGCCCAATTACAGCTTTGTCATCACACGGTTGGGACGGAGTGCCGGTACCGCACCGCAGCGACAACGGGGTTACCGGTGGTAGACTAGGGATTAAGCTTTACCGGGGAGGGAGGGGGCTGCTGTGGGAACTACGCCGCGTTCGTCGATAGAGTACAGTAATTGGATGCCGGTATCGTGTTGGTTGATTATAAATACAAACGTGCGATGGCTTCAGAGTTTTTGGTCGGATTTGTAAGGGAATGTGGGGACGGTGGGACCTGCCCAGTGAAACGTCATGCCGTGGAAGTATGTACCGGTAGGCATCGTATTGGTTGGATCGCGGTAATGATATGGGATGTTCCGGTTGTCCTCGTCACCACGAGTACGGTAGTCCTGGAGGAGCACAGGCAAAGTGGGTACGATACTATAAAAGCCGCCGCGCTAGGATTGTAATAGCCCGGGTGATATCTTGTGATTCTGCTAGCGGGTTTGTATGTTTGACGTTATTCAGGTATCGTGTCTCTATCGCATAGAATCACAATTTTGGAGGACCAGAAGAGAGAGTGAGAGAAGCAATTTTCCCTAGGGTTATATGACACCCTATCAGAAGGTTCCCACCCCCATTATCATATCATACCATACCTGCCGTCACGGTAGACACGAAATCCATGATGCGAAAATTTACCGTATGAAATACAATCACGCCCGCGAGCCTCCCCCCCCGCCCCCCCTTCAAGCCCTACCCCTCCATAGCCCCAACCGCAAACCTGAAAAAATACTGGTCGAAAACAGTCGCTGCTCGTAATAGTCTAATAAGGGCAGCCATTTATTCCCGGTAGACAATAGTAAACCCCCAATCAACCGGTCGGTTCTTTTCGCCCACACCTCACTTAAAAGCTGCTACACAAGCTTTCTTGACTCCACCAAAATTACAACAGCCAGCAGCAACCTTAGGAGCCCCGCAATGTCACAGCAACGAGCGGCAGTTATAGAAGACTCTCCCGGGGGTGAGGGAATCCCGCTGGCTGACCCACCACCACCGCCAGCAAGGAAGAGAGTCTTTTTCCTAATTCAAGTCGATAACCTCAAAGTCGGTATGGTTGTGTTTGAGCTGTATAACGATCAGGTTCCTATCACTTGCGAAAAGTATTGTTCACCCCCTCCGCAAAAGCTGGTTTGTGCACTTTTCTAATCATGCCTCTTTTTTCTCAAGTTTTCGGGTTTTGTGCACGGGAATGGCTGGGGAGGTCAGAAATTCACATGGCACCGTTAATAGACTTCATTACCGTGGGACTAGGATTCACTGCATTATCAAGGATTTCATAGTTCAAGGTGGAGATATTACCAATGGGGATGGTTCCGGAGGTGCGAGTATATACGCGAACGGCACCGAGCCATTTGGTTCTGAAGGGTTCGACCAAGAAAACCTGGGGTGGAGGCAGATCGACTCGGCGGGGTTGCTGTGCATGGCTAACCGTGGAGGGAATAGGAGCAACACAAGCCAGTACGCACCCTTCCTCTCTCCCAGACTAAATTGCTACCACTGACAAATACAGATTCTTTATAACCCTCTCACCAGCTCATTACCTCACCCACCGATACACCGTCTTCGGCCACGTAATAAACGGGATGGATATTATCGAGGAAATCGGAAAGATGCGGGTCGGGTACAATGACTATCCGAACGCTAAGATCGAGATAGTAGAGTCTGGGGAACTCACCCCGTCGGGTCAAGTAAGGGTGTTGTCACCCCCCGCCCCCATCACATGTAGGCCCCTTCAAAACACCCCAGCTATGCCACCACCCCATGCGAAGCCCGCGAAGAACAAAGATGCCCGTGTCCCAGGGCATAAGAGGACTCATAGCAAGCAGGCCACGATGCTAGAGGCTCAGCAGGAGGCGGCGGCAGAGGCAGCGGGGAGAGGGGGCGTGGATGAGAATAGGAATACCAAGAGGAGGGTTGTGATGCTCGAGCCGGGGGATGACGATTATGACATGAGGGTGGGCGGGCCGTCCACCCAATCTTTTGCAAGGAAATATCATAGTCCCGGCTGCTCCCCTCGTGAAGCCCCCACGCCCGCCGGGGCCCGGAGGCACGGGCCCAGAAGTCCACCGTTGGTCAAAAGTCATAGGGGCCATAGAAGGGGCCATCTCTACCCAAGAGACCCTAATGAGGGAGAATGCACTAGCGATGAAGAGGAGGGCAGAGAAATACCTAAGCATCACGGACACAACACCTACAACCGCCGCGACAGGTACGACAGTAGAACACCCTCTCAGAAGTATCGTAATGGGCATCTGGGCAGAAGGCTTATCCAGCCGCATTGAGTTACCGGTAGAAGATGTTTTAGTTATAAGATGTGTAGGTGTACCGGTAGTGCAACAGCCTGGTCTATGAGACGACTTTTTTTATACCTCGCTTCCTACCACTCCGGGCGTAGACCACTGCGATCTATCATTTAGTATTCTCGTTGCTGCTGATAGCAGTACCTTCACGTCCTACTCGTATGATATGTATCACTACTTTCCCAAGCATGTACTGTACCTAAATAAAAATATTCCCATCCTTATGTTTTCTAGTCGTTATTCGGTGAGACTGCGGCGGTCGTGAAGACTAGCACTTAAGCTACCGGTACCGATAGTATCCATATTATATCTGAGACATGCCACAAACGATGGGGAATTCGGGTCTCAGCTGGTAGGGATACTGCACCGCACAATTCCGGTGGTGATATGAGTGAGTTACAGTTACTTTTATTGGCAATAACTGCAGAAACAATGATAAATAATACCCTGATTGTACGACAATTGCCCGTAATATCCCAAGACTAGAGAGGGAATCCTGCGCCATGGGATGTGTTCATTGTTCCTGGGTTTGTCACCGCACTGGGTAGATGATTGAATTGAAGCTTGCGTCTGCTAATAATGGATACTTCTTCGGTTTACTATAGCTCAGGGCACAGTACCGGTATCAGCACATATTAAAATGGGTATACTGGCAATTAATTATTCTATCGCTTTTTCCTCTCGTAATATTATCATGCTTATACAAATTCACTAAACTCTCTTTCTCCTGAACTCTTCTTACAGTGGGGTTGGAGGCAAGTGTTCTAGTCCTTTGCCCTCGGACGGAGGCGGTCCCCCCGATTTGAAAACTCTTGGCGTTTCAATTCAGCCCAACCCGCGCTTGACCTACCGGCACTTGTGCGCTGCCACGGTCTAACTTATTCCTTTTCCTTGTTCTCTCTCCTTTAGTCTCTCTCTTTCACCCCGTTCGACAACCATCCACCAACATCCATTGCCATTACGATCCACGACTATTGCCCATCAAATCCATCAGTTCTGCGGGTTCAGTCCATCTTTTACGCAGACCCATTGTACAGGTAAGCTTGCCTCTCTTGGAAGTTTGGGGAAGAGAGAAAATTTTGTGGGGCGGGGTGGCATGTTTCAACTGACATCACGCGTCAATCGCATCCTATTTCATCGCAGCCCCCGAATTTTCCTATCAACTTCACATTCGCTCATAACTCTCCCTCTCTCTCAACTTCGTCGCCCAACATCAATATTCTCTGCGTTTCCCTGTCCGCTAACCAGGATCAGATTACGATTTCTCTTTTTTTCCTCTTTCCCTTTACTTGCCAAGGATCTTTTCTTTTCTCTTTTTCCTTTCTTTCCTTGATTGTTGGCCATGGCAGAGCATAATAACTCGGACGATGCTGATGCCGCGTTTCTCAACGCGCTCAAAGCCGAGCAGGAGATGGCTGAAGCCGGGCAGAAAGCCAGCGAGCTCGGAGGGGAATCTGAGCTGATTGGCAATGAGCCAGAAGAGGGAGCAGAAAAAGAAGCTACATTTAGGGAACTATCTGATCAAGTTGAAAAAGACAATCATTTACAAATTAACGAGTCGAAAGACACTTCGACTGCTGCTTCTGGTGCTACATCCCTCCTCCCAGGTGTTGCTGTTGCCAGTCCTGACGGTGGCCCCTCGAGCGTCAACGGCTCGGCAATGGGTGATCCTGCCGCCCAACCCCTCCTGAATGCAAACATGGGTGCTGGCCCAAGCACGCAAGAGTCGTCCGCAATTTCCTCCCCTTCTGTTACACCCGTTGGTGCGCTTGTTCCTGATGAGAATAATAATGATTCTGCTCCGCACACACTATCTGTTACCACTCCCACTGCTGGTTCTAATAATAATGATTCCCTTCCTGTGTCGTCTACTACTCCTGTCAATGCCCCTTCTACTGCTGTACCTGTTCAAAGCCCGGTTCAAAAGGGGAATGCGAACGTTGCCAATAAGAGGAAGAGGCTCCCACAGGACATTGTAGGACAGCTTGAGGATAGGATTGCAGAGGATCCTAGAGGAGACATTGACGCCTGGTTGGCTTTAATTGAAGAACATAGGAAAAAGGGCAAATTTGACGATGTTAGAGCCGTTTATGAGAGGTTCTTTGTAGTATTTCCAGCTGCGGTAGGTGTTTCCGCTATGCCCACTTTATCTTTCGTACATCCATGTACCGGTGATTTATGGAAGTTTGTGATATGCGAAATCGCGTGCTAACGTTATCCCTTATTTTAATACAGGCCGACCAATGGATCTCTTACGTCAAGATGGAACTAGCGAACAACGAGTTGCAACATGTTGAGCGCATTTTCCAGAGATCTTTGTTTAATGTCCCCAATGTTGAACTTTGGTCCATGTACTTGGATTATATCCGCCGCCGGAATAATCTGACCACAGACACCGGAGGGAAAGCTCGCGCGGTTGTTAACCAATCCTATGAATTTGTATTGAACAATGTCGGATGTGACAGGGAGGCCGGGAGGATTTGGACTGAATACATACAGTTTGTGAAGAGTGCACCCGGAAATGTAGGTGGCAGTGGCTGGCAAGACCAACAGAAGATGGACTCCTTGCGAAAGGTATATCAGAAGGCCGTCACCATGCCCGTTCAAGGCGTTGAGCAGTTGTGGAGGGAGTATGACCAGTTCGAACAAGGTTTGAACAAGCTGACGGTATTTGCGTCCTCGCCCCCTAGAAGCAATCCGATTGCCAGTGCGCTAATGTGGAGGGTTCGTAAATGGTACAGGCGAGAAAATTTCTTCAAGAACGGTCCCCAATGTTTATGACTGCCAGAGGTTGTCTTATCGAGCTATCCAACATCACCAAGGGTCTTAGGCGTGATACATTGTCGCGTTTGCCGCCTGCGCCGGGATATGAAGGTTACGAGGATTACACCAGGCAGGTTGAGCTATGGAAGAAGTGGATCCAGTGGGAAAAGGGCGATCCCCTCGTTCTTGCCAAAGAGGATCCCGCAAGTTTGAGTACAAGGATTATATATGTCTTTAAACAAGCTCTTATGGCTTTGAGGTTTTGGCCAGAAATCTGGTTCGATGCAGCAGAGTGGTGCTTCGCAAATGGAATGGATGACCAAGGAGTAGATTTCCTCAATCAGGGAATGGTTGCAAACCCAGAGAGTTGTCTTTTACATTTCAAGTACGCTGAGAGATTGGAAGCAACCACCATCATTGAAGGTGGGGAGGAGGCGCTTATACGAAAGGGCCAACTGGTTAGAAAACCTTACGATGATTTACTCAACATGCTATACGAGCAGGTTCAGAAAATTCAGCGAAAGGAGAAGGAAGAGCTTGCCCGAATTGAAGACGCCTTCGAACTAACCAACCCTCGTAATGCGGAGGATGACGACGAAGACGATGACCCTACTACGGCTGCGACTAGGGCGGCCAAGGATGCCCAAGTTGCGACATTGAGGGAGGGTACAAAGGCGCAGCTTCAGGTAATGACAAAGACTATTTCGGCTGTATGGATCAACTTGATGCGTGCGATGCGACGTGTTCAAGGCCATGGCAAAGTGAATGAGGCACTAGGTGGAAGTCGTCAGATATTTGCGGACGCAAGGAGGAGGGGCAAGATCAATAGCGATGTGTATGTAGCAAGTGCACTGATTGAATACCACTGCTACAAAGATCCTGCTGCTCTGAAAATCTTTGAGAGGGGGATGAGGCTTTTTCCCGAAGATGAGAATTTTGCGTTGGAGTACTTGAAGCACTTGGTCGCTATTAACGATATTACTAGTGAGTTCCAGCCCGTCCGTGGATGTTAAGTGTTCCCTCTCCTAACCGTTCCTAGATGCAAGAGCTGTGTTTGAGACTTTTGTCGGCAGAGTGACAGCTGAAAAGGCTCGAAAGGTGTACGAATTCTTTTACGACTACGAAGCTCACTACGGGGAGCTTGGCCAGGTTTATAAGATGGAGAAACGCATGAGTGAACTCTATCCTACTGGTTTGTGAAATTTCCCATCACAACTCGCGAGGCTATCACTGACCCGTACTCTAGATCCATACATTTCTCGATTCTCGAGCAGATATGCCTATAGAGCCGTTGATCCCTGCTCGTTCCTTGCCGTTGTCTCCCCAGCACAACAATGCAAACCTAAATCGCAAGCCATATCTCCGCCGGTACCTGACCACCTTCCCCGAGACGGCCGCGATTACCGGGACCACCCTCAGCCTCCTCCGACTGCGCCAGCCAACGGCCGAACGGTTTCACCAAAGCGTCCCGCGAATGAGGAACTCTCAGACTCTTCTGAGCACCAAAGGCCCAGAAAGCTCCATCGACCCGACTCTCCATTGAAGGGTGCCGCAGGCCGAAGGCTAGATCAGCAGAAACGTGCCCAGCAGCAACAGCAACAGATGATGCAGAGCCGCGACCGCAATATCCCGGATCGGGACGATGGTATGCACAGGGGAGGGCCCGGACGCGGAGGGTATCAGCAGAATCAAAGGCAGCCTCAACAGCATCAACCCCTGCCGATGCAAATGCATCAACCGCCTGCCCCAACCCAACTCCCCGATCTTATTATGTATCTCTTGAGTATTCTACCAGGCGCAGACAAGTACCAAGCAGCAAGATTTAGACCAGAAGCCATGGTTGGGCTTCTGGGAAATATTAATTTGCCTAGGGATGTGCAGGCGAATAATCGTGAGTCTGCCAGTATTCATCGTTCCGTCCCGCAGGGTCCGAGACGACAGTATTAACTACAATAGAACCATATTCGTATTCGAGATAAATCTTCCTTTTTTGTTTTATTTCTTCTTTGCTACATGGTTTGTGGGTTGTGCTGGTGGCGGCGGTGGTGGTTGGATGTGGGGGAGCAGGAAGTGGGGTGGGGATATTATGTACTTGGGAGGTTGTAATGATATATGATGCCTGCACATGAGCGCAAAAAGTGGGAAACCCCTCTTTCTTTCCAAACGAAAAAAAAAGGAAAAACTGGAATGGAGTAAGTGGGAATCGTTAAGGAATTCTCAGTCCTTTCTGCTTTTTCTTTTTCTTATTCTTTAACCAACTCCTTTTTTTTTTCTTTTTTTCTTTATCACTATTATCTTCTGTTCCTCCCCCTATTTTTAGTGTAAATTTCTTATGATAACTTGATTCATTTCATTATCAATGTGCTGGTGAGATCACTCTTTTTATTCTATCATCTCATCATGATGCCGCGCTGGTGACGACACGGGCCATCGCATTGTATCCTTCCTTCTCTCTTGGTCTTTCTCAGTACCTGGTGACTGGGCTGGGGTGGATGGATCGGCAGGTGGGGAATGGCCTACGATTTAGTTCTCCAAGGTTTAGAAAATGCTTTTTATGGAATCTTGATTGGCGCTTGCGTTTGTGATCTTATCTATTTTAGGATCGGTGGAGAAGTGAGTGAGGAAGGGTGATTGGGGTTAGAAGTACCATGCTATTGTGAAGCACTGACAGAAGCGATAGGGGGAAGTTTGAGATCCCTTTGCCACAGAGTGGCTTGCGCGCAAACACTGGATTTATCGTATTAAAATAATCTACTCGAGTAGTCTAGACTGCCCTGTCTGTTAGGGGGGCGCACTTTCCTTTGACATAATAGTGACTTGATATATGTCGTTGCTGTTGCGAGCTTTGTGACTTGATATCGTGCGGAGGATTCATGAATTTGTGAGTTTGTCGTATCACATTAATCCCTGTGCTGTGACTTTGATCATGATAAAAAGGTTAAAAAGGTTCTTAGGGGGTCACAGAATTTTGTTGAATATGCTGGTAACAAAGTGCGATTTTCGTTTTTTTCCTCAGTCATTTTCCTGATCAGCGGCGGTTCATGCCTCGTGCAGAAAGGTTTTTACTCATGTATGCTTCTGTGATACAATAACGGTCGACAGTGAAAATATGGTTTTGGATCATAGACACTCCTCATGAAGCCTATCGCAATTGCATTATTTGCATTAAAATCGCGTTCATGGATTCAAAGGGTGTTTAGGGACATTTTCACTCTCGGCCCCTAAATAGAATACGATTCAGGCATTGCGTTGCCATAGCGGGGATTGGTCCCATTCAATACCGTACTGGCTGGTGGATGGATGGGATCAGCTTGCTTACGTTTCTTCACCTCTCCTATTCCACTTCTCTTCCCCGATCAACAACCACCCAGCCAGCGAGTGAACCACTACTCACCCTCCCCCCACAACCCATCCACACCTAATCCGGAGGAATAATTCCAGTTTATTGAAACTTAATCCCCCACAATGTACAATGCCGCTGCCTTCCTGGCGTCCACCAGGCCAGGGGTCCAGCAGGTTGGACAACCGCAACAGCAACAACAGCAACAAATGCAACCGCAACAGACCGGATATCCTGGGCAGCAGCAGCAGCAAACTCCAGGTGCTATGCCCCCTCAGCCTACGGGATATATGTCGTATCAGCAAACTGGGTTTCCGGGCCAACAACCTCAGCAACAGCAGTTTCAACAACAGCAGCCGCAACAATTCCAGCAGCAGCAGCAGATGCCTATACAGTATCAAGCTACGGGACAGCCGGGTGGACTTCAAGGATATCCGAGCCAACAGGGGATCCCACCGGTTCCTCCTCTCCCTACTGGACTTTCGTCATTCTCTCCACAATCTCAACAGACATTTTCGTCACTTCCTCAGCAGCAGCCGCAACAGCAACAGCAACAGCACAAGAAGGCGAAAAGTCAAACAAAGATCCCTACTATTCGGCTTTCCTTCATTACCGCTGCCGATCAGGCTAAATTTGAACAGCTTTTCAAGGCGGCAGTTGGGGAGGGCCAGGCTTTATCAGGTGAGTGGGGTTTGAAAAAGGCTTGTATTGCTCCATCATAGCTCCTAACAAGCGACTAGGTGACAAAGCAAGGGATATTCTTTTAAGATCTCAACTTTCTCCATCAGATCTTCACCAAATATGGTTCGTAACCCTCGTAAAAATGAGTATATACCACGCTAAATACCACCTAGGCAACTTGCCGATACCACCAAGTCCGGACAATTGCTATTCCCCGAGTTTGCCCTAGCTATGTACCTTTGCAACCTCAAACGTGGGGGAAAGACCTTGCCGTCAACATTGCCTGAAGTGGTCAGAAACGAGGTCTCGAGCATGGTGGATATAATTTCCTTTGGCGTGCCCGATTCTGCTCCGCTTCCGGCTCCGCGGACGAACGTCCCCAGCTTTGAGGTTAGCAGCGCGCCACCACAGACCCCTCAAACCGCAATCTCGCCCTCGCAACCTACTGGACAACCTCAGCCGAGTAACTCTCAGTTGCTCGGTATGATGGCCCAGCCAACAGGATTCCAACCCCAGCAAACCGGAATACCGGGACTTCAGTCTCAGCGGACAGGATTCCCTACCATGCAAACACAGTTTACTGGTTTCCAACCACAACAGACAGGGATAACTTCCCAGGCAACGGGATATGGCCAGGGCCCTGGTAGCTATGGTGGCTCAATTCCTCCTGTGCCCCCGATACCCACTGGTGTGTCGTCCCTGATGCCTAGCGGAATGAACCCATTGCAGGCTCAACCTACAGGCCGGCCAGGCCAATGGGGCTTTGTCAACACACCGGCGTCTGTGCTTCAGGGTATTGATGCTCTGCAAGAACGAATGATGCCACAACCTGGGCGGGAAGGAGGCTTTAGTACCCAAGGGTTGCAAGGAAATGCTGTGATCCCATGGTCCATCACCAAGGTTGAGAAGCAGAAGTACGATCAGGTATTTGAGGGCTGGGATGGGCTTAAGAGGGGTCTGATAAGTGGCGATACTGCTATTGAGGTTTTTGGGCAAAGTGGATTACCGAAGGACAATTTGATGCAGATATGGACCTTGGCGGATTCAGGTAACAAGGGGAGCTTGAACAAGGATGAGTTTGCGGTTGCAATGCATTTAGTAAGTCTATAATCCTTGAGCATTACCGGAAAGCTGCTAATTACCCAAAGATTTTTCGTAAACTTAACGGATATGAAATTCCGACGCGTCTTCCGCCAGAGTTGATCCCTCCTTCTACCAAGAAGTTTTCTGAGTCCTTGAGCACTGTAAAGTCCTTTCTGCAAGAAGGCCGTAAAGCTTCTGCTCTCCAACCTCAGGCCACTGGTGTCAGTTACTTGAAGAGTCGATCTTTCCATGATACGGCGACAGCCCAGGAAAGGAAAGATGGGACGGTATATAGATTTGATGACAATCAAGTTGGCTATAAGTCTAGCGCTAGGCATCGAGCTAAGGGGGCAAGATCTCCTTCGCCAGCTGTCGGCGGGTCCCCGTCACCGTCGCCTGGGCCGGAGATGACGCTCGATCAACTTCGTAAGAGGGTCCGAGAAAAGCAGATTCTACTGAATGCTATCGATATCAAGGACGAAGACGAGGCGGAAAATGATGACATTCTTGATAGGCGTGACCGCCGTGATGCCGATGACCTCTATAGGAGGATCAGACGAGTGCAGGAGGATATCGATGCAAATCCTAATGCTGCTGTCGGAGGCACAGACCTAGAAGCAGAAAGAAGGCAGCTGAGGAGACAGTTGCAAAATTTGGCAGACCGATTGCCTGATCTTGCCTCCAAAGTTCGGAAGACCGAGCGAGGCATTGCAGATGCTAAGCTTTCGCTTTTTGGGTTGCGGGATGCCAAAGCTCATCCGGGATCTGCATCTGTGATTATTGGAACTGGTCCTGGAGGAGCCATCACTGAATCCGACCGCATCAAGGCCCGATCCAAGGCTATGATGCAACAGAGACTTGCTGCATTGACCGGAAAGCCAGCTGCTTCAACTGGTGATGATGATGAGGCTGCTTCGAGAAGATTGGCGGAAGAGACTCAGAAGATAAAATCTGAGCAGGAATCCAATGATAGAATGACCCGTGATGTGGAAGATAGTGTTACTGAGTTCCGGAAATCACTGGAAGGTTCTCTCAAATTTGCTCCTGGTGAGAGCGGTGGTATCTCAGATTCCGAGAGGAGAAGATGGGAAGAGGCTTTGGGTGTTGAGGATGAAGTCAAGGAATTCATTTTTGACCTCCAACGCCAGTCTCACTCCGCTAAGTTGAGACGGGAAGAGTATGTCACCGCTTTATCAACCATTAGCTCTATTGTCACTAATGCTTCGAATAGTGATAGGGATTATCGCCGCCGTGATGATCGCTCCAGTTCTAACGCATCAAGGCCTGTTGAGGAGCTGCCTCGCCGGACCGCATCTCCAGCTCTTGCGCCCCCCTCACGCACCTCCACACCATCTGGTTCTTCTTACTCAAGCTTCAAGTCTGCCGAAGAGCGAGCGGCTTTCATTAAGCAACAAGCCGAGCAGAAGATGGCCGAGCGTCTAGCCGCGCTTGGGATCAAGCCACCAGCGCGCTCGAACATTGGCGAAACTGCCCAACAGCGTGCAGAGCGCGAGAGAAAGGAGAGGGAGGAACGCCTTAGGAAGGCCGAAGAAGAAGAAGCCATGCGTGAGCGCAACTTACAACAGAGACTCGCTGACGAGCAACCGAAACCACCCGCCCCTATCACCTCAAAGAAACCCCCTCCACCCGCACCTCGTAGAGCCAAAGATGATAACCAAGCAAAGGCTAGGGCAGAGGAACAGGCCAGAAAGGCGGAGGAGAGCCTCAGGGCAGCAGAAGAACAGGCTCTCAAAGAAGAACAGGCGGCCCAGAGAGCCAAGATTGAGCAGAAGGAGTAAGTTTCCAGTGGTACCGATCTTGGCTGAGTGATTTCTAATGATTATTTTTAGGGAGGAATCGAGAGCAGAAGAGGAAGCACTTTTGAGAGAACAAGAAGCGGCTAGAGCTCGTCTTCAAGCCCTTGAGGATAAAGTGAAGCAAGGAAAGTTACAGAAGCAAGAGGAGAAGAAGAAGAGGCAGGCGGCACTTCAGGCCACCAAAGAGAAGGAAGCTAGACTTGCAGCTATGCGTGCGGAGATTGAGAGGGCTAGGGAGGAAGAGGAGTGAGTTTTCAAATTCTTACGCAATTAATCGTCGCATCAAACTAACTAGCTTACCAAGACGCCTCAAGCGTCTCCAGATGGAACTTGAGGATTCGTCCTCAGATGAGGAGGGGCCGGAGGAATTAGGGGGGGTGACACCAACTAAAGAATCGGTGAGCGAGGAGCAATTCGTACCCGCCCCTTCACCGTCCTCAACTGCTGCCTCTCCTCCCCCGCCTCCGCCTCCTCCACCCCCCCCAGCTCCCCCCCTTCCCCCAGCTGTCAAGGCACCTTCACCGCCTGCTACTGCTGTGCCTTCAGTTCCTCCAACCTCGGTTGGCGCTGACACCAATAACCCAAGCAATAACCCGTTCCTAAAGCATCTTGGAGCGAATGGCGACGTGCCAGCCTTATCCCCCGCGGCCCCCGCTAGTACAGCTAGCGCTGCTCCCTCTGCTCCCTCTGCCCCATCTAGTTCTGGTGCTGTTCCTAGCAAGAACCCATTCTATAAGCTGAATCCCGATCAAACTGCTGAGCCTTCCCCAAGGACGTTTTCACGTCGCCAACCTGAGGAGGATGACTGGAGTGTTGTGGATGGGGGTGAGAGTTCGAGCGATGACGATGACGATCCTCCGAATCGCCAGGGCACAAGAGCTCTAGCTGAGATGCTCTTCTCAACCATGGCTCCCCCTAGGCCATTGTCTAGCATGGGCAGCAAGGAGACTGAGCAGCCAATTAGTCCTTCGATAGGAGGAGCACCGCCTCCGCCGCCTCCACCACCGCCTCCACCCGCTCCACCAATGCCGTCCGGATCTTCCGCCCCAGTTGCGCCACCGATCAAGGTGGATGTTGGTTCCTTATTGAACGAGATTTCTTTGGGTAGGGCTTTGAGGAAGACCGAGACAAAGGATAGGAGTGCTCCGGCCTCGGGCGGAAGGGTTGTTGGTTGAGCGAGATAGACGGTTTGATTCGCGGTGGGTTTTGCTTAATATTCATGCTATAGAGCTAGGGGGGAGCATATCATTAAAAGGTTGACTGGCCTTCTGAAAGAACGTTATTATACGCTACATTTGTACTTGGAATTCTGTTTCTTCCTCTCTTTCTTTTTTGTTTGTGATTGGTAGCCAGCTGTTGGTTGATGGATATAAGTGATTGTCACTTGTGGGTTCCCTACAACCTGCGCTTTGGCCTCTATCGCCATAATAACATCTGTTTTTCATGAGCGTCAACCCTTGTTTCCCTGAGGTGGAATTGTGATTGTGCTTTTTGTTGGGAGGTGATATCCGGGTGGGTTTCGTGAACGGGCTATGAAAAACTACTGGTATCATACTGTGGTTTCAGTGGTTCGGTTATAATACGTACCGCGCTTCACCGCACCGTCAAGAACGACTCGGATGGTGAGTATCGAGTGTTTTGACAGTGAACAGGGCAGGCATATTGTGCAAATGAGGGTTCGCCCCCGCATGAAGGGTCGTTTCTCACGCCATAGGAAAGGTTTGGTACCGGCACAGCGTATGGAATCAATTTTTGCCGTGTCATATGATACGTATAAATTAAGCCAATATCAAGAGGAGAGAGAAACTAAAAAGCTTTTGTTCCCCCACTAAGTTATAGTCACGACATCATACCACTCATTATCATACCGTACACGCCTCCCCCCACTCTCCTCCCCCCGTCCGAACCCGTCTCACCGCTCCTTCAGCACCTTATTCCTCCTCTCCCTGCGCCTGATCCTCTCAACTCGCTTAACGTGCATCTTCTCGGCGAGCCGCTCGTAGCGCTCCTTCTCCACCTTGGCCTCCCTGCGCTCCCTGAGCACGCGGTTGCGCTCCTGCCTCGCCGCCTCCTTCTCCTCCTTCATCTCCTTCTCGCGCAACTTTGTCGCGGCCAGCGCCTTGCGCTGCTCCAGCCGGGCTCCCCAGGACCGACTCGCGCCCGCTTTCGGGCGGAAGGCGGTTCCGGTTGGTTTCCAGGATTTGCCTGGTGATAAGTTTTGTCAGTTAGTTGGCTTGGTTAGGAGGGAGGGCATGTACCGTTTTTGCGAGCGCCGGAAGTGACCGCGGTTTCGGGTGCCGAGGCCATGGTTTGTGAAATGAATGAATGAATTGGGGGTTTCTTGAAGGGAGGGGGAGGTGCGTTGTTTTGCATGTGGGTGAAGGCATACCTCTCCTCCGATACGGTTGCAGTCCAGCTTGTTTATCTGATTGATCTGATCTGATACGATTACGTATTATCTTATCATATCTAGGATCTTTGGAAAGGAAACGATTTACCTGATGCCGCTGGAAATGATATGATGCGGTATCATACATGGATCATACGAGTACGGTACGAGTACAGACTCTCCTTGGGTTGCGGGGTCCTCGTCTGCAAGTTGACGGGGCGGGGCGCATTAGTACCTGGCGTATACTCAAGTACAGGTACTCGGGTGTACTGTACTCGAGTAAGGGCATTTGAGGCCCAATCCCGTTGCCCGTGTAACCACCACCTCTCCCCTCGATAGTGGTGCCGAATTTTGCCCACCGTTTTTGGGTTCGTTATGCCTGGTACGTATAACAGGAGCTGAAGGCTTCTCAACAGCGATTAAAGCAATCCCACCGCTCCTTTCTATTCAGTGGTATTAAGTTTTCTAGGAGCTTTTATCTTAAAAAGGAGATTAGAATCATGAACGGAGATACTTAATTTGACGGGTTAACACGGTGCTTATAAAAATCAACGAGGGCCTTTTCACCGGCATTTGAACCCCCCTCAAACGCTTGGAGGGATTCACAAAAGATAAGTAATTATAAAAAAGGTAAAATCACTAAATTAGGACTATGGAGTAGCATAGGCAGTAAAAACATTAAAGAGCATGAGCCGGATTTAATTCGGGTCAGATCCCTCCACAGCTTTCAAAACCACTACCTACATATCACCTACACTACCACTCACCCGGAAAATCGCAGGAGTGTCGCAGAAAAGGTTTTTTCGCCCACCCCCCCTCCCGAATCAAGATGTCATTTGCTCGTGGACCCTAGGTTCCGAATTCATCGGGAAAAGGTAACTTCCCCCTTTGGTCCCGTCAACCCTTTGTCGCAACATTGTGCTCGGTAGGCACTACTGCGCCACTAGCAGCGACGGTATGGCTGGACGGAATAGCGATGGGAAAACTCATGGTGCTCATCACCATCGAGATCTGGTAGGAGATTACGGGCTCCTGCGGAGGTGGCATCAAGTGCTGTGGAAGTGGGGGCATCGAATGGGTGTCTGGTACTCAAGAGGGATGGTAGACGAAGGGGGGGATGCTTGGCCGCCGAAGGGGAGAGCCCTAGAGAGGGGCCCAGGGCGGGATGTCATATTCGGTGTTGCTATATCTTCCTGGCCTATTCCCTCTTCTCTCGTCGCCCTCGGGGCTTCTTTGGGTTCACTAGAGATGCCTGACCGGATCCTTGACTTAGCGCTAGTCGGGGATAGCATAGATATATCTCCTAATTCCCCAATACTATTCCAATCTTCTTCCGCTGGCTTTATATAACAATCCAAGTGTTCCCTTCCAGCACGGCTCTCTGTGCCCTGGATGGTATCCCTTGAAGTAAGACTCGGGTAGCGTGTTCTCTTCGTTAAATTTTGGCCACTATTCTGCTGTTTTCCGCTGACGTCTCCTGCTGCTATTTTGTGGACGGGCCTATCGCCGGCCTTGCGTAGCTAGGCCTCTGGAGTCCTTGTTGTTCCCTGCCCTCACTATTGCTTCCGCCGTCTGGGCCACCGCGACTGTGGGGTCTGTGGTAGGGGGGCGGTTGCTGTTCACACCCTCAATCGAGCCGGACCCGATTGCGACGGCAAGGGCGTGCCAGAGGACACATCGCTGACTTGCGGGGAACATCCTCTACATTCCACACAAGCCATTTGTGAGCGTCGATGATTTTCGTAGGATCTTCGCCTCATATCCTGCTCATATTCCTATCCTAATGGATAGTACGCTTTCTAATAGTTATTGGGCATAAGAGATCAATGTATTCAAAAAAAAAAAAAGGCCTCAATGCCACGTTTACCAGGTCATAAGTGCTGCCATTTCCATTGGGTGGTATTAGGTAGTAGGTATCTGGTTCTCTCTCGAGATAACGGCGCGGATCGCCCGACGACCTGCATAACCCTGGTGAGGTGAATGGTCTTATTAATGTATCAACAGACTGTAGGAAATAAATATATCGCTTCAAAAGGGTTACTCACAGGCTGATAACGTATTTTTGTTTGCGAAAAAGTACTACGTGAGGTCGCGGTCTCGGTTGTTGGACGTCTAGCAAAGTGGAAGAAGCCAAAACCACACAACCCGGATGAATGCCAGTCGTATCGTGAACCCTAGCTTGCCCACTGTCATAAAAAACCGAACCCACACCTATTTGTGGAGGAATCAGAAACTGTATAAATTATGTACCTGAGTCGCTGCTTGGATGGGAGAAGGTGTTAAAATCGATGGAATATGGAAGGGAATGCAACTGTATTGGTACTCGTATTAGTACGGGTAGAAAATGCCGAAAATGCGGATTAGAAGCACGGGAGTCAATCAGTTCGAGCTACTAAATCCTCCGATGGAAACTCCAGAGTCAGCTGTCGGGTTTTCCGGGGGGCGAAGCAGTGCAAGTGAATAAGCTGGTATTGTTCCTGCTTGCTATCGACCGACAATTGCTTCTAGGAAGCTGAGCAATTCTACTGTACTCTATGTGAACGGGTTACCGCTACTGTATCGTAGACAGATGTTTGAGTACCGGTGCTCGTGCGAGTGTCGGGGATAGACTTAAGCTAAGTAAAGACTTTGAACAGAGAGGTTTGTGGCAATCCCGGCAAAGAGGAGGAGGGGTGGAAGTATAGAGTGAAGGGGATGCGGGGGCAAACGAAGGCGCTGGAGAAGAGGGTGGGGAGGCTGTGAGTTGGTGGAAAAAATGGGTGGAGTTGAGGAGAGTCCGTTGGGAGGGGAAGGGGAGATGGTAGTGGCGGTAGGGGAAAGAAGGATATTAGTCTAATACAAGAATGGAATACTGGTTCCACCTCTACCACAACTACAAGAGTGGGAGCCACTACAAGACCGGTTCCGCCACTCAAGACTCTACGCGTACGGCTTTTATTGAGAGGGGAATTACAGGAGGAGAGTATTATCTGATTACTTCTATTAAGCGATGTTCTTGTGTTAGCTTTTGCCCAACACTATGCTGTAGCGGGGTAAGTTACTATACAGTACGATCGTATGATACAAGTATCATACCATTTGGAACTTTTTATATCAATCCTAATCCTAGAACTAAGTTACCTGAACAACCACCATAGGATACAAGTACCAGTAAGACCATTTGCGACACTTCACTTTTGTAGCATAGAAGCCACTTTGATCTTGTAAATCTCCCTATGATATAAAAACCTTTTTTTTATTGAGAGTGTGTTCCGCACACTCAAAAAACATTGCAATACTAGTACAGGTATTTCATCTTCCCACACTAAAGTTTATGACCCTGGCAAAAAGTTTCACCTTTATGGTTCGCGGGACTGGTTTTGTGGAGTATTTTTATTTATTTCGCCACACGAGAACAAAGTCCAAAGTAAGAAAAGGAAACTATGATATAAACTGCCCACAGAATCCTTAGCTATTTCCAAGTCCTACCCCATCGCACAAGTGTTTCCGCCCAGGGTTCCTTTCCAACTGCCTGAATTGTTCCAAACAACAAAGAAAATATCAAAATAGCCACAACCTTCATAGACCCCGATCAACATAATCCCCAATTTTGACCGTATCCCACACCATCCAATTCTAACCGTCTTTCTCGGTTTCACCGTTTGGTTCATCAATGGGTAGCTTAAGATTGGCGACCCAGGGACTGTATTCAGACCAAGATTGAAATCCGCCATGAGATACCCGAACTCTCAGGGAGTGACTGCTGTTCAAACAATGTTGTTTTTCACTTTGGCATGAACTGCAAATATCGTAATCATCGCCGTTGCATAAACAACAGTCTAGTAGGTGGTGTGTAAGCTCATTGATTAGATAAATTGAGAATTATTAGGGTTCATACGATAAAAAAAGACTGTGCTATCACGCACTGGAATCTGGACTGCGCATCGGTCACAAAAAGTTCTCAATGGGAGTGAGAAGATATCCAGTGTCTCCCTCGTACACCTCGGCTTTTGATCATGGGTATCAATTTCCAAGTCTGGTTCCAAGTCCTCGGTCGCCAAGGATTTTATGCGCTTAAGAAGTAAGAGGCGTACTGAATCCTTAATCGCGAGGTCAAGTGGAGATCGGCCATAGTTGTCCTTAATGTTAGGGTCTGCCCCTGCTTCCAATAAAATCTTACTCGCCTCTTCATACCCGAAACCACAAGTGAAAAAGAGCATTGTGCATCCTTCTGAATCCTGGACATCGACATCGGCTCCGTCGTTTAAACATTGTTGCAATTTCTCTGGGGTCCTGGCTTCCCTAGCAACCTTAAATGGGTATTTGATCTTCCACTCATTGAGAACTGCTAAGACTTCTTCATGGTGATTCGCCTGAGCTAAGATAATTGGGGTGATATCACTAGAAGCCTTTTTCGAAATTGGGCTAGCACCAGCTTCCAGCAGAAGTTTCACAACATCCATGTGTCCGTTTTGTGCTGCGCGGTGTAGTGATGTAGATTTGTTGCCGATGGCGTGTCCCGCATCAGATCCATGATCGAGTAGAAGTTTTACGATTTCCTTATGTCCTCCTTCAGATGCCAATACTAAGGGTGTGGAACCCCGCTTATTCTGGTCCTTCACATCTGCACCAAATTTTAGGAGAAGTCTAACATTGTCGAGTTGATTGTTCGAGGCACTCAAATGTAAAGAGGTCCACCCATCAAATCGTTTCGCACCAACCTCCGCTCCTGCCTGTAACAATAGCCACGCAACCTGATCATGTCCATACCTAATCGCTAGGTGTAAAGGGGTTTCTTTGCTAATGTTGACTGATTCCATGTTCGCTCCAGCCTCCAGGAGCTGTTGGACTACGTCTTGGTGTCCTTCTGTAGAAGCAGCGTGCAGTGGCCTGTCTCCTGAAGAGTCGCTTGCCTCAATATCAGCTCCGGCTTGCAGGAGCATCTGAACCACGATAGAATGCCCCTTATAGGAAGATAAATATAAAGGTGTTTTGTTATCATTATCTGATAGATCCAGATCCCCCGCAGAATCCAGCAGTAATTTAACTATCGATCTGTATCCATTCTCAGCTGCATGATGAAGTGCAGTGTAACCTGTACTATCCGGAGTATCAATATTGGCATCGGCCTCTATGAGTTGCTGAACCACATTCAGGTAGCCACCCCGAGCTGCCATATGGAGTGGCTTGAGTTTAGGACATTCTGGTTCCACCTCCGCCCCACCCTTAAGCAGTATCCTCACCACTGCAGTATGACCACCCCTAGCAGCAAGGTGTAAAGGAGAATAAGGTTGAGGTATATCTTTTAATGGAGTATTCACATTAACTGCTCCATCTACTAGCGCCTTAACTACCAGGTCATGTCCGTTCTCTGCTGAACAATGTAAGGCTGCCGATTTGCTATGTTCTGACTCGGAGGTAGCATTTATGCCATCATAATACCCAAGCAACACACGCACTACTGCTACATATCCACCTCTCGCTGCCAGTGCTAGAGGACTGGTAAGACCAATCCTTAGATTTGGGTCATATCCAAATTCAAGAAGCAACTTCACCACAGATTCATGTCCCCCTTCAGCAGCTTGGTCTAAAGCCTTAGTGGCTTTTAGTTCCTCCTTGAAATTGGGATTAGTTTGGAGAATACGCTCAACTAGGATATCATGTCCACTTCTGGCAGCTACTTCAAGCAGTGCTGTGACTCTTCCAACATCCTGAGATGTCTCGCTGAGAATATTCATCACAACCTCAGTCAGTCCAAGCTCGGAAGCTATCTCCTCAACCGACTTCCAAGGCATGTTAACTTTCGGTCTCAATAATAGCCAATAGAGCTTTGGCCATAATCGCAACTCCGATTCCATCTGTTTGGTCAAAAAGTCTAAGACTCTTGAATGGAGTTCGGGTACTGCATTTCCAGCTCGCCGATAGTGTGTAGGCCAGTATTGTGCGGCATATGCAATAAGGTCCCATTGCGGTTGAGGTATTCTAACAATCCCATCCGATTCCACTAGGCAAGAAATATCGGTAAATTCTTTGGTGGAAAGATAAACAAGACATATCCGTGTAATGTAAGCATGTATCTGCTCAATTTTGAAATCCTTCCAATCTGAATTGCTAAGTCCGAGGCTGACTCGGACTTGTGAAGACAGGAATTGTTGAGTAGCCCAATTAGCCAGTCGTATCTCATCATTTTCAATTGAGATAAACAGGTTTAATGCCTGTTTAAGATCTCCGATTATATCTCTTGAGATGTGGTCTTCAATTTCGGACAAGGATTGTGTATCATCTGTGATAGCTAAGACAATAGCAAGCTGTTCGGGGGAAAATGGTCGCACTGCGTAAAGAACCCAGAAAAGTACGCAATGTGTCCAGGTATGCCATTCGGATGGAATATTTTTAAGGTATCTCTGATATACGGCGGGTAGACTGAAAGATAAGGAGTCTAGCATGTTCCGTACTGCAGAGTGGGTTGAGTGGACTTTGAGTGTGGCCATCTCACTAAGGGCAATACTAGCTGAGAAAACTGTGGTATCTTGACTTTTAAGAAAGATGTCCATAATTTTCTGTTTAAAATCTCGGAATCCTGGTCGATCTTTCACAAGCTTCCCGACTTCTGTCGATACTAGACCACTGATAAGATGTTTAGGCTCTTCCTCGTCATCTAGATCAATGTCAAAGCATTGCTCCTCTGGTGCGAGTGTACCGGGATATCGCTGGCCTGTGATCAGAAATTTCAATGGTGCCTCGGCAGTATCTGTCTTAACTATAGCATTGCCAAACTCATTCCAGAGCTCCAAGTATGAAGATTCACAGGCATCAAGACCATTAATTATGCAAATAATCTCGATCTGATCGCGTGAGCATAGTATCCCACGAAATATGATCCACAGATCCTCCGTTGTCCAATTATATCGGTCCGAAGTGATTTGGGAAGTACTTTGAACTCGACGGAACAAGGACGGCTGCTGCAACAATAACTGTCGGACAAGAGATGAAAGTAATTCCTTTGTAGAACGACAACGTTCATCTTGTTGGTTGCAAAAAAAGAACACAACAGCCTTCTTCCCCTCAACACAGGTTGCTTGCATTTCTCTAATAATAGCTGAAGAAATGACGGATCTGCCACTACCGGGTTTTCCATGAAGAAATAAAACACTAGGTACTGTCTGCTCAAGCCAGTGTTTGTATTTATCATGTGAGAATATCCAATGAGTGGTTGATATATCGAGACCCGATATTAGAGGTAGACAACGTTCCGGATTAAGCGTTGAAAGTGTTTCGAGACAGTTGATTTCCTTTGGGTTAAATTCTATTATATTATCTTAGATTAGTGATAGCTCATATTTTAGTAAGGATATAGAGGTATACCTACTTGGTTTGCCATTCGCAATAGCATTTTCCATCTCCTCACAGATGGTTTCAATGTATGGTGAGCTGGGTAGAAGACCAAAAATTGATGAATGATCCCAACTAAAGTTATTATTCTTTTCTGCCGGAACACCAAACATGACATCTGTGTCTCCAGTTGAGGCAACCTACTCAGTTGTTTAAAACTATTAGCGATACTAGACTAATGATTTAATTTAGAAATCCTGCTGAGATTGAAACAACATTCTCTACATAATAGATATTAATTGGGAAGTAAAGAGTATCCATGGATAAAGAATACAGGTATAAAATACTAACCATATGGAGTCTATTATCATAAAAATTTAGAACAGGGATAGCTCCTAAAAATGGCATAAATCCAGCTGAGGAGTCCATCAATGCTTTTGATGAACTTTTGAGAACAGAGGAAGAAATTTCTTTTGACCCGCTAGACGAGAGAAGCATCTCGGCAGCAGATTCCCACTGAGCCGGAGTGGCTGCGCGATGAGGTGTACCAAAAAATACCTATTGCCAAAGCTCAGTACAAAAGTTCATATCATTTAGAAGATTATCCACAGCGCCAGGAGTCAGGAATTACCAGAAGAGATATTTCTGAAGAAATTGGCATATATAATTTCTCATAATTCGCAAAGACAAGTGCCTAAATGTGTTATTAAACCAATTAGCAGGACCACAAGATATCCATCTTTTTTACTATTACCTGTTTTATGATAGTACCTCCGAGTTGATATCCTATGAATATTATAGGACGCGTTTGGTCTATTGGCAGTGTTGGAGCTCGTTTCAGAGGCCGAGGTTCGGCAATCTTATCCCGTTTCTGCCTCTGAGGTTGGTTATGTGGTTATGATCAAGTAGATTAAGGAGACTACCCCTGCTTGTCCCAGTATTCTTCTTCCTCTAGAAAGTTCTCTTAGCAGCTCCAGTGCCGCATTCTTTATACTGCCAATAGAGATGAAATCTTGAGGACCAGTCACTAGGTTATAGTTATAGGTCATGATGCGTGCCGAAGGAAATCGATGAGGAAGCACATCTTGGAACCAGGAAATATCGTTCTTGAGATCTGGACTGGAAATATTTCGTTTCTCATGTAGCCCATAAACGACAACAATACTGCTTTGGTAAGAAACAGAAACCTTAAACATGGAAGAGATCATTATACTCAGCAATAGGAGCTCCTAGATTATCACCATCATCTCCAGGAAGTTTGCCGCTGAGAATTTCAAACGGCCCTGAGTGCTGTGGCAATTCCATAATAATGGATTGCACTTCTATTGTTTTATTTTTTTGGTGGGGGGGGGGTTCGGTAGCTTGAAGAAGGATGGCTGGTACTATAAGTAGGCTCGATATTTTGTCTTTCTGTAGCTGCCATTAGTGCTTTAGCGTTTTCCTCTCAAAAATGGGTGGTAGGATATATAATACATTTAATGAATACAGCTGTACTGTCTCCTGTTCTGACTCTGTATTTTTTCCTCGCAGTGTTGGTAGTGTGTATGTGCAGAGAGGGTTCCCCGCTCTCGCAAGCAGGTCTCATACAATATATAAATTTGATTAACCCTACTCGTTTTGGCTCTTATCTTACATCTGGAATAAGAGCCCCGCTTTCCAACCCTACAAGCATGCCCAAAATAGGTATGATAATACTATTAAAGAAAACTCTCTCTTTGTATCCGGTTACAAGTTCCCAGTATGATACTTGTACTGTATCATATTCACAGCATATATTACTCCTGATACCCGATCATATAACAGTTCATTCAGATATTAAAAAATATACTCAAACTCCATATGGTGAAAGATCTAAACACATAGGAGGAGGACTGCTCTATGGCCGTCTCTATCTCAAATAATAACAGTGACCCACCAATCTCTCAACCTGCCGAATCCGGAGGCAATTTCAATCCCTTCCTCTTTTTCTTTTTTTGCCCAACAGTTTTACAATAATATTATTAGAGTTATTTTTTCTTCTTTCTTACAACAAGCAATAACTGAGATAAATTTCCATATTATTATTATACTTATTCAAACCGAATACCATATGCTAGCTTCTGATGTGATATATGACAAGGCTAACATACTATAATCAAATGAGTGATATGTATTAGCGATAATAAAGAAAACAAAGTTGAGCGTACCATACAGTACCAATAAATACATCTCTAGAAAATAGTAGGAGCCTGAAGAATTCTTTTCTTTCTCGGATGGCAACAAAGATCTAAGGTGTCCCATATGACTAGAATTTCATCCTCAGTGTGTTCGTTCAAGTTAGCACAGCATAGCAACCATTTACTTTACTGATAAGTTACAATTTTAAGAGCACTCGTAGCCTGAGCCCATAGCACAACTACTTTGCTGTACTGTACTCAGGCTTGCCGGATTCTATCCCAGCTGCCTATCCCTAACCTTAACTAACATTGAAACAGCTACATTGTATCTTACAGAAGGAATTTCTACTAATTTTTATTATCTCCCAATAATTTACTCATATTATGAAAAATTCAGCCATATCTAAAATGTTTTTATTCCTTTCTCTAAGAATAACACTTATCAAAAATAGAATAAGAACTTTTTAGGTATGATAACCATCTTCACACACTTCTACAGAGGCACAGTTGAAAGTTGCCACAGCTCATTCAAGTTCTCTTATCTGTAGTGGAGACTGTGATTGAGTGGAAGAGTCGGTGGTATTGGAAAGGAGGTGGAATCCTGCAGTCGTCGCCGTTGGCTAGTTTTTAGAGTTATTCGATTTGAGGGCCACAACTACTATGAAAATCCCCTTATGCATTACTCAAAATACTTATGGTTCTCTTCAATATCTACTTGTAGGGGGATTTTTTTGAAAACGGTGGCGGTGGAGACAATCGGATGTACAGTACAGGTAGCAATCAATACATGAATTATCACCGATACAAAACAATATATCACTATTATACTTCAGAGTATTGTAGTTGAGTCGGACGCACAAACCCCCACCGATTCCTCTGGAGACATTTTGGGGTTTTCCTTGAATAATAGCACGTCGGCTCCGGTGCATGCCAGTGAAACATTTCACCCACCTTATCACCATCCTTGATCATGCCTAAAGCTCAATTGGTTTTTCATATTGTGCTCCCCAGCGCTCAGATGTTACGTGCTATTATCCAAACTAGGTCGGCAATTCTGTTTCTTGTTATCATAAATCTACTAACAGTTCAAAAATAAACACCTCTTCACAAATATAATACTAACGATGGAAACCCCCCTCCCCCCCTGCACGCGAGTTCTTGTACCTTAACAACGAATACACGATATATATATATAAAAGACAAGAAACTGAGTTCCCGCTGATTTCAAACTTCTTCTCCCCCGCTTGCGGCTGCCGTAACCGTACCTATTTTGTTGGTAAGATAGAATAGTTATAATTATATGAAATGGAGTCATACCAGTAGCTACCGTAGGTATGAGGTTCATGGACAACACCATACTCAATTTTTCTAAATCGTAGCCGGAAAGGTTTTCGATATCCAAATCAGTCGGTACATTTCCCATTGGTGGGAGATCTGGATCAAAGAATACTGGGTCATCTTTGGGAATCCTTCCGAACAATTTTTCAAACTTATTAAACATTGAGTTTAGGGTATCGACCTTGGTGTTGACTTTGATTGTTGCTACGAAGGTGCCTGCGTATTTTCGTTTCAGAAGGATCGCAGTTCTCAGTAAGGTTGGTATACCATCTCCATTCGCAGCACTCTCGTTCTCAAGCATGATCCATTTTGCTTGGTTTTTGGCTCCGAAGTTCCGCCCCTCAAGTGCGATGGCTCCGGTGACAGTCGCCCGATATTCCCGTTGGATTGACTTGGTAACTTCCCAACCTATATTTCCCCCAAGCTTCAAAAAACTGCCACCATTGACCTCAGCCGTAGCACCCATGATACGCTTCAATTCTTGGGTTTCATAGGTCGGATTCAGTGAATTTTTTCCCATGAGCGATATCCTTACCACCTCAGGATCATAGGAACCGTCTGATATATTGTCGGGGGTCCTTGCAAAGAGGAATTCAATTGTTGCCCTCCGGAAATGTCGACCGTTTTGGCTGCTAAGAAATCGAAACTCAGTGACTACCAGAGTAGCCTCATCACCACCAGGCGAGAATCTCCCATGGATTACATTCACAAGATCACCTTGAACCATAAAATCGGAAGATCGGTCAACCAGATTTTGTCGCTGAAATTCGCCTGGTGTATTTCGAGTGCGGAATGCTGAGCCTGTACTGCCTGTTGGGAAAAGCGCAATGCTGAAGTTCAAGGATTCTGAATTGATGGCTGTATTCTCCGACATTTCCGCTTAGTCGATAGTGAATAGGGTACTAGCAATCCAAACACAGATTTGAAGAAAGAGTTTAAGAGGTGTCAGTAAAGCTCAGCTTCCCGAGTAGAGATTGGGGGCATTGCTGCAAATAGCTCATGTCAAAATAGCTAAATATGTACCAACTTTTCATTCTAAAAAAGCAAAGGTTTGTAATTTCGTCTGAAAACAGAAAATACACTGTGTTCTCCACTCCCTCACACTAATAATAACACAACCTACGCCTTACTTAGAGTACCAGAAATTCCCAAACACTCCTACCCGTTGTTACTGGCTAAACAAAATCTTTCAGCTTTGACTCTTTTCATCTTTCCACAATTGCATAATTGCTTTACCCTATCAAAAACCCTCATGTTATCACACCAGATATAATTAAAGAGTGACTAAAGATAGGTGGTCCCAAGGTGGATGGATGGGTTGATAGAACTTTCATGCGCAGAAAGTGCATAAAAAGTGCGCAAAATATGAGTTGTTTCTTGCAACATCTGCAGGATCAACCCCACTTGAACTACTTGTACCGGCATCGTATTAAAATCCAGTTTTCTCGAGCATTCCTAGTAATCAAGCATGAGAGCAGATCTTCTGTACTCAAGTAAAGCACTCACATGCTGCTATGTTATTAAGACTTCATAGATTAAGAAATATGAAACAGCACAAATAACTTACTCCCCGCTAGATTCTCAAGAATCCTGCCGGCAGGAACAAAGCGAGGTAGCCTCCTCCTAAACCTTTACTTTCGCAGATCTGTACCGTACTATAGCATCTGACTAGGAATCCAATACTCTTGGATCCTCATCGTCAAGTCCTTCTTTCTCTGCTATACTACCAGTTTCAAGTACGTCTATATACTCCGTTGTTTACTATTGTCTAAGCAACTACTGAACTTAACAAAATCGATAGCCTCTTAGGCTCGGAGTCCATTAATTCCACATACGTTAAAAATCTTTTTAAAAATCCTACACTGAGCTTTTACAAACCTTACCACTCCTGCTTTTCCCCAAACCATACGAGCCGGACTTCTTCTTTTCCCTCACACAACTGCCATGACCAGAAAATCCGGGGGTGATACGCAGTACGATAGCGAACTCGAAGAAGCTGCAGACTATGAAGATGGAGATCAAGGCGACAACGAACAAGAGCAAGTAACAGAGGCCCACCATCAACTACTCAAACACCTGGTAGATGGCACACTTCACGAGATACCCTCACTAGAACTTGGGAACCAGCACACTGGGAAGGGTAATATGACTATCTTACACCTCCTTTTATCAGACCAACAATATCGCAGATTGTCATCTTCCAAGATTCGTCGCTTCTTAGACCAACTCCTAAACGCAGACTCGAAAAGAGTCAAAGAATTCCTATCATCAAGAGACATAAATGGTCAGACAGCACTAGCTCTTGCAGTATCAGGGAGCGTAAGGGGTATTCAAGTTCTCTCCTACCTTCTTCAGCGTAAAGAAGCTTTGGAAGCAGCCGAGGTGCAATCCGATTCAGGTTGGAACTGTTTGCATGAACTATCTTCAAGAGGGAGTTCAAAAAACCCCCAATACATCCAAAACATTGAGGATTGCATCAAACTAATCTTATCCAGCAAGTCAAAAAAACTCATAACAGGCCAGAATAAACTCGGAGAGACACCCCTACATCTCGCTGTCAAATATAAACGTCAGGCCAATCCAGACTGGCAGCTTAAGTTGACTTCACAACTTATCGATGCCTGTCCTGAATTGCTGAAAATTGTCAACAAAAATAGCCGATCACCTTACCAATACCGGCTCGATACTCTGAGGGCGATTGAAACGAATACGAGTTCCAATAACGACGACATAGCAAGATTTATGAGAAACTGCTATATGCACTTTGAGGACCGTGGCGAGGCAGTTAAGTATTTGTATGGAAAGGAAGATGAAGGTTAATTGACTACAGTCTTGATTTCAATTTATTTTAATCAATCACTAATAGTATATGTACTTACTAGAACTTTCGATGGAGATTGACCTTTCTGAGCATTCTATCTACACATTCTCACGTGACTCTCTTACAAGCCTCAGCCAGCACTGGAAGTTTGAAAACATTCTCCGATATGTCTATTTTCCAAAGGTCAATTTCAAGAATTCTTCAACAGATAGCTATCCTGTAAAGGATATCTCGAAAAAACAGGGTCAGAGCCAACACTACAACTCTAATGATGAAGGTATTGGACGCAAAGACCTGCAAGCCATGTTCGATTGGCTACGAAATAATCGTGGGGTAAAAAAAATTATCAAAGTCCGAGTCATAGACAACGAGGACCCGCCACACAGTGACGAAATCATCGAAGAATCTCTTAAAAATTTTGATGTTGAAGTTTTAGATTGGTTCAAGTTTGACCTCTGCAGCGAAACAATTCTCAAGGCAGCCCCAGATGTGCAAGAAGTGCACCTATACTCAAGCGGAAACAACGCCGTTCTTCATGCCTGGTCCGGCTGCGATGGGCTCAAGAAGCTCAGTAAGGTAACTTTATCCTTCATTAGATTTAACTTTAACCCTAAGACATGTGCTAACTCTGAACCCAAGTTGAAAAAAGTCTATATAGATATATACCAGGTATATTTTAGAAGAACTCTTACCCATCACCCTACATATATCACTTGAATTTAAACTGACCAACCAGCAGCGGCTGGAGACATACCACAGAACCCAAACGATTCTTGACGCCTTCAAAGATAGGCTCAAGGCTCATATTGATGGCATAGTGATTGAGGAGAGGATAGAAAAATATTCTGCCTCTAGGGGTAATGGACTGGCAGGCACAAATAGTGTAGTAGAAGGTGGTTCCGCACAGCAAACGTTAAGTGATTTTGACCTATTTTATGCCTTGATTACTAACTACTCTTTATTAGACATACATGGATAAAACATATGGATACTTTTGTTAATTTCATAGTCAACATTCCTGCCGATAAAGAAAGGAAAATCAGGGTAGCCTTGATTGATAATGGTGTGGACGGATCATATTCGCGATTAGGTCAAATAATTAAGCTTGGTACATCTTATTGCAGCCATCCACACCACCAGGGTCAACTCAACAACTATTGCACACCGTCAAAAAGCCATGGAACACAAATGGCAAGCCTTATCAGCCAAGTTTGCCCCAAAATCGATTTGTATGTTGCAAGAATCTTGGATATGGAGGCAGAGGATAGTAGACAAATAGATGTGGGATCAGTTGTAAAAGTAATTGACTTCCCTGAACCCCATATTTGTATCCCAGCTAATCAGATATTGATACAGGCGATCAATTGGGCTGTCGATCACAAGGTGGATATAATATCCATGAGCTGGACGATCGAACGAACAGAGGACAACAAGACGGTTTTGGGCGGAGGCCTTGCCACTGCTATCAGTCGTGCACATAGTGAGCGTATCCTGATGTTCTGTTCCACAGATGACCAGGGTGGATTAAGCAAGGACGATGTCTATCCAGGATGTCTTCCAGGTACCTTCAAAATTGGCGCAGCAAAACCATCCGGCAATGAAGGAGAATGGACCGACAAAGGCTCATATTATACCTTTCCGGGAGAAGATCTCAAAGTGCACCTACCACCATACCTGGCATCGGATAACGATAAGCTGGCATCCGGGAGTTCCCTTGCAACAGCGCTAGCCTCAGGCATGGCTGCTCTTTTACTATACTGTGTTCAAATTGTCCACAACAACCCCAATACCCCTCCCGAAACTTCCCTCCAAGATGCTAGAACATACAATAACATGGATAGAGCCTTTAAACGTATGACCGATAAAAACAAGCAGCCAAGATATATCCGAGCCTGGGAACACCTGAATCCAGATTTCAAAGAGCTTTCAAAAGCTAAAGGAATAGATGAACTAAGAAGGGTTATGATGTATCTTTTCAAGTAATATAATGTGATGCAATTATTCAGTTTCAAGTATGTGTGGCGGATCGAGAGAATTTGTTTTTTTTGTCATATTGGAAGCACTATATCTATCGGATTTTTATTTATTCTTATTCCCTTATTTCTATTTTTTTAAATCTATTATATCAGTTAAGGGTTTCTACTTGCACTCAACGTACTAGTTACAAGGAAGAACTTGAGGGTTAAACACAGATCAGTCCAATTCACCTAAAATATCAAAACTTCCCTGAGCCTCAACCAATATCCAACACAACGGGATTAAAGATATTAGATATGTATTATTTCAACTATCTCTTAATAATTTTAGAAACATACAAATAACCCCTCTTCCGTGTGCAGTTTTATGAGCGGGATATCGAAATATCGGGCCTAGCCAAAAACTAATGTTTGATGTCTGCAGAAGGTTGTGTCAGCTACCAGCATGCATACTTCCCCACTCCCTGCATTGCACCATGTTTTTTTTTTTTCCTTCAGACTTGCCTCCTCAAGCCCCGCAACTGCAACCTCCATTAATCATAAGTGCGAGAGAGAATTTCTGTTAACTTGCTCTTTCTCTCACTAATTGTGAATAAACCGAACCCGCACCTTGCTTGATAATAAATAAGCAAGGAAGAAAACTAGTTAGACAGAGAAGATCAGTATTAGGAAAGAACCGGACCTCCTGTACTCTAGAATTATCACTCTATTGACAACATTGTGTAAATGAGTTATCGGTATATTTTCGAAAAAACTAGTACAGAAAGCATGAGAACAAGCTTGACGATACTTAGGAAAAGCGCAACATCTAAAAGCTTGTGGCCCTTCAAAAGAATTTCCCTCTCTGGTACGAGTTCTGACATCCAACTCCCAGCTTCCAAGCCTAGGTGTCTCTTCGCTCAAGCACCAATTGGAGCTCGCACGGATACTATCCTCCACCCCGGTGCCCATCATGATAATAATTATGAGGTAATTGCCATGCTTAATTTTTTTATCAGATTCTTACATTTCATATTCCTCATATAGCCCTGGTAGTACAGTAAGGCACGCGAATGAGCAGATTTTAGTTCGATCTGCCATTAGCCAGTCGATTAGTGCCTGTACTCAAGTATTGTTATACTGCAGGTGTTACACGGCAGGTTGCCTTGCTTTGAAATATTAGGTTGAGTAGACTGCTTGAGAGCAAAAAAGTGCTGAACTCATCCAACTGTGATAGAGGCAGGGAATATCTGCACAGGTCTTCCTAAGAAGGTGTATACAAAATGTCATCCCGGGTAGCGGCAAACTCTCGAAAGGTAAAAGCAAGTGGATGCCAGAATTAGTTCATGAATATTCCCGTATGCCGAATAGGTCTATTCCCGTAGATATGCCGCCAATGCATTCTGATTCTGAAGGAGACAAGATCTCAATATTATGATCCCAGAACTTCTAAAAGTTTGTTTCTCGATTCTATACTAAGGGTGAGATTTAATATGATACTAGCAATCTTTTATAAATAGAGCATGAGTAATGAAACTCCTGGAGTCGTTGATATTAATCACATCAACGAAGGCACGGACAATCTAAGAGGTGGTTTCCTGAGAGAATTTGCAGGAAGGGTTCGGGGTTGATCGTCTTGTATACTTTTATGGTGGCACTGCCTTAACGCTTCCGTCCAATTTTCTAGATTATGGAACTCTGCTTGGGTTGTATAGAGAGATCAAAATAGTACATCACAGCAAAAGACCTAAAGGGCTTCTCTTAAGCCTGTAATATCAATCTCCAATTCACTTTAAGCTTGAGAGGAGGAATTGTTCGCTGCAAAAGTGAGAATAGGATAATTAGTAGGGGGCGCCTATATTATGCCAAGCTTTACATCGTCATTCGTAAAGATATACAGGTTGTGAACTCTAATATCACCATGGGAAAATACCTGAGAAGCTTGCCTTTCCTTGCACGAAGATATGAAGCCAAGAACTGAGGTCAGAGTGGTCCAGGCTGGATGGGGCTGGGGTCCCCATTAAGGTTCGTTTTAGAAAGCAACGGCTAACCAGTAGCAGGACCGGAACGAAACGACGACGGAACGAAATGGCGACGGCTAGGGGCACCGTGAAGTCTTCACGACCAAAAGCGGGGAAGTTCACACTTTCACTCTCTGCTCGCTCGCACTCCACAACTAACTGACATGCACTATCCTGCCCTTACTGCGATCATCACATATCTCTAATACCCTCCACACTCGTCTAGTTAAATTAAATCCTCCATTCTTTCGCATGTTCCCTTGCCCCGCTAGCTAGTATAATAATATCAATCTTGCTAACAAAAGAAAGAACAAATGACAGGCTCCACAAAGGCTCCCGTACCGCTCCCGCAGCCGTCACTGCTCCTATGATAAAGGAAATACAGGCTTCACACAGACTCCCAGTGGTCTATAACTCCCCGCTGCCGTTCTCATCCTTCTCCATCGGATGCGCTTTGCCAAAGCGCACAACTAAAACCTCCGCCCTAACAAAACGAACGTGCCAAAACGAACAAACGAGCGGCAGCGGGGGACGAACAGGCGGGAACGGACAAGTGAACGGGCTGGAACGAACCAGTAAATGGGCGGCAATGAACAAACAGCTGGGGGAACGGACGGCGGATAGACGGACAGATAGACCGACGGGCAAGAGGACAAAGCCATGAGCATGCCGAGCAGCATCCATGATTTCCAACAGTTTGACAGTTGGTTTTAGGGAATAAAGACTGTCTTTTCTCCAATTCAGGGGGCTCCAGATCCCTATTAGAGGACGGGATAAGCTCTCCAGTGGAATCAGGGTATTGTTCTTGTCCGAGCCACTTATTGGGATCGCGAGGTACCGGGAAGGTTGTTATTCGATGGATCTCCATAGTATTATCCCATTTATATACAGGCCCATACTTGCAATCAAAGTTGTTTAGAACCGCATCGATATCGATCGAAGAATAAGATAGAAAGTCTTACTGATACCTATCAGTCTTTCGCAGCAGCGGAGAGGCGCCCAATATCACCGTCACAGCAGCCTCTATAAACAAGATAAAGTTACAGATCTCGCCGGTGCGCATGAGGGGCGGTCATTTGTCTTGACTGCATAGGATAAAACTGGGTGTAGGTGTAAGTGGGCTCCCAAGATGAACTTTAATAGTAAAATAGCAGCCGGGCACAGATTAAGTATTCAAGATAAAAGCGCAGTAACAATCGATAAACTATCCTAATCGCGACTTCAACCAACAAAACACTACCACGGTCAAATCAGCCCCGCAACCCAACACTAAGTTGTCGCAACACGCGCGGTACCTCAAACGGCTCGACCTCGACTGCTCCCTATATCCGGCATCGGGTAGCCCATACACCATTCGACATATCGCTATCGAACAGGGCCCATGCCACACCAGTATACCAGCCGTCTTCGAGCCATCCCTATGGACCGACAATTGATATTCCAAAGAGAGGTTCTCCTGTAAGCCAAAGAGCTCCGCCAATGCCGTCTCTTTGTCCGCCGAAATCGTGATCGGAGGCCATCTTGTCAACGCAGCATCAGAGCTGCCGGGTAACGCCATACCCCCATCATCGCCCCAAGCATGCCACGACGACCCAAACTATGGATGGCCATTCCAATACGGTGCCGGTAGTTGATAAATTGGCTTTTGCGCCATCCCCTTACATGTACCGGGGGGGAGTGCCCCTTAGCCAACATTGTGTTCGTTGGCACCTTGGAGGACGTGCGGAAGAGCAACAGGGTGTCATTTTATGGACCCGGATCCACCTCACCAACCACGAGAACATTACCGCAAACCCAACCCGTACAAGTACTCGTACTGCGCCAACCAGTGTCGTACGCCTCCCGCGCGCCCAGCCCGCTAATATTCCCGTACCGCCAGATCAGTCCAACGATCCTCCTTCATATATCGATACCCCTCTCTGAGTAGTAGTCGACGTGACTCGGCATGCCCTCCAGCATCGAATTGGATCCCCATCGCCCTCAAGCTCGACGTTAGTGCCTGCAGTACGCCCCCAGTACTAACTTAAACCAGTCCCGGTCGAACGCGATCCAATTGGTCTTGATTGCGCTGAATGAAGTTCCCCGCCCCTTTGCCGCGGATCACAATCCTCGAATACCTCGATAGGGACCTTTTTCTTCCCTCTTCCCTCTTCCTACTCTTCTCTTCGTCCTTCACGACTCTCCTCTGCCAAACACAACTGCTCTTTTTCGAACGCAAAGCAAAAAGAACCGAATCTACTTTGATTGTGTCTCAGCATAGATCGCCTACCGTCCAGCCCACTCCGGGGTGTCAACAATATATCTGTTCTCGGCTATAACCCGGTCGCTCCACTACATGGCTCAGGCCCAAGCGTGATTTCTCATTCCTTGTTTGTTTTCACTCGAGATCCCGATATCCATATTTGAATCAAGGTTGCTCCAATACGGATATATAGGGGTTCTATCTCTTTCGGTTCAGACACTTCAGATAAGGAGTCAAGTCTCCCGCTCAGCGGTCCGTCTGACCAATATCCCGATACGCGTACCGAGAACTATCTTTGCCGTATGATACTAGGTCCGCAAGCGTTCTACCGTAGACATTCCGGGGTCCAATATCCACACCCGTGGTTTTTGGCCCACATCAGCGGCGGCGCCGGAGTGGGTGGAGCTACCATATTATCTCGTGAGAATCAGCGGATTCTTTTACGTTGGGAGAAGCGGCCGAGGTGAAACTTACGATTACGTCAATAGTCTATCCTCCAGCCCTTTGCGCTTAAACCAAGTATCCGTTCCCCCTCGCTCTGAGACCCCCGCTTGGCCCTTTCTGTGCCGGCTCGCCCTCCCCTCTTCCATCACTTCGCTCCGCAGAAACTCTCTCTCCCGAATCACACCTCTTAGTGCAATGCGGAATAAGGGCGCGGTGCATAGTGGATACCAAAGATATACGAGAACCAACCCATTTTCGTGTAAAGTGAACAAGTCTCCTGCTTCGTATTGCCGCAATGTGTCCTTCATGAAAAGCAAAGCGACGTCCCAAATCCGCAATGCAGAACTCCCCGCCATCGAAGTTTCCAAAGGGCGAAATCATTGCCCATCCCATGTCACCGCAATCTACATGTGGTTCGGTAAGGACATTGACCAAGCATGCACGCAGGGCAAAACACTCCTTGTCAGACTTACACCACAGCTCCTTACAACTAGCGGGTAAACTTTGAATTGCCTCTCGCATTTTATCACGTTGGTCCTTCTCAATTGCACCCAAGAGGAACTGTTCCAGGTAGGAGATGTTGCGAAAGGAAGTGAACAGGTCATGCTGATGGGCGCGCAGTCGAGCGGGAACCGCATTCGTATCCGGCGTGATTACCGGCCCCCGTGATTCGTGGCCTCTTTCCATCCACAAGCCCCAATTGAATACACCGCAACGCGATTCGGGGCGAACACAGAGCTCAGGATTTTCAAGTAGCCATTGCTCGTACTTACTATGTCGTTTGCTGTTTGGAACCCCCGGAGGTTGAACAGACGCGTAGTGGGTGACGTTTTCTCGAACTTGATTCTGAACTCTTTTTCCAACCTCTGGACCGTAAAGCAGAGAGTATGGGTCGGAGAATAAAACGAAAAGCCTCCGAAAGTTGCAATCGAGAGCTAAATAAAAGCCTCCGGACGAAGCATGAATTGGAAGATAATGCTCACTCGTACTTTCGACATCAGAGAGCGTGAGATTTTGAAGCCCAAAAAGTTTGGTCTGTGGCGTATAGGTATCAATGTCAATCTTAAAAAAGAACTTCCACAATATCATCTAAAGAGTAAAGTACGAGTACAGTATGATACCTCACTGCTCTTGTGAGTGCCGGAGATGACCGTGGTTTCGGGTGCCGAGGCCATGAATTGGGGGTTTGGGGGTACCGTACTTGAAGGGAGAGGAGGTGCGTTGTTCTGCATTACACCGGGATATTTTCTCTTAGCTGGTACGGTTGCAGTTTAGCTTGTTTTATCTGATTGATCTGATCTGATACGATTACGTATTATTTATTATCTTATCAAGGATCTTTGAAAGGGAAATGTTTTATCTGATGCGGTGGGAAATATATGTACTCGTACTGCACTGTACCCGAGTAGGACAGACTGCATACCGGTACATGATACTTCAGGCACGAGTTGCAAAGTTCTCGTCCACACTTAAGCCTCGTAAGCCCTCTGCTGCAACCAATGTCATCATACCGGTAGCACAACTACACATAATTGGGGAACCACTACCGGTATCACAATACTCAAGTGAGTACGAGGGAAGTGTTAGCATTGATATATATCACACTCGAGTACTTGCGCTTGTGCCATCCTATATAGGGCCTAAATTTGGGCTCGGCAGGTACGGTACGAGTACGAGTAGTTGTTGCCAGAGAGGTTGGTGGGGTTTAGATTATGGTGGACTAGGACTTTGCCATTCGGTACTGTGGTCTAGGTTAGGCTGGGCTTGGTTGGGATGTTGCTTATGTTGAACTGTGTGTATCTAGTGTGGCAGGCAATTTTTCTTCTTCTTCATTATGGTGTAACTAACCCACAAGTACCGGTATCGGTATTGGACCAGGAAGTGGGTCAGACAGACAGACAGACAAGACGCGGAGGAGAATCACTTTGTATGATCATTATGTGAGTTTTTATTTTTTGATCAAATCCTCATGGCTGCAATTTCGATAAATTCAAGCTCCCTACGTATAATTCAAGTTCAAAAAAGGGCAAATCTAAACTCCCGGACCTGTGTATTTCCTACCCGCACCAACTTACCGTTTGGTGCAGTGCCAGGCGTCTGAAATCGACCCTCCCCAGAGCGAAAATCAACAGCCAACACTTCACAACGGCCGGGCTTTTTGAGAAGCAAACTCGATAGAGCTTCTTGGAATTGGTTCCTTTCCGATTCTATCCACTCTAGTCGTTTATTGGGTGGGTACTGGTTGCTATGAAACCACAGTGAACAAGAGGGTCGATTTTAGGTGTCCAGCACTACTGTACGAGTACACATGTAACGGTGTGGTGTCGGTGTAAACGGTCTGACACACGATAATTCGCACCCACATAAAGAAAGAAGGAGATTATCCTTGTTCGTTTTTTTCTTTTCTTTTCTTCTCTGTTCCCCCCTGCCCCCTGCCCCCCGGCGAATACCACACTACAACTCGCAGAACCATCTCGTCTCTTCTCCATTCTCTTTCTTTCCTCTTCCCCACACACATCGCTCCTTCCCCCCCGAGGGTTTTGGCAATTCGGAGCTTTGTTTGTCGCCAGAGGTACATGCACATAGACAGTGCGTGTTGGGTTGAGTTGATTGCACTGCAACTTCCGAATCATCTTACTCTCTCTCTTGTGCTGCACCTCCGATCATATCATACTCCCAACAGTAGCCCGAGGCAAGGGCACCAGAGGGGCGTGCGGCAGAAACAGGAATATAGTATAAGACCTGGGCTTTTCCCCTTTTGCTCCCCTCTCCATCCTTCTTTCTGGATTTGCTTTAAAATGTCATTGTTTGGCTAGCAGGTTCTCTTCTTCTTTTTCTTCCCCTCCCTCGGAATTTTCTTACACAAAAGGCCCAAGGATTTTCCGTCTGTCTGGCTGCCCGTCCATCTGGATATATCGGCTTGGGGTTTTTACCTACTGCTATTTATCATGTCGCAGGAATTTGCTATGGAAGCTGGAACTCCCGCGGCTACTACTCGAAGGGCGGAGGAGGTGGCGGGTTTGGCAGCTGTTAAGGATATTGTGTTTGGTTCTGTAAGTCGCAATCTACTACTACGGTACCCTCACAAGGCGGAAACGAATGGAGGACTAACGACAGAACAGTCCGCAGGAATAGTTGGAAAAACTATAGAATACCCCTTCGACACCGTCAAAGTTAGGCTGCAATCCCAGCCTGACGACCAACCATTGCGTTACCGCGGACCTCTAGATTGCCTCAAGCAGAGCTTGAAGCAGGACGGTATCCGTGGGCTGTATCGCGGCATCTCACCACCGCTCGTGGGTGCTGCGACGGAGAATTCGGCTCTATTTTTTAGTGTTCGTTTATCCCCCCATTGCTATTCCTTCTGGTGTGCGCGCGTGTGTGCTGAACGAGGTGGGGGAGGGGGGAACAGTACAACATCGCCCAAAACCTCGTGCGGAAATTCTTTCATCCCTGTCTTGATAGGGAAGACGATCTCCCTATCGGTGCATTAGTATTCTGCGGCGCTGCTAGTGGTGCCTTCACATCTTTCATACTCACTCCCATAGAACTTATAAAGTGCAAGATGCAAGTGCAAACCGTCGGCATTCCATATCCCGCAATCCCTGGAGTGCTCCCTTCTTCCTCTTCCACCTCACGCTCCCCGCCATTCAGCACGGGCACTTCAACAGCAGGCATACACACTATATCACCGGCAAAACTGGCTGGGCCCATAACCCTCCTCGGTGAGGTTTATAGGGTCTACGGATTGAAGGGACTCTGGCACGGTCAGGTCGGCACCTTCCTTCGTGAAACCGGAGGCTCGGCGGCATGGTTCGGATCATACGAGTACATCTCTAGAACGCTTAGGAAGTGGCGGGGTAGGAGTAATAATACTGCTGGGGAAATGATGGTTGCCGGAGCTGCTGGTTTGTTCTCCCTTGCTTCTGGTCTCCACCGGAGAATATGAACTGATAGGAGGAGCAGCCGGCGTAAGCTACAACTTCATACTCTTCCCCGCGGACTCCGTCAAGTCCCGGATGCAAACCGAAGCTATCGGGATACGAGGTGACAAGAAGGGGTTCATACAGGTTGCTACGGGAATGTACCGTGCTAGCGGAATCAGAGGGCTGTACCGCGGGTGTGGATTGACATGCATGAGGAGTGCGCCATCGTCGGCGGTGATTTTCCTGGTGTACGAAAGTATGAAGAAGCATTTTGGGTAGTCACTTTATGCGCTGTGTGTGCCTAGAGTAGAGTGATGCGTGGATGGATGGTTGGTTGTTATTAGATGGGCGTTTTTTTCTTTTGCTTTGCTATATTTGCCTTGGGTGGGTTTTTCTTCTGTTTTGATAGACAAATTTTAGGTTCTACATATCCTTTTTCCTTTTTCCTTGCGAGTGAGGGGTTGTGATCTGCTTTTTTTTCCTTAGTGTCGACAACTCGTGTGAAGCACAGCATGTACCTAGGCGATTGTGTAGTTTTGGGCAAATAGACAACAATAGAGATGCCCCATATTACGGGTAGCCACCGCTTCTGGCACCGCCTGAGATGGGAGGATGCCAGCAGAGGTATCTATCTTGCAAGCTCTGGAAGGTTTGGTGCTGGGGAAACGTGAAGATTCCATCAAGAGCGTACATTACCACCTTACAGAAGAAAAATACAACCATCACCCGTAAACGTAAATCAACATACGAGAATGATAAGTTATCTCCCAACACACCACCACCACCCCACCCACTAGCCAATAATCACCAAGGAGTCGTTCCCACCCACTCACACGACTGACCGCTTCCTACGGAGAAGATAGACCTCCACCGATCACACTGTATAAACAATACCCGTCGATAACACAACACGCCCTTCTCCCATCAACAACCCTTCCCCCCCCCAACACCGGGCGGGAGTGATTGGGTGAGTGATGTATAATACCTACCTGATGATGCACGATTGCCCTCGTTTTTGTTGTTGCTCCCCAATCCTTTTCTTCTTCTTCTTCTAGGAAAGATCTGTTGTGAGTGATTGTCTGCGATAAATATGGGGTGGGTTTCAAGGGGGGTTCAGATTGGGAGTTAGGTGTAAGTTTAAGAAACACGGTTATTGGATCAATCGATTACGGTAGTTGACCGATACGAGTATCAGCTATCCGCAAGGAAGCACCAGCCCACCAAGACGAAACCATAATAATAATAATGATAATAAAATCCGGCATTCGACTACTCCCGGATGACATTATAATTATATACCCATCCATCCCCTCCAACACCAGCCCAAGTTTACTGCCCTTCCTTCTTCTTCCTCCTCTCCTCAACAATCTCCATATTCCCGCTAGGCACCTCCTCAAACCTCTCCTCGATCCACTCGCGAATCTCCACCCCCAAATCCCCCTGAACCACGATCTCATCGCCGCCACCGCCAACGCCCTTCGTCACGCTAGCGCCGCAAGCAAACTTCTTCCCCATCTCCTTCGCCACCTTCTTCAGGTCGAGGCCGAAGGCCTCAAGCCCCGTGATGACGATGACGTGCTTGCGCTTGGTGCGCTCCACGCGCTTGAGTATGACGGGCGAGGAGAGTTTCTTGGCCAGCTCCCGTTCCTGCTTCGCTTCGTCCTTGAGCGCCTTCCTGGCCATCGCGGCTTCCGCCTTTTGAGCCTTTTCCTGGGCGGCGGTGGAGAGGTTTTGCATGGCGGATTCTATGGCTTCTACTACCTATCAGCACGCAAGGTCGGGGATTGCAAGGGGAGGGGGGGGAAGGAAACCGAGGTTGTAGATTACGGGCACCAATTCCGAGTGATTCATTTCTAACCATTCACGGCATTTCTTGGAGGTTGTGCCGAATTCGCAGTACTGCGTTCGTTCATTCAGACAGTGTCAGCCAGCGTTCACGCACCACGGGGAAGTATTATACATATAAAGCGTACCTCTGGTGGGAGCGTGCAGACTACCGTTCCCAATCCCCCGTATAAGCAAATTATCCCAAAGGAGGGAAGGAAGGAAGGAAGTGGGGAGGGAACTCGCCAGCACAATAAAGCACCCTCTTAGCCTGCGGTTCCTGTGGTTCCTGCGGTACAACTACCCCTTCAGTATCTGCCATTATAGTAGTGCTTTGTCTAGAGCTGTTGTTGTTGTCGTCGTCGCCGTTATCGCGGCTCAAACCGATGATGTCGGTAAAGTGAGGGGTTAGCTATGATACCGTACAGTAATAAACGGTTGATGCACAGCACGAACTGGGACACGGGAACAACCTTTTTCCGGCCCAGAGGCAAGTGGGGGAGGGGGTGTGTTCCTAGATTTATCGATTATCATGATCAACGGCACGCATGTATACCGGTATAATATTATGATAACTCGAGCACGATAATAATATTACGATACCGAAAGGGCTCCGATGCATGTCCTTTGTGGGAACCAAGAGGATTTGAAGAATTAAATAAATAAAAAACCCAAGCTCTTGCAAGCCTTACTTCGGGCATCATACGAGTGTCCTCGGTGAATTTCATTGGGCTTTGGTACTATACTTGAGCCCTCCTTCTTCACACTGAGAGTCTACAATACTACCGCGCGGAGAGATTTATCCAGTATCATATAGTCTTGTACTCACAGTGTGGTAGACTACAGTACGAGTATTGTACTGTACTTGTACAGGGTGGAAAGGGAGAAAGAAGGAAAAGAAAGAACTCGTATCACACGGGAAGGACACGGGCCGTTGCGCGTTCTGTGTTTTGGATCCGGGGATCATGGGATCGTAAGCAGGCATACGGGGCGCTCTCGAACATGGCGTTTAGGTGGTTGGTATTGGCAGACGAGGGGAGGGCGAGTGAGTGAAAGATCACGATAAATCTATCACAAGTTCATCTGTGTATTACATGCGGTAGACTAACGGGTTAGGTGGGTAGGTTTGTTCCGTGTGTTTGCGGTGTCGCGGGATGAGATTGTATCATACAAATTTAATACTAGATTAAGCTATTCACAGTACAGTAGTGTATAAAACAATTAGTATTAGGTAGGGTGTTATCGCTAGATAACTTTGTTGTATGATAACCTTGGGTTAATACGGTGGGAGAAGGAAGGGGAAAGCAAGGTGTTCACTCATACCGGTACTGCGAGATGCGATCATAACGTCCGCGTTCCTACTGTGCTTGTACAGTACCGCTGTGGTGCTCACAGTTCCTCCTACCCGATAGTTTTATCTCCAAGGTACCCCACTGACGTACCTGTTGTCATCATCATTTCCTCCTTCCTCCTTCCTCCTTCCTCCCTTCCTCCACCTCCATCAATTGACCGTAATTCAATTGATAGTCCCACCCGGCCAGCTCAATCTCTAATCTTCCATGTATGATAGGGTAGAGAGTACCGCTATGGCACCAGCTATCCATCCACAACCGGAGGGCCAGAACAAAAAGCGCCACAATTACAGGAAAGAAAAAAGAAAAAAGGCCAGCGTATGCATTTCGCAATCGCCATCAACGTACGAGTAAAGATATTAAAAATAGCTTCTTGCCAGCCTCCCTCCCTGATGATAGCTTAGTGGACGGGTCAGTAAAAAGAAAACTAATATTTAGCGTTATTGCGGCATTTTGATACCATGTCCTTTCTCGCTTGTTACCCCCCCTACTCGAGTCGGTACATTGGCCCCGAGGTCAATTCAATCAATCCAATTCCACACCGACGTAGACTACCGCTGTACCGCTCCTACGCTATGATACCCCCCCATCACGGAGTGGAGAAGAGGGGTGGAAGCAGGAGGAGGAGGGAAGGAGGTTGTGTCATGGACGGATGAAATGATAAAAGATTCATTCTGCATTCAGTCCTGTTGCTGCGGAAGGGTCGGAGAAGGAGGGGGGTTTGATAAGGACTTGAATTGCAGAGAGGACTGGGCGCTTGGAACAACCCTCTCATTATTATTATTATTCGAAGGGTGTGAGGGGGTTTGTATGGGTGTGATGAACGTTGCGTGCTGTGGCTAGGCCGTCAAGCTAACGAGTGTGGTGTGGCGTCTAGAGGGGTCGCCTAAGCTGACCGTGCATTTGGGTGCGGCAGTGTGGTGCGGTTCCGTGCCTTTGTTCGTTTGCCTGTCTGGGATGGATGGATGCGGGCGATGAAACGGAATTCCGTCCTGAGCCAACTTGAATTACCTATCTGCTGTACCCGTACCCCGTGGAAAATTCACCTTTGGCCTATGCCGGTGCGATAAACAGCGGGAAGAGGAGGGAGTTCGGGGAACCATACTCGAGGAAGCCTAATTCTACCGTACGATACTCCACTCCACCACTCCACCACTCCACTCCACTCTTCCCCAAGGACTGGTAAGCTTAAGCTACGATGTTCGAGCTCCAGTTTTTCACCTCTCCTGCCTCCCTTCCTTGTGGGAAGCTTATCTAAGGCTAACATTATGGTTTTGTTGAACAAACTCTCAACAAAACGTGACGTTGCCGTTGGTGGCTACTTTTTCGGGTGATCCGGTTGCTTGATTGGTTTACTGAGACCTGTCGTGATTTCCTTGGACTTCCTTGCTATTCCTTGCAAAATAAATTTACCTGTTGCGGTTTGGTAAGAAAGGACACTTCGTGTATCTTGCACCGGTGCCGCGCCGTAAGATCGTACTTGTGCAAGTATCCGGGGAGAATGTTTTCCTGCAAGACAGGCACTGTTTTGCAGGTTAACATGAATTAACCGTCCGCTAGCTTTGTATTGGGCACTCGTGCTCAAGTATCATACCGATACGAGTAGAGCACCGGTACAAGAGATACTCAAGTAAAAAAAAAAAAAGCCGCAAGAGACGGCGGTCGAAGTGATCCTCGCCTATGTGTGTGTGCATGTGTCTGTGGCGTCCGAGAACCATTGTCTTCTCATTCCCCGGGTTCGCAAGTGAAACGGGTTTGAAGTGCTGAGAAACCTGTGCAAATTTTCATCGGCAGGAACGGGGGAATCGTGGGGGAAGGATGTGGATATGATAAAAAAGAAAAAAAGAAAAAAAAGAGAATGAAACATAAATAAATAGCAATCCTCGTAGGGTACTCGAGTACCGTATCGTAGTATGATAACCATGGTAGTACAGTGGACACTATCCGTACGAGTGCCGTATGTACTGTACTCGAGCAGACTCATTGTTCTCGTAGAGAATGTATGTAGGGAATTGTGGATCTAGCCTACATTCAGCAAGTTCAGTGCAGAGTTGGAGTGATCCTCTGGTTAGGGCTGTCATTCTTGGTAATTGGAGAAGTCAGCATGGATAGATCGAAGTGAGTATGATACTTCCTGCATCTGCCGTAGTCGAGTACTTGAGTCGGTTACAGAGGTCCCATCCATGAATTCATCCAAGAACCAAATCAGATCCATGCAGAAGGGAAAAGAAGAAAAATTGATGAGCCTGCAGGTTACAGGTATGATACATACTCGAGTGCTCGAGTACGGTAAGCCTTCTGGTAGGAGCTATCCACAGCCAACTTGGTTACCGTACCCGGTACTTGCGCCTTCAAATTGAGAATTTGCGTTCCAAGCATCGTCGCCTCAAGTATGCAATTTTCGGAAAATTCATGGGGAGGGGCGTGAAGGAATGCATCTCGCGAGTGGTAATCTAATTGGATGAGTTGAGGTGCAGCCGTGGTCGTCGACGGGGGGCTCAAACTTGCCCATGGAAAGGCCAGCAATGTAACTCGAGTATCATACTGAGTACTCGAACAGGGGGGGAAGTAAGCAAGAAAAGAAAAAAAAAAGAGAAGGAAAAAGGAAAACCCAGAAGAGCGTTTCCCTAGTCCTCATGGAAGCTTTTCCTGGCCCGTCGAGACGAGATCGGTGGGGAATAACCGTTGTTACACAGATGGGTTAGAAAGTATGGTCAGTTAGCGGTCAAGAAATTGAAGATAGTTGTGGTACATATTGTACCGGTAGGTTACGGGGCCAGGTTTTGATTTGATCTTTTTTTTTATTGCTCGTCTTGTTTCGAATTCCTTTCGATAGAATCATTTCCCCCTTCATCCATCCACACATCCACCCCCCCTGTGGGTCCTTCTTTCCCCCACCTTGTTACTGTTGTGTTGATTAGGGAAAAGAAAAGAGAGAATGTGGGATGCGACAGTTTAGCTAAGTGGTGGTGGTAGGAAGCGGAGGAAAGGCAAGTTAGGCCAGAGCCCAGTCTAGCTGTTATTCAAGTAGCTGGCTGCCGTATCAACATCCCTCTTAGTCTCCTTCTTTTAATTCTGAGGAGCTTCATGCCATGCATACCAAGGGTCAAGGAAGAGGAGGTGGAAGGAATTCCCCGGACCATTGCTAAGGTTGGATAGGTGGTTCCTATCAGGGGAAGCACATTTTCGAAGGAGGAGAGGAGCTGAAAGGAATACATACTCGAGTATAGAACCGTTATCTTGATGCGGAGAGCTTAAGAATAAGTACCGATAGATAAAGAAGATCGGGACAGGTTGGGTACTTGAAAGTCCACGGCGCGATGCCTAAGGCGTAGATAGTGGGTATGGTACGATATCATACTGCACAGGTACCGGCGGTGTCAGTCCCTATCGATAAGAGGTAGTCTGGTGTGCCTTGATTTTGCTTCTTACTGTTCGGCGTAGGTGGCATCCTGCTACTTTATGGAACAAAGTATTACGTTATCGTGAGAGGGATCCGGATGTACTCGAGTACTCGAGTACGGCTCCTCCTTTATATCACAGTCCCGTTCCCTAGCTCCCCGTTCCAAGCGCGTTTGACCACAGTAGTTTGGCCAATTTTTGGAATGGAGGATACTCTTACAGACAGGCACGGGTAGAATTTTGGGACCCGAGAAAAGGTAAATTGGTGGGGATGATTTAGATTTCGCCGGACGGGGGGACATCCCGTAGTTCGTAATAAGGACGGGTGAGATACTACTCGTACAGGTACTCGTAGAAGGACAGGATGGCTAAGAATAGGAACAGGGAGAACAGAAGAGAACAGTGGAGGCGATGGTGAATTCCTGGTTTGACATGATGATCTCTCCCTCACTCCTCCCCCTTCCCCTTGTTATAATACTTCCTAGCCTTTCCCATGAGTTTCTTTGAGGGTTGTACAAGTAGCTATTGCTAGATGCCCTTTGAATTTAGTACCTTGTACTCGTACAAGCGTCATCTCCCACCGTAATTTGACTTACATAGTACGATACCGAGATCAATTGAGCACCTCCAAGTGGGGCAGTTTCATTCGTCCTTTTTTTTGACACCCATCCACCGTAATCATTACAGTACTTCCCTGATGCCCTCTTTTTTTTGTGTGTATCATATCTTCTTCCTTGGCGAACAAGCCTAGCTGCTCCCATCAAACCCTGTCCCTACCTAAATCTCTCTGTTCGCTATCGGTGGTTGCTTTTTCTTTTTTTGGCTCTCCTTGGCTTTGCCTTCTGTGTGGTTGGTTGGCTGGTTGCTCACTCGCACTCCAAAATGTGTTCCACATTGTAATTTTTGATCTTGGCGACAAGGGAAACTTTCCCCCAGGTTTTCCATACAAAATTCCGACTTTCAACTAGCTACTACGGTACTCGAGCAAAAACAACTACAACAGGTTCCGTCCTACAAACTCCAGCGATACAAGGGCCATCCATAGGGACTTTGAGTATCATTAATTTCAAATTTTATTGACAGTCCTAAACACCGACACAGAGAGATGAAGTTGGCTTCCTTTGTTGCTTGCGAAGTCCCATACAAATTGGCTGTCTTGGCATAGTTTTGGACCTTCAGTCTGACATTTAACTTGAGAATCTTTGGCTTAAAATCTGCCAAAAATTTTTGCGGGGTTTTTCTGATTGTTCATCGCTAGAAAGGAGTTTATTTTGTTTTTTTGATCTTTTTGTCTTTGTCATGTAACTTTAGTTTATGGTGCGGAGACGTGCGCGCAGCACGCTCTGTGGTATTCGATAGGGGCAGAATGGGAATTGGTGTTTTGTAGGGAAAACCGGGGGGGGGGGGCACGTTTCTTTTGTTGCCAAGATCGTGCCCTACACCTTTGGGTCTTCCCATGCAAACGGTACCCACTAACTTGCCCTCCACCACCATCGCTACACCATCATATTATTACCACACACCCTTCTTCCCACGTACAAGTCCAAGTCGCCTCCTCGCTGAAGAAAAGGGTACTTGTAGTAAACCTTCTTCCTCCCTCCCGGCCCTTTTTCTTCCGCTGCTCCCCCTCGGAACTTTAAACCTGCCTTCCTCGGTGTTTGTTCTTGGTCCATCTTCCTGTCTATCTGCTTACCTCTCTTTTTACTGCCCGTCTACCTCTAGCATTTGCGTGTGTACGTAATGCCACGGCCGTTGCGTCTGCTATTTCGCTGGTCTCCTTGCGTGCTCTGCGGTCTCGGTCTCGGCCTTTAAACATCCCATCGTCCCCTTTGCCCTCCAAAATAACGCAACACACCCATTACTTCTCTCCTCTTGTCCGTCCGTCAGCCTCGAAACATTTGATGGGCTTTTCTGTGTTTTTTTTTTTAAAAAAACGCTAAAGAGTTTATCGCACGAGCCTGTGCCTCCTTCTTCATCGCTGGTACTGCTGTTCTCGTTCTCGAATTGACTACCACCACCGCCTGCCTACTCCGACGCTGCTACTCATCCTACCGCCCTGATAACTTGCCCTGCTCCACCCGCCGACCAGACGAAGGGAATTGAGAGTACATATAGGACAATTTAGCCGCAGTCTGCCAACAGATTCTATTTCTCGCTCACTTTTTTCTCCATAGTTTCTTCTCAATTTACTACACTGGCTTTTGTTAGCACGTCATTGGGCAACACGCCTGCCGCTACTATTGCCAGGTCCTACCGGCCGTTCAACTAACCCCCTCGAGAAAGAATAATCATGACCGAGATTATGGCTGCACCTATCCACCTGGACGTTTGCTATCAACCTGGGTCGTCTCCTAGGTGTCGATCACCTCAGTCTGCGTACGCCGGGCCAACGGGTTCATATGTTGATTCACTCTCCAACTCAGAGTATGATCCGTACGATAGTCACAAGAGTTCTCCTCCCCCCTCATCGATCTCATCGTCGTCACCTTTTTCGAGCATTGCGAGTCAATCTTCCGTTCCTTCTTCTGTTGCAAGCAGCGTCTGTCTTGATACCATTCCAATAGATAATGACGATCAATTCCTCTTTCCAGTATACGACCAGTCAGCCGTCTCATACTGCTCGGATGAGTATGATTATACTTCTGAGGACTATAATACGCCTGTTCCCGGCACTTCACCACGGAGTCCGTCCCCACCCACGATTCCCGAGATACCTGAAATAATATTTGTTCCGGCGGATGATAGTGTTGTACGACACGAGCCGTCACGACACGTAGATTACCTGTCGCATGATTGGAATGAGGAGGATATTTGGGCGTCATGGCGATATATGGTTGGAAAGAGAAAAGTTTATAATAATGCAGCTCGTTTGGAGAATGCTTCATGGCGGACATGGGCAAAGGCAAAGTTCAAGTTAAAAACGGTTTCGCCCGAGACTTTGAATTGGTAACGACCAAACCGCCACCTTGACATGGTTTTCTATGAAATATTTGGCTAAACGAAACGCAGGTTGAAGGACTGTGACGTGACATGGCTCTATGGCCCGCTGTCCACAAGTAACCAAAAAGCGTCCTTGATGGTCTCGCCATCATCGCCAACGGTATCCCCGACTGAACCACGAATACCCAGCTCAGGCTCTTTTTACGTAAAGAAGCCTATTTTAAAGAAGCGAAGTATGTCTGAAGTTATGCTTCAAAAATCGCTATCAAGTTCGAGCCTACTCAAACAAGCTGCTGCGGCCATTGAGTCACAACAAGTGGAGATGGATTGTAAAACTTCTAGACCGGCAATGGTTGCAAGGGCGAATTCGGACTTTGCCGCTTTGTCATACGCTTCGAAGACTACGACTGCGATTAACACCAGCGAATTACCCTCGGCCCTTTCTACCGGATGCCCTTCACCATCCTATACAAAGCATATACACTTTAATGACCAGGTACAACAATGCATCGCAGTGGATAAGGATGACGAGGACGATGAAGAGGATGAAGATGAGGAAGAGAATGAAGTCTTTCAGGTGGAGAACCTTGAAGATAGCTCTTCAGATGATGATGATGGCTTACTCATGATGCCGAGGCCAAAGGTTGCCGTCAAAAGCACTACACGAACGAACTCCGGCGAGCACCAAACAATTGCCATGTTACCATCCACTACACTAAAGTATGTTGAGGAGCCGGTTGTTAAGAAGAACGACACTTTCAACAATATTGGCACGTTCATATCTTCATTTGCTACGCCTGCCCCAACTCAGCCCCAAGACCTGGATCAATCATCGTTGGTTGGGACGAAGTCTTACATACTGGAGGATGACGACGATGACATGGCAGAGCTGGACTGGGAGCCTAGTGGAGGGGCGTTTAGATCCCGACGGGACAGCGTTGCCGTTGCACACGATCGGTTTAGCAGAGCGGATGTCGATATGGGCAATGCCCACCGTGACGACTTTGAGCTCCCGAAGTACACATATGAAGAAGACGAAGATGATGAGGTTGCGGCTGGGTTATTTGGCAGGGCCGTGGATGCAGTCAATACCGCTCGGGATATTGCGCATGTTCTTTGGAACGTTGGCTGGAGGAAATAAACCTTTCCGGGGGGGGAAGAAAACCACCACAAGGGAAAAACTTACCTTCTTGCCATACGTTCATCTATACTGTATTGAAGGATGGATGGTATGGTATCGGATAGACTCGGCGGCCGTGGGGCATGAAGGAAGGGAGTGGTGGTGGGTGTGCTATTTGTAAAGTTTTTTTTTATCGCCTCTTTGTTTCTTCATTTTACAAGCGAGCGCGGAACGAACGCAAATCACCCTTTTCTTCTCTTTTTACCTTGTTCCATCGGAGAATCCCACCGATTCCTGTGGTATCGTCGACAGCACTCAGCAAGCGAGCGAAGTCAAACCTATTCAGTCAATCTACTCTAAAGCCATTCCTGATGGCAGGCTTTCCGGTTGCTTTGTTATTATACACTTACTTGCTCCTCTATTGCTACTCCAATCGAATGAACGGAGCCCTGGTTCTATCAATTAATCGACATATACCTTGAACTACTTGCCACCTTCCCCTCGGTTATACGTTCCTGGAATCTGATTTCCCTTTTTTTTCTTTACATTTTCTTCTCTTTCCTCGTTTGTTCTGGCTGCTGGCGTTTTTGCGTTTTTCCCACCTCTTCCAATTTCTTGTTACATTGACTCTAGCTGCCTTATCTTGCCTTACTCTACCGTACACTACCATCGATATCTAACAAGCTCGGATTGATTTGATTGCTTTGGTTTATTGACTGATGCTCTTGGGGGGTTTGAAAAAAAAATTGTTTCTTTTCTCGTTTCGATTCCCTTGTATGTACGTCTTTTTTCTTTTGTCAAATTGGGTCTGGGGGGTTCGTTATGTTATACTTGATATTTCGGCTCTTGATTTTTTTCGATCTTTCCCCCTTAACTTGTATAAAAGTTAACAGTTTTTCATGTAACTTACTTATCATAGCCACGAATGGCACGGGTGGAAAAGTCATGGTTGGTTTTACTTATGGTGGTCTGGTGGTGGTGGGGTAATTGTTGGTTTGTTGGTTGGTTGGAATGGGACTGGTTGGAGGGAATGACGGAGGGGAGGGGGGGGGTATGTGAAATGGAATGGAAATGAGAATGGGAAATGTAATGGATTCTGGTAATATCACGCTTTACTTCGACTACAGTATCGGAATGAGTGGATGAAGGAGGTTGAGGATTTGTTACAGTACCAGCTGTTTCACTGTACTACAATTGCGATCACGGCGAGCATAGTACTAGTACAAGCACTGTACTCGAGTATTCGCGGGGTGGGCTCTGTCTATAACACCCAATGAGTCTCTGCGGTGCTCGGTGCTGGTGTCTGCACGCCTCACTGGACCGTTTGTCACTTTGCATGTTTAATTAACGCCATCCTACCAGCTACCGTGCATGCCCCCCGTTGCGCACACACGCCCGCGCCCGCGCCTTGGCCTGGCAACACTTGAGTAGGCGAGTTCCAAACGCACCTGCCGGCGTGGATCACCCTTCCGCGGACTGGTTTACTGTGCAGTATACACGCTACAGTGTGATCTGGGAGTTGTATACTCCATTTGCGCTTCGGGTGGGTCGGTGGTATTGGTACCTGCTATGGTGGTGCACGGGTTTTAAGACGGAGGGAAGGGAGGGAAGTGGGTAACTTAGACAGAATCGAGAGAAAGACGAGAAGCTTGGGTATTGTGGTGGAGTTATTGCGATCTTGGTTAGAGCTGTCTACGTTTGAGGCTTGCTACTTTACGAAGGAATAGCTGCGAGCTGTGGATGGGGAGCATCGTGCTGTGCGCTACTCGCACCAGTACTGTACTCAAGTACACTCTTAAGCAGCAACAATGTAGCCTTGCTGTGAACTCACACTAGGGGCCCGAATACTGTGTGATACTGTGCCGCGCAATGCCTTCTCCCTCCCCTCCCTCCTCCTGCCCCCCCCTCCTCCTCCATCTCCTCATAATTCGGCCCCGTTAGCCTAGGTCCCCGCTCATGTCGAGCAATACAATGCAACTACAGCGCCGTATCTGCTTTTGTGGGAAGAAAAGCAATTTAAACTATGGATCTTTGATGCGCACGAATAGGCTCTCTTCATCTCTATACCCACACTCTACATCCCAGTCCAGTCCGACCCTCCGCGGCTCTCCCCTTTTCGCAGGCCGGGCGCAATAAGTTCTATCATGCTAACGGTACAGTATCTCAGCACGTGCCTACCATCCGCCGAGTGATGGCATGTGAGACGAAGAGTTTGTAGCTCCATCTTCCACTTTTTCCCCCCAGGCGATCTATGATAGCAGGGATGGGAAGGAGCGCGAAATGGCTTTTGGATAAGGAATTGGAGGAAGCCGAGGTTCGTCTGAAGTTTTCTGGATTGTGCTTTGGGCCCTTCTGCTCGTTTCAGGTTCGGGGTTTGGGATCCCGTGTGCTCTCAACCCTGATACTCTTGTGCGATTTGTGCGATGTTTTATCCCTGTCGGTAGGCACGGCAGCGAATACAGTTATGACTGTGAACTCGGCACGGTGGGCTTTCTCGTTTCTCGTGCGGGCCTTCCGTTGATCTTTGCCGCGGGAGGGGTCGAAGGGATCAGTTGCTGGGGACTCGCAAGGGCTTTTTCCAGCCAGCCATCCTCTTCAACATGGTCTTGTGTTTTGGCCGATCAGTTAGTTAGCTTGTATGATAACGGCGCTACAAGTGTCATGCTCGCTGGCTCGCGCAAATGGAGGGGTCAATTCTTTGATGATCGATTCCTCATTGTTCTTGATCGACTACGATGCTACGGTAAGGGTGAGAAAATGGTGGATCGGAATGATAGCACTTTGGAATAACATATTCTCCAGAAAAAACTCTAAGTAGATGTGGGGGGTAATAGTGAGGTGTGCATGATAGTCTACTTGTAGAAGGGAAAGAGGGAAAAGAAGAAGAAAAGAAGAAAAGAAAGTCGGAAAAACATTGTGACGAGACGAATCTCAATCAGTTACCGTGCTAGCGCTTAGGGTACGGGTATTAATATGTATCGTATCATACCCCTCTCACTCACAATCGGAAAACCGTTATGTTGCGTCAAGCAAGTACTCGTACTGTAGTACCGTAGAGATAAGCGAGACGAAAAGGGACCAACCAACCCCCTGCGGTGAGTTCAAGCTTAGTCTACCGGCAAACTTATCTTCTTCCCTCCCCCGCTATCAGTCGAGCACGGCAATCAAGTCCGGAGGCGAAGGGGAAGGAAGAAGGGACGTACCGGTAATCGGACCGAATACGGTAGTCTCACGCGTGCGTATCAATGGACGGTCGGTGGCTCTCTTTGCCGGGATTGAAGTAGCTCACCAAGTATCACTCGGGCACGGATGCTTCTGGTTGCTGGAGGTGGGGGGGGGGGAGAGATAAGGGTTATCAAAGTTGGAGGGTGCGGAGCCATGTGGAAAGGAAGGAAGCCTTCACGGAAGATAAGTAACCTTATCTTGATAGGAAAACCGGACGTAATGATGAATTGCTTTCGTATAGATACATATATATATATATATCGGGTGTCTGAGGAGCTTGATCGTTCCGATCCCGGAGATACGGTTGTAGGGTGAGACTGAAGGGTTGGCTGGCCTTGGGAGAAATGTATATATCTGGGGGTCACTTAATCGTTTCCCGCCCGGCGCCTGGATCGAGTGGCTGGGAAGGGGGAGAGAGAGTGCTTCCCATGACTTTAGTTTGTGGCTGTTGGCCGGTCACGAATTGGGGGGGGGTGATGAAGTGCTGCACTCTAGCTCGAGTCTACGAAACATGATGGATAATTCCCCACTCCGGCCCATTAGAATCACCGTACATAGTGTTCAAGTGAGTCTCCTCCTGGCTGGTTGTTCATAAATTTGTGATCCTGAAATCCTAGCTAGGTGGGGTACTGTACTGTATGATACAGCAATCTTTTTTTTGCTGGCGATGCACGCCTTGAGTGAGGTACGATAGTCTTCTGTTTACCCATAGTCATTCCAATCCTGCAGGTCGAGTTATAGGATATCTAGAATTTATCACGGGGGAAGAGGGAGGTTTTGTCGATATTCCCCCCCCCCCCAAAATTCCCAGAATATACCTCTACCTATCCTACCTACCTACCTACTTTCCAATCAATCAAGATCAGTCAGGTTCTTTTTTCTTCAAATGCCCCATGTGATGAAAAACGCCAGGAGTATGATATGATATGATATCGTCCCTTATCTGATAGAACTCTAATGGTGGATCGAGATTGAGGTGTTAAGTTGTATTGGATGATAAATATTTAGACTACTTTTCCTGTCGCACGCACCCACACCGACCATTCGTGGTATCATACCGCTGATTGGCGTCTCTACTCGTATATTGCCTTTGTGATACATGGCTGCTAAGGCTCGTCTGTGTATTACAATATGGTGCTCTATTGGATATGGAGGAGTGTGTCATATCTGAGCATCTGTTCTTGTGCCGCCAAGGATGGTACTCTCCCATGGCGTCGGGCTAGTGCATTAGGGGCACGTTAAGTGAGTAAATTGGGCTCTCAAAGCCTAAGGAAAGGGGACGGGCTGACTGTGGGGTATCACAAGTTGCCATATCATATGGCTATACCGGTGGGGAAAAGATGGAGAAGCAAAATATCACTCCAAATTTCTATGATACTGGACCGAGCCAGCGGTGCAAGCACAAACCACAGCAACACCCCTGAAAGGATTTAATGCCACGGTACGGGGAATTTGCGATATACTTACTCCGTCTACACAGGTGAGATTGTCCTCCCAATCTCCGGTCTCGGCTGCTGGAACTGCCCTGCCCGGTCAAGAATTATTATTATCCATGAGAGCAAACCGCCCCATTATAGTCCTTCGAGAGCCCGATTTTTTTCTTCTTCTTTACAGGATCATTTCAACACCTCCGGGCAGTGTGGTAGAAGGAAAAAAGGAAGTTGATATTTGCCGCGATGTGGAGCTGCGATCAAGAAATTTATCTATATGGGGTCCCCAGCATGCTCCATTGAATGCAACAATCGTGCGCACACACCGCCCGACTTGCGGACTTTGCGCAAATCAGGGAAGCATGAAACCGAGTTCTTCCGCTGCGCATCCGGTGAGTTCGAAATAGTCGGGTTACTGTTTAGCATGCTCTCGGAATCGAGCTGAAACTGTAGCGGGGGGGGGGGTCACACCACACGGTAGTGAGAGTTCGCTGTCTTCCCGCCCTGTCAGAAAACTTCCCATACACGGGGTCCCCTCCCGGGGTGGACTCACTGCTGGAAGTTGTGGCGGGCCGGAGGAGGGAAGAGGTAGGGAAAGGCACAGAATGGTGCTGCTTGGTGCAGCCAATGCAATCGAGTGTTGGAGGGAAGAGGGCGAAAGCACAGTGCAAAATCTCTTGGATTGACACAAACCTCCCTACTCCCGGTTGTGGGGAACCGTTGCTCCTGGCGACGGCGCGAACCCTCTAGAAGAACATCACTGCACATCGCTAACTATCAGGGCTATATAGAGGTGTTGCGCATGCAGATAAGAAACAGCACAGTCGACCTCAGCTTCAAGGACAACCGCGACAGCACGTCGTATCGGTAATAAGGGAGACAAGAGGGGTGTGATCGGGAATGTAAGTTCCGTAGGATCCATGGCTTAGGTGGTTGGTTGCCTGGGAGAAATGTTGCGCTTTTGCTTTTGTTGGACCTTTGCACTGTGCATAGTAATGTTGGATCAATAACTAGTTTTTTAAGCGGGACGTGGGGAATCGTGGCTCTCTCCCAGCCGATCACACCTTATGATAAAACATTGAATTTCTTGAAGCTTATGAAGTTGGTCAATAGGCAAGGAACCAGATGTATGAGTGATAGTTCATGACCCGATCCGGCCAAGCCACGACCCTTCGCCAAAGTAAATTGTCCACTAGACTATCCAAATCCAATCTTTCAAACCTCAACTTCACCCCACCACCCCCAAACAAGCAACCAATCCCACAACCACCCACCACTCACCCGGAGGGGGAAAAACCGAATTCTACGATGCGCCGAAAGCTCAATACCCTGCGGAAACCCGTACCTCCCCCCTCCCCCTCCCCTCTACATCATCAACACTCAAACTGACCCCCACAACAAAACAGCAATTCCGCCAATCCTGGTCCAAGTACGCCCTGTACAACATGTCCCGCGCACCGCAGCCGCGCATACCCTCTCAGAAGACCTTTTTCCAGCAAAAGTGGGCGGCGAAGGCGGAGGTGCGCCACTACCACGGGGAACACCTAACGAACCGGCAGTGGCAGAACATCTTCCGCCACACCATGAAGGCAAGCGTGCCCATGCAGAACACGCGGCTGGCCCAGAACAACGGCAGCGATATGGCGATGGGCAGGGGCAGTGGGCTGCAGGGCGATGAGGGTTATGGGAGGGTGAGGACGGTGCCGTACATGAGTCAGTTGTTTTGGCCGATGGAGAGGAGGCTCGACATGGCCGTGCATAGGGCTATGTTCGCAAGCAGCGCGAGGCAGGCGAGGCAGTTTGTCGTGCATGGGTTTGTGAAGGTTAATGGGAAGAAGGTATGGTCTTTTCTTCTTTGCCCTTTTCGGCGGGGCAGGGTGATAGAGAGAGGAAGGTTGATTAAGTGTGTGCAGATGGTGCACCCGGGTTATATGCTCAACCCCGGGGATATGTTCTCTGTCAATCAAGACCAAGTACTTTTCGCAACCGGGCAGCCAAAGCGCAGTTTTAGGAAGACCGAGGGCGCAACGGAAACCAACGTCTCCACCGCCGAGGGTGAAGAAAAAGCTAAGGGAGAGGAAGACCAGGACAAAATCGAAGCTAAGGAAGGAGAAACCGTAGAAGATGCAGATGCGGAGACTAAGTCTGAGGGAAAGGGGGCGGAAGCATCATCATCACCATCACCACCTAGCGAGAGCAAGCAAGTCTCGACCGAGGGAGAGACAGAGGAAGAGATTAGGCTTAGAGAGGCCAAAGCAAAGCTCAAAGCTTTGAGCGAGGACCCGAATAACGTCTTGGATGTAACGAAGCCTTATGCTACGCCTTGGATGCCGAGGGACTATATGGCGCCTTTCGCGTTCATTCCGAGATATCTCGAGGCATGATACATCTAATTTATGTCTAGATGGGATTTTGGCTAACAGGGCTAGGTAAACCACAATACATGCCATGCTGTATATCTCCGGCATCCGGTTGCTAAACCTGGATTGGCTGAGGTAGGACTATCCCCACCCCTAGGTAGCGTACCAAGTTTCCACGCCTGACAATGCTTCCCCACAGGCACCATCTCCCTACCCCGAAGAAATACTGCAAATGGCATTCAACTGGTACCTGAGAAGGCGATAGACATCCATATCTCAATCATTCACCCATTTCACTAAAATTTATGAAATTATGTGAGCCAGGTTGAATCCACTCGCCATTATTACTCTTCATCATTCCCTAAATGTGTACACTCGATGTCTTTTTTCTCCTTCTACCGCATAATAGAACAGAACAATGGTAAAACACGAGGTGTGAAATCCACTGTCTAACAAGGAAAGATAATCGGACATGAAAAATAGCAAAAAAAGAAAAAAGAAAAAAAAAAACTCAACGAGCTAATGTAGGACTCATTCACAAAAAGCACTTAGCCAGCATGTTCTACAATCTCAGTCACCAATTTGCCACCCTTGATCGTAGTCTTTAATTGCTCCGGTACTGCGCACTCCTGGTAGTCCCAATCTTCGCCAACACCCGGAACGTTGATGTTGATTGCCGATGATTTTGAAGTGAAGATTTCCATGTCTAGTGACTCTTTTGAGACGTATACCGTGCCACCATCGCATTGGTCGACTTGTAGATTTGGAGCCTTGCCCATGATTTGTATGGCGAAGTTGTTGGACTTGATGACCTCAATGGAAGAGACAAGGTTGTCTACAATGATGTTTGTCTTGCCGCATTCATTAAGAGAAACAGCGTTGATCTTGCCCTTGATTTGGATTGTTGTGTTCTTGCAACGGAAGATGAAAACCGAATGATTGATTTCGACATCTTCAAGAGTCAATGCCTGTTCGTTCTCATAATTCTCCTGAGGGACAAAACACTGTTAACGTCCGAATACCGAGAGATAGTCGGTAAGAATGTGCTACCTACAATGTACCATTTACTTCCATCCAATTCCTTCTTGGGAGGCTTCTTCTTGGTTAGGTGTGCGGGTTTAGATTTCGAAGGAGGAGCAGGGGATTTTGCTCGCAGGCTGGAGGAGGATCTCGCTGGAACAACGGAACTCGCTCTAAGAGACGGGTTCTTGTGTGTCATTTCATCCTTATTTACCTTGCGCAGGCCAGCCGTAACATCAGACCCGCGATTGATCTCGGCAAATACTGAACCAATATCTCCCACTGGAGTCCCCGACCCATCAAGTAATCCTAGTGGCGGGGGCGGTGGTGGAGGAGGTGGGGGCGGTGGAGGGGGGGCTACACTAGTAGGAGTGGGGCCTTGCGAGGTGGCCGAAGAGCTGCTTGCGAGTGTAAGTGCTTCTTTGGCATCGATGCCTCTAGCATTCCATGTCACTCCCAGAGCATGGTGATCGGCAACATAGGTTTCAAGAGCCGTCAGAACAGTGTAAAACGAGCGCACCCATTCAACATGCTTTGGAGACCTGCTTTCTATCAGTATTTGGACTGAGAGTATTAAGAAGTTTGGATGACACACGTTTCCTTGTGCGAAGTGATCACACGATTACCGAAGAATTGCGCAGCACCCAGCATTTCTCTGACATATTTTGCCGGTTTTCCCTCAACGGTTACCCAAGCAAGACCGGGAATACCTTCGCTAACAGTCGACAAATGGTTGGAGAGCGCAGAGTGTCGGTTATTCTCACGGATATTGGAGACGTTGGTAAGCTCAGTTTGCATTTCAGCGACGAGGTCGACAAATAGCTGCGTTGACGATCCTGGCTTCTTCGCCTTGGTTGTGATAACGAGAAACTTTCTCTGAGCCGCAAAGCATTTCTCGACAGCTTTACTCTGCAGGACAACTAGGATTAAGAGCTGCGGAATATACTACGTTAAGAAAGTGCCGAACCTGTTCTGCTACGAGATCACCTATCTCAGCGCTTTTCTCAACATACTTTGCGACTTCCTTAGTTATCAACTCGTCAAAGTCCTCAACAGACGCAGGAAGCGGCTCTGGAGCTGGCGGAGGTGGATTTTGTATTGTAGTAGTTGACACCAGAGAAGCCGCGCTGGTATTGCTAGGAAGCGCAGTAGCTGCACCGGAATTAAGGTCAACGGGAGTTGATGCTAAATCCTCCAGGCGGGAGGTAGCAGCCTCAAGGCTTCAAGGTCGAGTCAGCAAGGAACAGAACGGCTGAAAACGGAACTAATGATAAAGGATAATCATCGTGAGTTCTTATTACTGACCGTTTGATGAGAGTCGTCAGATTGTTCATCTGAACTGGGTGAGCCATACGGCAGATAACTCAATATTGGGGGTTGATTCCAGAGGTTACCGGAAAAGAAGGAGGGGCCGTTGTCAACGGAGAGCACGAGTGCGCTAAGTTCGTCCAATCCCCCACTAGACTATCTGCTGGGCCCTGAACCTGAAGATCCTAGGAACAGGAAGCTGTCAAGGAATGCAGGGAATTATAACAAACGAAATAAGGGCTAAAACTGTTTAAAACATCTAATAGTTCTCCAGGTTTATGAAAGATCGGGCTTTTTACTATGATATGATATTCTTTCCTTTTTGTTCTCCACGTTGCATGGACAGAGATCTACAGAGCCTCATCCGCACTTAGGGTTAACCCTACCCGCCGCACACACAACAGTCCACCAATATCCCGGCCAAAAGTTCAATCTAGCCACTCAATTTCCCAATCACGAGAAAAATCAAGGCACGCCTAACAAATCGCACCTCTGCTCAAACCACCAGACAAAACTTCCTCGCCGGCGTCATAATCGTCAGATCTACACATATAGTAAGCTGCTTCCCCGCAGTCAGGATTATTTCCTAGGCCGCAATCTGGCGCTAACACTATTCGCAACTCAGAACAAAATTGTCAACAATGGATTCAGGAAAGGCTGCTGTTAAGCTCGTCAAGGTCATCAAGGTTCTCGGTCGTACCGGTTAGCTACCCACATTCCCCCTCGCCTCGTAATCTATCGTCAATTTTTATGGTAACCTAAATTTTGTACTCGCTAGGTTCCCGCGGAGGTGTCACCCAGGTCCGTGTCGAATTCATGGATGACACTACCCGATCCATCATCCGTAACGTCAAGGGTCCTGTTCGCGAGGACGACATTCTATGTTTGCTCGAATCCGAGCGTGAGGCTAGGCGGCTACGTTAAGGATGAGGGGGTTGGCTTGGTATCTGGGGGTATCTGGGGGATATGGTACCGGCTTGGGAATAAAAAAATAAAATTTCATTCTGTACCAAAATTCACGACCGCTCTGGGGTTCCATTTCTTCTTGTTCTTCGGGTCATTGTCTGTTGGAATTTTTAACGGCAACAAAAGTCTCTTGAATTCCTGATAGATATGAATTAGCAGCAGGTTGTGAGCGGTTTGTGGGAAGGGGAATAAGGCGATCGGGTAGCTCTTGCTCACGGGCGAGTGATTTATGGGGTGGGTATCTACAGGAGCGTTGAGTGGGGTGCTCAAAGAAGGATATCAGTTTTTAATTCCTAAATACCCATAACCAAGGAAAGCCAAAAGAGGTGCACACACCCATAAACCAACGATTAAAGTACATATTCCACCACGGAGAACCGCCAGCCAAGGAATCCCAACCACAAACCAATATCGGAATTATACTCTTGCACTTTCCTATAGCTGAGCTAACATGGTATCCAACTGATGGCGGTCGTATTTCACATATTTATCCCTCATCAAGTCTTTATACTTGTCGTAAAATCTGCCATATAATGGCCCAATAAACCCAATCTCCTTGGAGAGCATCGTTCGCACTTCCTTGTCCGGAAATGTGTATGACTTATGCTTCTGAATAAGCTCTTCGAAAACCGTATTGAAGTTCTACACGGTATTAGCAGCTGGATCACCAATATCAGAGCATACGAGACGAACCTTGAACTTCTCTTTGACACCTTCCTTCTCTTTGCTGTTGAGATTGAGCCTTCCACCAGACTGCTGTTTAGTATAAGTAACATCCATCAAGAATGCAGCGCATTCCTTCCATTGCTCCATGTACATCTTAACAGCATCCTTCCTCCATTTCTCGACCTTGGCCTGCGCTTGATTTGACATGATCTTGCGAAGGTCACTTGTACGAATGTTGCTCTCGATGAAGTGAACGTTGTTGACCATGAAGACAGCTACCGTAGAGTTCTTCTTAATCATAACGCGAGCTTTTTGTTCGAGCTCATGGATAAGCTGATCTATGGCGTCCAAACAGAAGTTTGAAAGAAGAAGTGTTCCATCGGCCCCTACATCGAAAGATGGGGGAATGACTGCTGGTGCTGTATAAGGGCGATTCCAGTTACCCTCACCCAAGGATACCAAAAGGCTAGAAATAGCGTTGGGATAGTCTGCCATCCGCCTAAGACGAGACATCACGTTCACGGTCATTTCTGCAACAGTATTATCCAGGGGTAATGCAATAAGTCCTTGGCCAGTCTTCTTTATATCCTCCAAGAAATATGAGAAGCTACTCTGCGCTGTAGTTCTGAGTGGCTTCAGTGCTTCAGCAAACTCCTTTTGTTCACCTGTTTTAGTTTTTAGCCTAACGCTTGCCGGCTGGACGTTTTCGATAACATCAAAAGCAAGGAAGCAGTCCGTGGCCATATTTTGCTTGACGAACACGTTTAGATCTGCAACTGTCTTTTTGAATACTCCCATAGGCATTGCAGTTGTAGCAATGTACACCCGAGACCATTCTGGGGTGGGGAAGAGTTGACAGATATTCTCGTATTCAGCCTCAAAAATAGCTTCTAGGGCATTGGTATACACCGATATGCCGTTTGACCCCTTGTCATAAGGAGCAGCAGATGTTCGGCGGGTAGTGCTTACTGTAGCCAAAGCCAGGGATGCCAATGAGTTGGTGATGTAGGGCCCACGCACTTCTGCATATACCTGGGGCGCATTTGACTGTATCCCAGCTGAGGCAGCAAGGGTCGAGGAAAGGAAATCGTTCAGTACAGCCAACATGTTGATTTTCTGGGGCTGGAAAGTCGGAAACGGAAGTTCTTAAAAAAGCTTAGTTAGATCCAATGACAACTACACGAATATAGGCACATAGGCATTACCTTTGGTAATGAAATGTAGAGGTTCTACAGATTTAGAACCTTCGGCTAATGCTTGTCTAAATAGGTCTTCGAGTTGTAGGCTCCCCGCTTTCAAAAGGCCCGTCTGGAAGGAACTCCATCAGCGTTTATCCCATCATCCATTGCACACAACCTCACGACGGACCATTTGAGTAACGGCTTTCTGAGAGCTTCGTAAGTTCGATTTCTTCAGACTCGATAGAGCCTCATTGATCCGTCTTAGCGAGGCGAGGTATTCAGTTAGGCCGGTCTTGGAAGGCCTGTGTAGTAGGGCAGTAAGCGCAAGTCCTATGCATTTGTTGGAATGGGGCATCATTGGAAAACAGGAAGAAAATGCGGCTTAACAAGGGGTTAAGGGGCTCCTAGGGGATATATACCCTTGACGAATTGTGCCCTCCTCTTTCGATACTGCGTCTGTAGGTTGGCGCACCCTATCTATTGCCGATATTGCTTCATCGATATCTGTAACCCACAAAGCTTAACTCTCCCCAGTCACATTTTGAGGTGAGCGGATTCCCTTACTCCCGGAAAGGACTGTTAACGACTGCGTCTTGTTGTATATAGGTTTAACTGCCTGTTCGACATTCTGTGCACTTGCTGATAATTTTTTCAAGCTTAGGGCGATCTTGGTGGAGAGGTCTGCAGTCTTGGATAGCTTCCTGTGTAATTTTTTTTCCTCGAGGTGTTAGCACAGCTGCCCCGTGTTCGTCGCTTTTGAAAGGAGCTACTAACGATTCCAAGACCTCGACCTCAGCGGAAAGCTCGTCCATGCGAAGACCATTCATGACGGTAATGATGAACTCCTTTTCCCCCTGTCAATTAATGTGGGGGAGCTTGGTTGTGAGCTATCTTTGGATGGTTTGGGGAACTAGTGGTCGTTGAAGGAAAGCCCGTTGGTCCAACAACCCTCGACTCTTGGCACACCAATAAATCCCGGTCCAAAGGGTCCTTCCAAGCGCAACCTTCAAGTTGTACCTCCCACAAACACCCTCTGTCCACAAATTAGAATGAGGCGGGCATATTACTACTTTAATGTCACTCCCCGCACATTTTTCTGTTCGAGTACTCGTACGGTGCATCCCATGTCGGAACGGATTAACATTCTCGAACACATCGCTTCCAACCGATCAGATTGATCCTTACAACTCAGCACTTCTACTGCGATCATCCGGAACAACACGAAACCCAGAGGCTTTGCAAATCCGGTATTCCAGAACTTCCTGAAACATCAAGAATTTCATTGATAAAACCTTTAAACCACAAAAGATCGATATATAGAATTGCTAGGGCCGGAAGATCCCCCAGAGAAATTGAATTACGCTCCCGATACGTGGCCTGCGATCTTCTGGAGAAGGGAATGTCCAAAAAAAAACCCCAAAAAAACGACGTCAATCCAATCAGCGACGTGCCCGTACAGTGCTCAAATGCCGCGCTGTACGGGATTGCTTAGTGATGATGTAGTACCCCAGCTACTTTGGCAAATCCAGGGCTCAGTTTTGACTACGCGAGACGGGATCATTGCAAAATAGACATTCTGATATCGCAATTACTCTTCCCAGGCGACTCTGAGGTCATTTCTGCCAAATCGCTGTTCTTTCGCCGGTACTAAAATTGATCTAATGGGCAGGTAGAGGGAAAAAGATAAAATAAGCCCTCGTCTGGCTGCTTCTCTGGTACTGAGGCTCCAGTAGGAGGGCACATGACATCAATGGGTCTTTGCGGAACCTTTTTTCATGCCCATTGAATCATAGGTCGGGCTGGATGCCCCCGACCACTGTATGTCTGTCGGCATGTAACGCCTGTTACTCGGGCATGAGTTATCGACCTTGAAGTCGGAACGAATCAAATGCTGCTATCTTGCTGTATAGGGATTGCATACGTCGTTGCTCGAAGGGGGCAGTTTTGGCTATATAACCCATGATGCGTTCCCACCCTTTGGAGGCACTGTGTCAACGTTCTTTCTCTGGGGCTGTTTCTGCACTTTCACCGCCCGCTGACCGCTCCTTTGATAGCTTGTAGCCTAGAGGACTACACTATTAATCTTTAATTTCATTAATCTTCCAAAACCTTCACACTCATTAAGTACTGTTCAATATTCGGTCATGGTTTGTCACTCTTTCCATATTACAGCCATTACTCTGTGGTCCCGTTCATAACATCACGACAGGCGCGAGAACCGAGAAAAATCGCTTCATCTGGGCTGGCTACCAGACGAAGCCAATCGAACCAAACTCCCCCTCTGCCCCCCATGAGCTTCCGAACGATCTCTCCGGTGTCACACCTCCGCATCGGGTCCAGGCCGCTGCAGGTGCTGCGGGGGTCATTGCCACCTGATAGCCTCAACCGAACATCCCCAAAGCAGCAGCAACAGCCAAACCACCCAGAAACTTTCAATAGCTGCATAGCCTGTGCAACCCGCTTCGCCAACAAAGCCGAATACGAAGCACACTTCCACGATGTCCGCAAGCACCACTTCTGCACCCGCTGCGACGCCCACTTCGAATCCACAATCTGCTTCCACCAGCACCGCGAACACTCCGACAGGCACAACATGTGCACAAAGTGCGACCTTGACTTTCCCACCCGTAGGGAACTTATCCGCCACTGGATCACAGCAGAAAAATCGCTACACGCGTACTGCGGGCAGTGCGACGCGCATTTCGACTCCTGGGCCGAGGAGCAGAATCACTATCTCCAAGACTTACACCATGTCACTTCCCTGACATATATCCGCCCTGTAGCGAGGAGGGAAGTCCCTTGTAAAGACCCCGGATGTGCGGCGTTGTTCGCATGCAGTTATGAGATGAACTTGCACCACCTCACAGCGCACAGAGAGGTGCTCGAATGCCCCGTGCCAAAATGCCGGATGAAGTTTATAAACTTTGAGTGTCTTGAGAATCACCGGAAGAAGTGCGAATTAGAGAAAGTTGCTTGTCGACATCCGTCTTGTACAGCCGGATTTAAAGAGGAGGAGGAGATGGAGAAACATTGGGAGGAGAGACACACCACTAGATCTGCCACCCCAGAACAGCAGCAGGGTGGGTCGCGCTCGCCGTCTCCCACGAGGCGTATTCGCTTCACGTGCCCGCTCGAGGAGTGCGGGCGGGAATTCGGAGATATAGAGTCACAAATCAGACATATCGTCAGTCATCATGCGTACTGTCCCGCATGCAGCACTGAGACTGGTGGGAAAGTATTTAGAAATCACGAAGAGTTGGAAGGCCATTTACGTGAGGGTCTGCCGCGACATAGTTATTGCTGGGTGTGTAGGATGATGTTTAATGACGTGGGGGCATTGGAAGCGCACTTTGGAGAGAGGCATGGGGGAATAGCTCACCTTGACCCCCGAAAAGACGCAAGAGTACTGTTATGAAGCCTTCATGACTGCACAAGTAGATTCCTAGCTCCTGCGGTAGTCACGGCCATGTACTCGTAGAGAAAGAGGCACAGCATGGGCAGTTGGTCTGTATTTAGTTTGGGCTGTCTTCGTGATGACTTTTTTTTTTTTTCCTTCCTCTTTTCTTCTCACTTCATCATCACATAAGGTTTGGAGGCTTGCGTCAGGTCCGCGAGACACATATTCTATGGCATATGAGCCGGCCCTGAAGCACGATAGTGACACTCCCGACCCCTAACAAAAAAATTTGCTGAGTGTATCGAAGATTCTTGCTGCCCGATGATTGAGCCCAAAGGGTACAGTACTCGGGTATCATGGATCCCTATTTATTTCTCGGGGGCTCGGGTGGTTATCATAGATTGCTGCTAACTTCCCCTTCCCCTTCCCCCACCCCCACACGCAATCTCCCTCTCCCATTTACGAGTACTCTTCATCCCCTTCCCTTCCCCCATCACCACTCCCCCAGCATCGTCATGTTATGATCCTGATAGAGAGCCACGACTCGGGCTAAAACGAGCCATAAAACTGAATCCCCCAATCCCTTATATTATATATATATACAGTAAGAGAAATCAGTTGCTCTCCAATATCCAGAAACCGAACCCGAAAGCAACCAAATTGTCCAAATATCTCGAGCTGAATTTTCCTAAAAACACCGCCCGTCATTCGAGCAGAGAGAGTCGTGGTGTCCAGCAGTAGGAGTACTCTACAGTACAGTACTGTACTGTACAGATAGCCGGTTCGCCGGGAGCTTCCCACGTCTATATGACCCAATCGTGAGGCGAAATATCACAACAATGATATAACTTCATCCCTCGCGGTAAGGTAAGGAAACCCTCGACTGAAAAGATACTCGTAAATCGCCAATCACGGTCCTATCGGCACTGCTATCGCTGTATAGAGTATTAATACAAACTCGAGAAAAAGTCTTCTTTCCTTCATTCGACAACCAAAATTTTTTTTTTTTTTTTTTCAAAAGCGATAAGTTCCCAAAACGTTATGATACTCGGTTGCCATAAAGAAAGAATGAAATGAAAAGAAAATTACTTTGCGCTCATTCACTTGGAAGGACAACTACTAGGTGGGGGGGGGGGGTGTTAAAGTGATTTCTGATTTTGTTTTTTTTGGGGGGGGTTGTATGGTGTGCGGAAAGGAGTTTGGCAACTTGATGATGATACCTCTCATTTAATTCACTCCCTTTTGAATGTCCTCTAATTTTTTGGGGAGGATTGGTGGATTTTTTAGGATCAGCAGAAGGGGGTGACGGTGCGTGATGCAAGGTATGATACGGCTTTTCTCTAGATTCATATCACAGCACCATGACAACTACGACTTGGGCATGGAAGATAACTATCGAATCACTCTCCTTCTGTTACACACCCACAGTACCGAGACGTTGTTCGTCCAAATTTTGGAGAGGAGTTGTAGGCGCCGTTACTGGATCAGTTGATTATGATCTACCAGTAGGGAAGTATGACAGAACCGGGGAACCAGCAAAACCCCAGTGATTTCACTACGGTACTCAATCGTGGGATCACAAATACCGATATAACAGCGCAGCACCATATTGGAGGGGGAAAATAAATAAAAATAAGCCAGATGTGGAAATGAATAACTTTGTAAATTGCAAGGATGGATCTAGAATTTTCGTAGAAGAGAGGTATCATACCAAAAAACCAAACGTCAGAACTGGGCTGGAGGGGGTCTGGAGGGGGGTCTGGATATCATACCGCTGCTGTCAAGGAGATCCACTACTGCATCACCACTGTACTCGTACGGCACCCAACCCGGGTTTTTTATCTCAAGCGTTGGAATAGAGCTTCTTTTTATAGATTAAATTTCCAATATTATCTTTTTGGTTCGTCCTGATCCATTCATTATCCCATCCGACACACACCTCCCATCCCGAACGTGTTGGGACCGGGAAAGTGTGATCACCCTGTATAAATTAAGTTATGATACGTGAATTTCAACCCAAAACCCTCCCAGGAGAAAACTTAAGCAAAATTGAAGCCCAGAAGTCAGCTCAAGGGAGAGGCAAACTTAACAATGTATATACCTCCTGCCCAGGATTGGCCGTGTCGATTGAGATCTTTCAGATCTCTAATTTATCTTTTTTAGTGAATTTGAACCAATTCGCTTTTCCGCCCGACCCGTCTTCCTGGCCAAGCACGTTATCTGTTGCAACTGACTGACATGGACGGTCCAAGCAGTCACCATGCCAGAACCGCCAATACCCGGAGAAGAGCTAGACGGGGGGTATACCTGACCCCTGCTCTGCCATCATATCACGACAATATACGGTATGCATTGCACAGTACTCGAGAGCAGTACTGTACAGTTCATGCATCACCATCCATCCCAATTGGCAGACTGCCTATGGAGTAACAACAAACCGCAGTCCTTGATCATAGCAATGACGAAACCGCCATCTAAATTTCACCATCCATCCGCGTACGAGTATAGTGCCGTAACCATTACCAAACAGCCCATTTCCCAACCCTCTGCTTCTTGCAAGACCCGGGCCGAGAACCCGGTGCTTCTGGTGCACCATGACAATTTGCTGGGGTGGTGCTTGACTGCCCACTTCTTTGTGGCGGTAGCATAGGTATGATATAAGTTGAGGTGCCAACGTAGACAGATGGAGGGAGGTCAACGGATATATATATGAATGGCTACCCTACTCGAGTCCAGTTGGTAGGTGTGGTGGAGACCGGGATGGAGTCATGAACTGTACCACGTGCTTGTATCATAGGAGAAATACGGTAGCAACACAAGTATGTCGTGTCCGAATGGTAACGGAGAGTTGTGAGAAGTACTCCCCAGTTTTTCCACTCAGGAGAGGAGGAGAAACGACTACGGTATGTACAGAAAAAAAACCACAGTGATCGTGCATGGTGGGCAGCCACAGACAAACCAAAACTGTTCTTCGCCTCCGGGATGCTCAAGATGACAATATCACGATTGAATTTCACAATTATATACGAGTACAGCCCTGCTATGATAAGTGTGACGCACAAGCACATCTCGTTGACTGCGCTAGCTTAGCGGTGCTGGAGCGGTGTTATTCCCTTTCCCATAAGAGTGGTGAAGATATATATAGGGTAACTTACCTTTTCGAAACCGATCACGAGCTAAATTTATAGTATGATGGGACCCGCTTTCCCCTCAAGGACAAGAAACCAAAGGTGTCCATCAACAAGCAACATGGCGCAGTGGAAGCGCGCCGGGCTCATAACCCGGAGGACGCACGATCGAGACGTGCTGTTGCTAATATTTTTTCGGTTTTGGAGACGAAAGGGGGGTGGTTCAAATCGTCGTACGCGAGTTTTTTTTCCATTTTTTCTTGTCTCCACTTTTTATTTTATTTCTACAAACAGGCGCCAAGAGCCAAACAAGATCTGCCATGTACAGTACAGTGCTCGAGCGGAAAACATTCAGACTACCGGCATCATAGGGACAATAGTTACCATAAACTACGGTGAGCGATTCCTCCCACGAAGCTCATTGCTATCCAAAATCGACGGAAAGCCTACCGGCATTATGATAATATTATTATATTATTATCCATGCAACCCATTTCTTTCCACAAAGTCCCCAAACTGTTCCTGCATCCGCACCTCAACCACACACACACACAAACCCAGTGAAAAACAAAAAAAAAGTACAAGGATAAAACGCATTGACCACCGCTTAATCCGACCAACCCACCTGTCCACCATCGGAAGATTGTATTTCCGCCGGAAAACCCTGACCCAGTGACTGAAAACTTCCGGCGACTCATACGTAATACCTGTAAATTCAAAATCCACACTGCTGAACCACGCTACCCCTCCAAATCCTCCCCTCGCGACCAACCAATCTTCCCACACGAAAATAGTGAAAGAGATGTCCAGAGGTGGACGTGGCGGTTTCCGCAGCGGCGGTAACTTTGGTGGGGGAATAGGAGGAGGAATGGGCGGTCCATTCGGTCACGACCCGGATAATCCACCGGATTACAGTACTACCGAGCTCTTTCCCGTATCTCCCTCCCTCCCCCTCTACAACTACGTCTACAGCACGCGCAATAGCCAACTGATCGATTAAAAACAGCCCCAACCACCACCCGTTCCGAACCCCCTGAGTAAGGAGGAACGCCACATAGTAGCGCGCTACCGCCTGTATCGCGACAAAATCCATAATGGCCCGCTGTACACGGTCATGGGCAAGAAGCGTGGCATGGAGGACCCGTTCAACGATGTGAGCAAGTACTCGGCGAAATACAAGCGACAGAAGCGCAAGGTGCCTAAGTTGGATTCTAGGCCCTACGTTAAGGAGTTCTTTCCTGAGGAGCTGTGGGACACATTGGGGATAGATGGTGATGGCGGCGCAGATGATGGCAGGGGTAAGGGGAAGGCGAAGGGGAAGGCGAAGAAGCTGATTTTTTCGGCGCTCGATGTTATTGGGGGGTTGGATGAGGAAGATGAAGAGGATGGAGAGGGCGAGGACGGAGAGGCTGGGGGGAAGGGGAAGAAGGGGGTCTTGAAAAAACTGCTGGGTGATGACGTTGGCGACGATGATGACGATGAGGTAGCAGAGGAGGAGGAGGAGGAGGCTGAGGATGACTTTGGCGATGACGAGGAGGGGGACTATAATGCTGAGATGTACTTTAACGATGGGGATGATGATGGTGGGGATGATTGGGGGGACGAAGGGGGTGGTGAGGACTATTACTAGACGGATGAAGCGTGCAACTACGAAAAAAGTATTTTTGGTTTCCCTGTATTCTGATATCTATTTCAACCCCTCATTCTAAATTATAATCTTCTCTTTCACTTTTTCTGCTCTCTGGATCGTTTTGTCTTTTTTTCTTCTGATCTCGGGGCAAATGGCACCTCGTGATATCTTGAGCCACTCAGACAAAGAAAGAGAAAAAGAAAACAAAAGAAAAGTGTAGCCTATAATTGGGCTACGTTCCCCAGACGAGCCATGGCTTCCCGCTAATTGGGATTCCCAGACTCGAGGTGTCACTCCATCAAGGGTGTGTTCGCAGTGAGCTCTCCCTCATCACTGACCCTCTTCAGTTGGTATCAGTGCTCATCTCTCTGTTAGCGTCTTGATCCGGATCAGATTTCCCACCCATCCTCTCGTCATCTTCCTTCCTGACCCATGGCTTCTCTGGCGGTGCCTCCTGGCACAAAAGCTCCCTCATTGACTTCCCACCATCGCGAAACCTTATAATGCTCACAGCTCTTTTGAACTCTGCTCGAATCCTGTCTACCCCGGGGGGATTGCACGTTCTGCCCACGTTGTGGCTGGTTTCGAAAGGGTCCTCGATGGTAAACAAGTATCTATCTTTTATCTGAGTATGCCCGCTCCTCCCTGGCCTAATCACAGCCGCAACCCAACCCTTCTCTTGCTTACTAAATATGCCGCCTTGGGTCCGGATGGAGATGACCTCCCTTCCCCATTGGAACTTATATGAATAATATTCGAAGAAGCTGTGTAGGAGCTGGCCGACATGCATCTGATTCGCGGTCTTGGGAAGATTTTCGATATCTTTAGCGTACCAAATCTGATGCTCGCCTTCACCACCCTCATCAAATATCTGGTCAGGCGGTACATCTTCGGGGATCGGGGTATTCTGCAGATTGATCAAAACAGGGGGGTCAACCACATTGATCAGAAAATGGATGATCATGAGAACGTAGCCGTAAGAAGATAGGGTACCACGGTACGGGCTATTGATATGTCTTCTCTTGGCCCACCACTGGCATGTGTTAATCTCAGATTCACAAAATTCCGAACCACCAAAATGTTTGTGAGGTTAGAATTGGAATTAAAGCGTGAATACCTTTATAAAAAGAACCATTTCCCTGACTCTTGGATCGCATCGACTATATGTTTGCAGCATCCTGGTATTGTGCACCCCCAGGTCGTTATTAAATCCAATGTCGCAATTCAAATCAAATGAGCTCTCATCTGTAGCCTTCAGTGCTAGCTTCAGTATAGGTACACGGGTCTTTAAGAGTAACGTAGCCTCGAATCCCTCAGACTGAAATTCTTTCGCCAGATTTTGCGGAAGAGAATTGGACTCGTCAATCTTGTTAGGGGTACTGAAAAGGTCCTCCGGATAGGGAGATGTGAGAACGGCATCAAGATCAGACTTAGTTATTGCGAATCCAGCTATGGTACCGAGAAAATGGAGAGCAAGGCAATCAAATTAGAGATGTATCAAGTGATATTAACCAAACTGGCTACAAGGTACACAGTCAAGAAAAAGTTGAGAAGAATGAAGGACGTAGCACTTACTAACTAGACTCCCAAAGGGAACCAATTCGCCTTCTGGGCAGATTCTTCGGCAGATCGCCCTACATTTTTTCAAGTGCTGGTTTTGGGCGGCTAATTCTTCTGGGGTTGGTGTAGCGGTCGCAATAATCTCCCTAGCAAATACCTGGAGATTGGTGTTCTGCTCATAGATCATCTGCTCTAAGTTGAGGGGAGGCGTTCGGCTTTTCCCCGCCTGTGGAGACAATTGAGGGTTTCGAAACGCTGGTTTCCGCTGAGAGGGCGGACGGCTCTGCAATGGAAATGATTGATACTGTGTTCTATGTTGAGTTTGTTCCTGCGCATTTGTTTGGGGCGATTTAGATGGAGAAGGAGGTTTGGGTAGAACGTTTTTGAGGTGCTCCGTTCCAAGGGGGGGAAACTGATCGAGACCATCTGCGGGCAGAGGAGGATGGGAACAGACGCCCGAATTGAGGCTGTTGCGCTGAGGACCGTGTCGAAATTGAGGCCTTCTGCCACCAGTCCACGGATATCCCCGTGGTTTAACCTGTCTATTTGGGACCGATGGCTGTTGGTGGAGGCGTTGAGGCGCGGGATACTGTTGCATAGTAGGGCCCATATGTCGCTGATCTTGAAGGGCCGAGATCGAGGAGAGATTCGGAGGCTGATTCTGTGGTAATAGCGGTACTGTTTGCTGCGGCTGCTCTCCGAGGGCAAAAGGCGGTCCGTGAGATGGCGACAAGTGTGTCGAATGGACTGGCGGAAGTGGTGCCCCAAACTGCGAGCCTAGTGCTTGAGGACCTAGAAGGTTCGACGAACAAGGTGAGTGGAAGAACATATGGGAAGTTGCGGAAAGGGCGATTGGGGGGGGGGATGGGAGATGCCAACCAGATACTTGAGGGGAAGGATTGATTGGTAAAAGCTGAGAATCAAACCCAGGGTTTTCTGGTGGAAATGGAATACTGTAATCTTGCTCCTTGTAAAACTGATCCTGGGTGTGTGGAGTAAGTGGCACTAGTGGTGTAGGATGCCCTGGTGAGAGGTCCTGGCTATTTTGACGATAACTGGGCGAATTACTAATGATCATTCCTCTGACCCGTTCCTCTAAACTATTCCCTCGCGATATCTGAGGGTGTCTAGGAGGCGTACTTGGGGCGTGCCCAGCGGTAGGCATTCGGCCTGTCCACATGTTGCGAGATTGTGTCTGGGGAAGAATCTTTTTGGGATGCTGGGGATTTGTACAGAGTAAAAAAAAAATTTATCATAAACTCAAGTCAGAGGAATTTATCGTTGTTGTTGGAGGAGGGGAGAGAGGGGCGTAGGAGGGGCGTAGGATATTAGGGGTGGAATGTGGTTGAAAGGGTTAAGGGGGTTGGCTCTGGAAGCGCAAAGTTTGCAGTGTGAGCTCTGGAATTCGAAGAAAGTTCACGCAACAGGAGCTGTAGATCCAAGGGTGTGACATCACGTGCTCATGCACCTCCATCTTTGTCTTAGCAGCATCTTGATCCCTGGTTTCAACCCTTCCAGATTACCCACTATTTCTCCGCCCACATATCTTACGTCTCCACCATTCAAATCCCGTCGTTTCCCAAATACTATATCAATACCAGCTTTAATTTTACCACTGTAAATACCGATTCCAGCCTCGAGGCCTTGTTTTCAGTAGCCGACAGCATCCGGCGTATACTAGCACAACCCTCTACCTTGTCTGCAAGATGAGGAACGGAAGCTATATTCGAGCATTAGGGAGACAATCCTTTGAACCCTCCCAGCCAGCCTCCGACGCAGATTCAGCTGGCTCTTCTACATGCGAGCAATCTCAAGAAATGCAGCGACGTCTGATAAAGGCCCAAAACGATGTCCTAGCAACGGTTGGGGTATGCCGTCGGGACACTAAGCAAAATCAGGTGCTCTCGGAAGCAATTGTTGAAGAGAATGAAATTGGATTGCTTGTAGGCGCGATAGACTTAACCATTACTTATTTAACTACCTGGCCGCTTGTTGGAGTCCGGAACAGACTACAGGTATGTGAATTTTCGGGGGTGTCGGCGGAATCTCGGGAATGAAGGCTGAGTTGAGAAGACGTATCGGGCATATGAGGGTTTAGGATATCGGGATGTTTTGTCACTTGCATTCCGGAATAATGGCATCCTTGAGATGTTATCGGGCATGCCGGCACATATGTGCTATCAACTGGTGAATGTTGGTCGGGATTACGTGCAGGGAAGGTTCTTACGATATTTGAGTACCAAACCACTGTTCAGGGATCCGAAAACGAATAAACCGAGGAAAAAGCTGCTATACACTGTGGATAGATGGTATGCAATTTCTATTTCGCAGATTGGTGAGCACAGCTAACCATAGCCAGCGTTTCAACGCTGTCCTGGTTCTTGGTTTACCCTTTATACCAACACTCGGTTCTTCAATCCCTTCATCTTCTCCCGCCAACTTCAATCCTCCCATCCGTATACTCATTCATCCCCTTTTCCTCCCAATCCCCTTTAGTTCTACCAAGCTGTCCCGGACCTATCCTATCCTTCTCGGCCCTTACCTTCCTAGCATCCCAAGCGGCAAACAGCTACTTCCTCTCGTCCTTTTTTCAGCAGTATTCATGCGGCTTTTTGCAATTCTTCTTCTTCAACCAACTCCGCCGAGTCATCCCACGTCCTACCAATCCCGACGCAGCTTCAATTGCTGGAGCCCTGGACGAGGGACTAGATGGAGGAAACTGGGACATGGAAATCCACGCCCCACCACCCCCAGCAGACGAGACGGTCGCGATAATGATTGAGCAGACCTCCAGTGAGGGCGACCGTTCTCGCCAGCACTTTACAGCAACCGTACAATTCGACGAGCCACAGCCATTCCCACGAGGGACCTCGTGGACAGAAGAGGAAGAGCAGCCTCTCACAGAAATGGTGGATGGGGAACCGCCGCTGACACAGCATCGAGTCACTAGGCTTAGCTTGCACCCGGCAGATGTAGTCGCTTCTCATGCTGCGGATGGCATTTCCACAGCATTTTCCAGTATTTTTGAGAGCGCCGTTATGAGGACAATTGCTACAAGCTTTTTATTACGACAGGGGGTTGATTCTGGGGTTGTAGAGAGGAGGGTGTTTTCGCCGTGGGAGTTTCGTGGGAATGCAGGTTTGGTTGCAAAAGCGCTTGCCGGGGAATGGGGATTGATGTGGTTGTTGTTCGAGGGGAGTTACTTTGCTACTACGTGGCTTGGGATTAATTGGTTTGGGTGGGTGCTCTAATGCTTTTTACAGGTTTTCACCGACACTAATCCTTATGAAGGTATCCCACTGAAGTTTAGTCAGTGAAAACAATGTATTTCTTGTAGCTGCTGCAACTTTTACTCTCCCCCTGTCTCTCATACTCGAGTATTGCAAGGCCCGGTTTGGCACATGCGTAAGAATAGCGGTTTTTTTTGCACCTTATGATATCCAATTTACTGTGAAGCCGATTAACAATTGTGAAATAAAAGCAGAAGATCTGAGTCCTCTAAATTTAATTCTACAAGGTGGTTTTAGCCTCACCCCACAATCTCTGAGAAAATATCGCAGACTTGCCAAACATTAAAATTTTCTGGGGAAAACAAAATAGAACGAAAATGGCTTTCTGATACCAGAGGATCGCTTGTAGGAATTTACGGGGGATCTGTGGTTGGAACGGGCAACCTGTAGTCTACTGTATGAACCCCCCCCCCACAGACACTCATGCAGAACTCCCAAAATTCCAACATATCAACAAATATAATATTTCTTCACCGAAACGCTCCCGTGTCGGGAGCTGCATGAACGAACGAACGAACGTTGTCACTCACATCTTAGGATGATGAGTAAAAAATCGTCAACGAGGCTTCCACGGGTGGGCGGATGAGGACATCACCCCGGCGAGTGGGTCTGAAGTTTACGCGCGCAAGCTACGGGTACCATATGGCGCTGCGAGTTGCCCACCGTACCGGGTACGGTGGTCTCGGTGAGTGATAGATGGCTTGCATGCTTGTGCAGTAAGTGAATGGTGTGGTGGGTGGATAAATCGTGTAGTCCACAAGTACCGGTAGTCCGTGAGTGGGTTGGCTACCGTAGTTTACCGCCCCCCCCTCCGTGCGAGTTTCTATTATGGGTTTTTGACCAGGGGTATCTCGGGTTTTGAGTTGAGTTGAATTGTGGGAATTTTTTTCATAATCTTACAAGATGGAAAGTGCTCCATTGGAGAGGGGGGCCGACACGATAAATATTATGTATAAAAATTATGGCGCGATAGCAAAATTATAACAATCCAGAGTCAACGCCAGGAACAAATTCTCCCCCGCAGTGCAACACAAACAATCACTCACTCCTGCCAAACCATCTAGGAAGCCGGTAATAGCCCATCAAATTCCATCCCCAATGACCCCCACGTTCCCAGCGATTGTGCCCCAAAAGCCCTTCTCCACCTCCGCCTCCGCCTCCTCTCCCAGCACCCTCCTCTTCCCCTTCCTCCTGACGGGAATCTTTGTCTCCCCCTCCTTCTCCATCTTCCCCCTCCTCCGAATCACTAGCCCCTCGACCTCACCCAACAGCGCATACACATCCTCCAAAGTCTCGCTGGCGGAGCGCACACAGTCCGCAACATCCTTCCCAAACTTCTCCATCCTGACCGTCTCCTTGTCCGCCATGCGTTTCGCCAATTGCACGCTGGCGCTACTACCGCCCCGTGCACTGGTGGTGGCGATGGTGAAGGTGCCATTGTCGTCGGCTTTCTCCTCCAGCGTGGTGAGGAGGAATTTTTGCCGGGATGCGAGGGCGGAGAGGAAAAAAGTCTTTTGGGAGAGGAGGGCTTTTTGCGAGTTCATGAGTGGGATTAATTGCTCCACTGCTGATAGGACTTTTAGGATCGGGGGTGAGGGGAGAGGGGGTGTTAGGGGTGGGGTTTTTGTAGCTGTGGCCACGGCTGCGGGTGTGGACTCGGGATGGGGGGTCATGATGGGGGTGGGCTGAGTGAGGGTCTGGGTCACGGCGGAGAGGATTTCCACAACTTCGCGGCGGGCGGAGAGGTATTCTTCGTAGGCCGCGTCGATGTCAGAGAGTATGTCTTCGAGGCTTGTCCTTTCCGTTCTTTCCCCTGCCTCCGTGACTTCCCCGCCACCCGCAGGCGCGGGGAAACCAGCAGAAGCATCGGGACCATCGATAGTCGTCGTGTGCGATAATTGCGACTCGACCCAAGTGATCAATGCATCCCTAGTCTGAGCAAAGGCCTCCTTCTTACTCCCCCTCCTCCCTCCCCCCCCTTCCTGCCCATTACTCTGCAACTCCCTAAGTCGCTCAGACTCCCACTGCAGCGAATCGTGCGTTGACAATATCGCCTTTTCCAACGTCAGCAAACGGGAAGACAAATCCTCCGTTATACCCCCACTATTGCCACCAGCCGATACGGGACCATTACTACTACCCCGCGCCGTGATAGCTGCCGTCAATTCCGCCGGGGGATTCGGCGGCGAGTCGTTGAATAGAATCTTGTGCTTATCCTCCGTCTCGAGAACAGCGGGGTCATTGAAAGTCCGCAGGTAAACCTGTAGGATCTCCAACTTTTCGAATTGGCGCGTTAGGGACAGGGTCGATGTGTATTCCCCTATCCATTCGTTGCCCTCCTCCCCCCCCATTCCCTCCTCCTCTTCCTCATCGTCATCGGGGTCGCTTCCGACATATTCAGCTTCTAGAGCTTTTCTAGCTTCCGCTTCTTCGCGCAGTGCCTCCAGATACTCTTTTCGGATGCACCTACTATTACCCACCCCTCCTCCCCTCCCCAATTCAAAGTCCAGGAAGCGTCGGAATTCATCACGGCTCCCGACGCTGCTGGTTGTGCGCTTTTCCGCGGAGAGGTTGGTCAAGTGTTGGGTCACCACCTGGCGTATATAGGTTGCCTCTGAGGGGGTTTGGATGTATGGTTTTAGCGAGGATTGAACTTGTGGGAGGGGGAAATCCATATTGGCGGTGGTGGCGGTAGTTGCAATTGTGTTTTTCTGAGACTGGTGGGTAAGTGAAGTGTTGGTGTGTGACATGAAGTTTGAAGGGTTCTCGCGCGGGTCGCGTGGGCACGGGGCTGCTGTGCAATGCGCTATGAAATGAAGCTTGGCGGGGTCTCCGCTATTCTCACCCTGCGATACTTGTACTCATAGGTCTACATGTAATCTGATCAATGGAATACTCGAGTACAACTGCCGCCACATCATAACCAATTTGATAATCCTTCCCAAAAGGTAGAATAAGAACATGACCAACATCGACCCCACGGTCGCCAAAGTCCTGGACAAAGACCGTTCAAAAGATGAAGACGAAGATGAAGACACTCTCCTAGAAGAACTCGAATCCGACACCGCAGCTCTGGGCGCCTTCCGCGAGAAGCGTATGCAGCAGCTACACGACGAGTACCGCTCCTCCCCTTCCTCTTCCCTCTCTCCCCCAATGCTAACAGACAACACCTAGATTTCACCGCGCTCGCGTAATGAAATCCCTCTCTCACGGCGCCTACACCCCGTCCACGAACGAGCGTGAGGTGTTAACGCACACTACCACATCTAAATTCAGCATAGTGCACTTCTTCCACAAGGACTTCAACCGTTGCAAGATCATGGACTCTCACCTGGAGGTTCTAGCGCGGAAGCACTTTGACACCAAATTCACCAGCATCGACGTCGAGAAGGCGCCCTTCCTCGTGGAGCGGTTGAAGGTTCGGGTACTGCCGTGCGTGATCGCTTTCGTGGATGGGAAGAGCGTGGATCGGATTGAGGGCTTTGCAGAGCTAGGGAATACGGATGGGTTCAGTACGAAGATGCTCGAGTTGAGGCTGCTGGCTTGTGGGGTTTTAGTGAGGGAGAAGGTTGATGAAGATGCTGAAGGGGTTGGGGGGAGTGAGGAAAAGAAGGCGGAGAGTGATGACGATGGTGATGATTGGGATTAAGGATATAATTGGGGGTAATATCATGAGAGTTCGTGTTTTCTCAAGGGGGTTCTTTTAGATATAACGAAGGGTTCATAAGGATATCAATGATTGACCTGTATAGTGTTCCTGACATAGAATTTGACTACATGGTAATATATGAGGTGTGGTGCAGAACATCGGATTACATTAATTTACCGGATGTTGTAAGCATGGTTTTGGGAGGTAAAGTATAAAATAAAATTAATAATGCACTCCCGGACAACATGGAAAAGACCTGGCCAAGATCGCCCCCCCACTAAACAGCATTGATACCCATAATCTTCAATCCAACCGGATCACCAGTATATGCCAAAACATACTTGTTAGGATGCCAGGCGACATTGGGTATGGAATGGTTTGTTTGTATGGTATGAACGTAGTCTCCAGTGTCACAATGGGCCTGCAAAACACCCGTCAGCTAAAGTATTACTTTGAGGGCAATTCAGGACACATACAATTTCAATGTTAGTAGACTCGTCACTGCTCGCACAGACATATGCACCATCGAAGGAGTAACCCATGCTCTTAATGGGCGCATCCATTCTTGTCAAAGTCCTGAGGCAAACCCAATGCGCTGTGTCCCAGAGACTCAGAGCTGCATCGCTACCACCGATGGCTAGGGTTGATCCGCGGGGGTCAAGCTGTAAACAATTGACGGCAGAGTGATGTGCGTCAACACTATACACCTCCTCTAGGGAGGGCCAGTGGCGAAGGACAACCTTGCCTAGACTAGTTGTGATGAGAACAAAATCGCCGTTATGAGAAAATGTCACCTGGTTAGTCTGGGAGCCTTCTTTGTGGGTTTTGAGGATTGCACTGGCATTCCGTGGGTCTATAAAATGGATTCTATCATCCTGTAGGCGGTCAGCATACCAGAAGTGCACAAGGAATGCATGACATAAGCCACCTTTGTGCCAACAGCAAGCACCTTGCTATCCGGATGATATGCCAGGTTCACATTATCACCTGCGGTAACCGTGGTTCCCAGACATCTATTGACTAGAATCACCCAGCCTTATCAGCAATCCGGTCAAGCACTATCCGGACAGAGAATCAAACTCACTCCTGTAATCCCAGAATTTCACCTGGCCGTTACAGCAACTTGCCAGTTTGTCCGGATGCATTGGGTCCCAGACAACCTTCTCGACATCTTTCAGATGACCCTTGAGCTCAGTACTGTTTTTGGCTTCAGGTTTCTCGGGATTCCAAACCCGAACAAGGTTTGTGTTGAGCCCACAAGCAATTCGATTTCCGAGATTATTCCAGGCTATCGAACGTATGACAGCATTGTTCGAGTGGCTGGAGGGCCTATGCTCGCGATATTCACGGGACTTGCTCGGATGGAAGGCGGCCGTGAAGTAGGACGGTGCTATAGATCTGAGGGTCAGCACAGGTAGATAAACTATAGGCTCCATAGGGACGGTACTAAGGATGAAGTAAAAGCGGAGAAGAATTTGGGCTTTGGGAAGGGACCTCATCAAGCGTCCTTTTGTCGGGAGCGCAAACCATTCTTATCGCAACCCCATGCCGCTCACATATACTGTGAGATTCGGGCGTGAACGGTGGTAAATGAGGTCCGAGTAGAACATTTCGCTCGTTTGTTTGTAAGGATATATGCGAGGGCAACAGGGGAAGCTACTGCGCGCACAGGGCATCGGGAGAGTGAAAGAAAAAAACATTGTGACTGTGGTAAACGGGATAGCATTAAGCTTACCTCTGCTTCTTTCGACCGACTTGTGTTTCTGTGCTTGTTGGCCCATTGGCGTCTGTCGTTTGTGATGGGATGATGTGATGAGGTTGCAATCTTGCTTTCCTGCTGGGTATGATATGGACGGATTAGTAGACAGCTCAACCTGTGACCCTTTAGTTGTGAGTTTGCGACCCCGTACTGTGTGTACTGTAGTGTTGTGTGGTATGATAGCTTGAATCCAAAGAATCCAAAGTTGAGGATCTAACATACACAGTGCCTAGCCGCCGGTGCTGTGCTGTGAGTTACACGGAGCCTTGTCGCGTTATGCCTGCGGGTACGCTGGCCAAGTATTTCAAACTCTACCAACAGCACACAGCTCACCTCCATTAGCTTCCTTGGCAAAAATATAATAGCCTAGGTGATATTGGAACTTTTACTGGAGCAGGAACACCGTAGATAGTCTAATAATTCAAGAACCTTAATAATTACACAAGTGCAGTGCATTTCCCTACTTGCGCTACGGCACAAGGACACTGAACCGTTCGCTCGTATAATCGGAGAGACAAGACAGTGCATAATACGATACAATGTTCCCCAGCAAAGCAGGCACCCTGCACAAGGAGCATAGTTTACTACATTCTTTGAACCGCCGGTTATGGTTACTCTATAGCTGCAAGCACTTACTGGTAATTATGTCAAAAGTCGCCGTCTCGAGTTCTGTATTGTGGTAAAAGGAAATCTACATAAGGTCGGTTCCTTTTGTATTTTTTAGAAGAGTAAATTTTTTAATTTTTTCTTCACAGAAAGAGAAACGCCTTACCGTATGCCACCCAGAACTGGTATTAGCTGTACTGGTTATTGGTTATTGAATAAGAATGCGGTAAATATCCTCCCTCAAGTGCCGGAGTATTGAGTCGCCAACGATACTATAACGCCCACTGCGCCTTACGGAAAGACAAAAGAAAATAGGTAGGAAAAAAATCGAGAGGGTCGCCCACAGCCATAATGGTCAAGAAGTGCCACCATTCTGACCTTCCTCCTTTCTCTTCCGCCCTCCTGTCCCCTCAATAACCTCATCCACCTTCTCCCTTAATTCTGGAAACGAAACCTTGATCTGATCCGCCAGTACATCACGGAAGTCTCTGTATGCCTCCATCTTGCCTTTCATAAACTGGTTCTGCTTGACAACGATCTCGACGAACTCGCGCGTGTAGATATCGGGATTGCGACCGTCCTCAATGTACTGGATAACTTCACGAGGCACTGCGACATCGAGCTCTGGTTTGGCGGCCACAGAATCGAGGGCTTGGTATTGAGTGGAGAGTTTGTTTCTGGACGATATTAGACAACTGAATGAAATTGAGGGGAGCGGGAGGGGGAGCGACATGAGATTGGCAATGACATCCACCGACTCGGGACCTTGGAATTCGTGGACCCCTACCGAAATCTCATAGAGTGTTTCAATCACGGCGCGAAGATTCTCTAAATTATGTTATCGGCAGCGAACAAAGTGGTTAGACTAGTGGGCGAATCACCTTCCACATTTTTAAGAGCGCCGTTTGGTGGTGGGGCCATTGTATTCTGCTCGGGGTCGGTTGAAGGTTTGGTTTGAAGGTGTTCTTGTTGTGAAGTTATTCGAGCTTAGTGCAGACGTCGAAATGAAGTGTAATCCCGTATGGTAAGCATGTGATCAGACTTGTGTTGCCAAGGCACGTGAGACCCAGCGGGAGTTCCCTCGCTTCAATATGACCGTCACAGAATGGCACTCGACTGAGGAAACCTAGAATGGTTGAACCAGGTTACCAAAACCGCAACCAACTATACTGTCTTGACCAATCCCCGACTTCGAGGTTTGAAAAATAAGGGCAAAAAACTTGGTTTAGCCCGATCTCACTGATCTGATTCAAGTGGTAAATTTCCCATTCCTAATGACGGACTACTTACATCCTTCGCACCACAGAACATATCTCTTCAAACCACTCAGAAAGAAAGAAAAAATGACAACTCCGAGAAAAACAATTCCCCAAAAATCTCGCGGTAATACTCTAGTATCTTGGGCAGATGTGTTCCTCGCAACCCTCTACGAGGAGCATTGCAAGAAACACCCTGGAGACGCTCTCCTGAGCTTTCCACTCACGACCCATGGTAGTTTAAAGTATAAGATTAATCTAGTGAGCCTCTGCGGCGCCCTTCTTTTGTACGCGCCAGATTCTGGTTCCGTCGCAGAGCACCTCCTAAATTACGTCTTTGGCCCGAAGTCTATGAAGAATCTTGAGAACCTAAATCCATGTGGGATACCCGGCTACTTCAGAGGCCTCTTTCTCAAGCCAGAATTTTCAGACAGATTTGAGAAGTATTGCCGTGGATGGATGGACGGGTTCCTAATCCCGTGTAGGTTTCTCTTCCGCCCCCCCCCCCTTCCTCCCTTGCTGAAGGAATCCGACTACTAACTTAATCCGCAACCCTAGTGAACAACAAGCGACACTTCCCAGCCTTCACTGCGGCGCAGCTCAACCAAATAGTCAGCCAAAAGAATCGCTGTCTCATCCGCGATGGATACCGCTGTCCGTTGACTGGAGCTTACGACAAGAACAGGCCGCACCTACCGCAAACTGTGCAGACAGCCGTAACCCTCGACTTGGCACACATTATTCCCCTTCAAATCCTAACGGACCAGGTACTGCAAAGTTACTTCCAAATCTTCACTGGTCTCCCACTCTCGCATGTGCGTGCCTCCTCACTCAACCACCCGCGCAACGGGTTGGTCCTAGAAGCAAACGCGCAGCGCGACTTTATCTCCTACAACTGGGGTATCGTGGCCAAGAGCATGAACACCGCTGCCAATACAATCTTTGACGATCCCACCAGACCCAACACCCTGTACAGGGCGGAAAAAGCTTGCATGGGCCTCATGTCTTTCCAGATGCCTAACTCCTTGCTCGTCTTTGGCGGGGGGAGGAGGAGCGTTGAGTTGCCGGATCCGGAGTCTCTGGCTTTTCACCTTGCTGTTGGGAAGGTGCTCCATGAGAGTGGTGTTGGGGAGGCACTTGCCTCTTATGTTAGGGACACGTCTAGCTATAGGACTAGGGGAGAGTGGGCCGACGAGACTGAGGATGTGTTCGCTGCTTTGGAAAATAACCTTGAGTCGTCGGTAGCCGGCGGCTTCGTGGTTAGGTGATTTGAGCCTTTCTTTTGCAAAACGGCTGGTAGACGATGGGGAGGGGATGTCGGTGGATCGCGAAAGGGATCTAGAGTGTAATTTAGTAGATGGACTGGACTCCATTTTTAGCTCACACAATGTCATAGTCTGAGTGTATCTTTCAATGGTCGAGTTAGCGCATTTAATTGAATGGTTGGGGATGGTTTGCATCATGAATTATCATTCGGTGAATACATGCGGGGAAACTGTTGGCGTGCTGGGTAGTAAACACTCCTAGCACTTCCTATCGCCACACAAAAACCCAGAGTTCTCACCAGATCCGTCAATCCCCGGTCACCCGTTTCCTAAAACACAGCACTCAAACGAGGTATTATATAAACTGGAATTGTGTTTCGATTCAAGTCATCTATATAGCCCTCCTTTCCACAGGGTGCTGAGCCGTTCAAGTATCATGGTAGTATCATGGTGTCTAGACCTTGAAATCAGGTCGTTAAAAAGCACAATGTTCATTGATTGAGTGCAGAGACACCTCGATATCACCAGCTGCCCCCGTAACCAAACAAGTTATTTGTAGTTCGAGCCTATTGTACAGTACCGCAAGCCAATGTCCGACCCTACCACATACCCCCAACAATTTCCCTGGGTATAGCTATCTCGGCCTCCACCCACCCCACCCCCTGGCGGACATTTACCGCAGGTTTTTTTTTTTTTGTCTTTCACGGAGTCCCCGTAGAGCTCTAGGTTATAATGAGGAAACAGTATTCCCAACCCCTTTCTCTCATTCTTTCGAGGGATCAATTACCGCGAAACCTATGCTACCTCTTCAATCAAGTGGTCACAGGAAATTTTCTGGAGAGAGTTCAGTGTTTACTGTGGTCACCGGAGCGTTAACCCTTGCGGGTCACGATACGATTTACCAATCATATCAATGAAGGTGCTAGCAGATGATACTCACCATCTTTGCCGGTCGACCCCACACATTCCCGTCCCATCCTGCTGTAGAAACTCCATAGTGCCCAATACCGCAATTGCTATTCCAACTAGAAGAAAGTACACCAATAACAACAACAATAATAATCTCTTAATACCTACTACTGGGGACTTCACAAGACATGACCTAAAAGAGAACAGTAGTGGGCAAGCTTACTCCCGCTCCCCGGGACACTGGGTCGTCCTCGCTTCTTAGGCCGGGCAGGATCACGTACTAGAGCTTGACTGCTTTGGAAGTAACCGAGAGTAAAATTAGGCTCTTGGACTGGTGTTAATTGGGCGACGTTTCGGCCCCGAACTTGAACCTATCTACTTATATCTTCTTGAAAGCTTAGTATCAAGTTACCACCTTTCGGGCCTTTTCTCTTCACTTGGAAAAACATAAAGTTTAGTTGTAATGTACAGGTACAATTCCTGAAGGGGATCAATGACTGCATACACTCAAATATGATAACAAATTGCTTCCCCAACGTATATTGCTATTTCTTTGAACTCTTTTATGATACCATTGATTTTTTTTTATATTATTTTTCTCTATGGCTCTGGTACGATGTTGGGCACATACTATTTTTGTTATTTCCCCCCAGCCCGATAGATCAGGAGAAGTTTTTCCATTGTTTCTCTTGGGTTTATTTCCTTCTGTATTGTGTCTTCAATTGAAAATACATCAATTTCTCTTAATTTCCAAGCAGATAACTTATACCCTATGATACGGGGGTGGCGGCTTGTAAAGTTGATAATTCTCACAAGTTGACATCACTCCCAGCGCCTTCACCTCTCATGTTTTTGAAGAACTCTTGGCCATCAACCTCAGCATCCTGTTCCATCCCTTCAGTTTTCTTCTCTCCACCTACTGCCGCCTTACTAATTCTCTCACTGTCCCTTTCCTGCTTAAAAAACAAACCTAAAATAAAAGTTAGCAACTACAATACAACCTACATAAAGATCCACTTACCAGCCAAAAACTCCGGCGTGCTAGCTTCCTCAACCCCCTTATCCTCCCTCCTCCTCACAAATCTCGGGAACCTCAGACTCAGCCCCTTCCCCCGCCCTTCCATAAATTGCCCTGCGGCAGTATACGTCGGGCTAACTGTGATATCTGCAAATGCCACTTCCCACACTTCCCTAGGCTCAAACCAAATCGCTGGTGTCAAGCTATCGGCGACCTCATAGTATGCTCTCTTAGTCATGGATGTATTTATCCCGTCCGGTGCGAGTGTGTCTTTCATTTCAATGTAATACTTGTCCGTGAACCCGGACATGCATTTGCAGACCGCTTCGAAGGAACCGGTTTCTGGGTCGTGGAGCGCGAGGAGGATCGGCGACCACCAGGCGGCTTTTCGGCCATTGCCGTACCAGGCCGCTATCGGAACTAGATCGAGGGTGTCGGTTGCAGCAGTGTAGTCTTTTTTGACTTTTGGCCAGGACTGGAGCGGTGTCAATTCATACTAATAGAACTGGAGCGACTTGGGATTACCTCAAGACGTTTGTCTGGCTCGTACGTCGCTAATAAAGGTTTTACTCGGGAGCTCCTCTTGACAGGGGCTGCTTCTTTGCCCTTTCTGGAGCGAATTTGTTTGGATTCTAGTTCCTGTGCCCCTTCGGGTGGCCCGGAAGCTGGAGGGGTGAAGCTATTGTCAAGGATTTTTACCATTATTCCCTCACATTTTAGGTCTAACGATGAATGGAAGGAGTCCTGGATGGTATCCACGTCTTCGGAAGTGGCGTCAAGGCTTTAAACCCATGTGAAGCGGTGCGGTATCTCAGTGAACATGCTCTGCAGGAGTTCTCTGCGTTCGCGGAATGGCCGAGAGAGTAATTCCTATATCTCGTCAGCGTTGGTACGTTCACGAGGCGAACAGGACCCACTTGACCGTTCAAATACATGAGATCAAACGCAAATAGACAGACATCAACACTAATTCTTCCCACATCCACATTTTTTCTTTCTCTACCAGCTAATGTTTGGAAGTTCTTTACGAGCCCTGTCTCAGTATCCATTGCTACAACCTCTCCCTCCATGATGAAAGACTCTACACCCTCGCCACGAATATTGGGCACTAGCTGCACTAGATCTGGATACTTGCCCGTCATCAATTCCAAGTGCCTACTGAATACGGAAACCTTTCCATTATCATCACAATGTATCTGAGCCCTTTGCCCATCATACTTATACTCGCAAGTAAATTCACAACCTTTTAACTTCAAGAGCATTTCCCCCAGGTCTCGAGTGATGCTACCCAGCATTGGTTTCAGAGGGCTGTGAATGCTCGTTCCACAATTTTCCTCCAAGGAAGATATCCCACCTCTGAGTAGACCTGGTACAATGTCATTGTAATTCGGCCTCCGGGCATGGCATTGCTTAAGGAATTCCTCTGCTTTGGTAAATAACTCTTGTCTTCCCTCTTTGCTGCCAGGAATTTCCGGAGTATTCCAGTTAGCCCCCTTAGGAGCAGATAAAGAAAAGGCACGAGAGAGTGCTATTAGCATTGTAGTCTTTACGGCACCGATTCGGAGATGGCGTATTAGAGTCCTAGTGAGGTATCGGATTTCCTCGCCTTTGGCGTCGACAAGTAAGCGTTCTATGTGGCGCTGCTTGATCTCTTGAGAGCCTTTCCCCGATGCTCGGGAGATCTTAACTAGTGTTGCGTATACATTTTCAATAGCTGATTGACAGCGCATTGATCAGTTTGATCAGTTGCACATCTATCATCTTTAGAAGAGATAAGAGGGGTACAGCAGCGTACTTAGTGGGGTTGGCTTTTTCATCATCAAGGTCCTCTGTTTAACCTTCGCCTCAAAAGCGACATCCCCAGGATCACCATGTTTATTATTTAGCTTTTTAAGGGTTGCCGGGGTTATCCCGCTGGCCTTCATAATCGCTTTTGATATTATCGACCCATCAATCCCGAACTCATTCGTCTCATACGAAGGACCGATATCGTTTGTCGTTAGCCAAACCTTCGGGAATATTAGCAGGAGCGATACTCGATGTGGGAGAAATTGTTAACTGCTCACGGCCGGAAGTAGAGAGTCTGGATCAAGCCGTATCAAAATTCTTAGAAAATTCACCAGGGTATCCTTATCCTTATCCTTGACCTTGTTGAATTTACCAGGACGAATGCGTGAGTAAGGAGCGCATAAGTGGCATTCCCGCCTGGCCATTTCTGGGCTACCGTTTGGTAATTGTCAGGATCAAACTTAAGTGGGTCTTCACCGAGTGGCATCGAATCGATAGCTCTTTCTATCTCCAGAGCACCCTCTGCCGATGCCGCGATTCTCTTCGGTTCTTGCAGGATTCTGGGGGTATTTGGTTTTTGGACAGGGGTGACTGCTCGTGACGCCCGAAGAGTTGCCGCCGCTAGATTGTCTTTCCATCCCTCTTCTCCGCTGTGTGCGTGGGGACTCGAGGCTGCGCATTTTGTGCTCGGAGAGCTGCTCCTACCCCTCTTCGCTCCTGCCCTACTACTCTCCCTGTGTGTTGACGGTGTCGCATTTCTGATAGCTTTATCCTCCTGCTTCCATTCCTCCGCCAGCCTCTTTGCGTATTGCTCATCTGTAAGTGCCACTGGGCCTAGTTGGGGGTCTGGTGTCAGAACTGAGTCTAGAGCTTCCTTTTTAGTAGCTGTTTGTTTGTTGAAGAAGTGGTGAAGTGTTCTGGTTGGCTGAGTGTTGGAGAAGTTCTTCCTCTTTTTGGAAGGACTGGCCATGATTACTATCTCTAGGAGCTTGCTTCCCTTGGCTGGTAGCTGAAGTGGAAGTGGCGATTGATATGATAGCTTTACTGCCGTAGGCAATGTGGAGCTCTACATGGTAGTATTGTAGTGCTTTATTTGATGCATGAGATTTGAGAGCGGCATTGCCGACGTCACAACATGTTTTGCCAAGACTTGCATGTTTTCAGCCTCAGAGCTAACCTGGAATCAGATCGGACTCCAAACCTCTATGACTGCAATTCACGGTAATTTACCTGTATGATATACCGGCGTTTCGAGCCAATTCTTCGTGATGGAACTGTTAGGACCCAAATATCCAGGGGTGGTCTCTAGGATCCGCCTGTGCTGCTGTAGTTTACCAAGATTCTGGATAACCTAACCACCACGGTGTCATAGGTGCCAGTATCATACTGCACTAGCATAGGCGCTGTAACTTGCCGTCCACCCTAAAAAAATTATCTGCGACTCGCGCAGCAACACTCCAAGAACCGACCCCCCCCCCTCCTTCAACCGCAAGACTCACCCACCGTCCGACACTGCCTCAGCAAGACCGGGATACCCAACCACAGACCATAAAACTATCGCATGACACCGTCCACTGCGCTGGGGTCGTGGGAAAATCTTCAGCATTGGCTCTTCTCCGCTCTGTTCTCTCCCGGAGGACTCCAATCCCTTTAGAATCCTCACTTCTCCACCGGTCCTTCTCCTGCTTTGCATTCTTAAAAATGAAGGCCGAATGCACAGTTGTAACCACTCCCACCTCCGATACTCCCGGGACATGCATTCTACTCCACTTTGACGCCAAACGCTACCTTCTCGGTCATATCGGGGAAGGAGCTCAGCGGGCGTTTATCGAACGGACAATAAGACTTACCAAGATATCCGACATCTTTCTCTCTGGCCGTACAGAATGGAAAACTACTGGTGGATTGGTTGGACTTATATTAACTATGGCGGATCAGGATGCGGCGAAACTTTCAGATAGCCTTAACAATCCTCGAGGGGCAGCAAAGAAGAGAAAAAGTCCTAAGCGAAAAGGAATTACGGTTCACGGTGGGGAGAATCTACTACATATGCTTGCCACTACACGGCCGTTTGTTTTCAGGAGAGCGATGAACCTAAGGTTGAGTGAGGTTCCAGTGGTCAAGAATGTTCAGGGTAGGAAGGAGCAAGCTGTCGGGGCACCATACTTCAGGGATGAAAATCTGATTGTCCATGCTATGCAAATCCACTCGGAGGAGGGCCTCAAGGAACCGGATGAAGAGGTCGAGGCAGGGAGCCCGTCGGAGGTGGAGAAGGTTGATGTTGGGGCTGCTAGGAAGCGCTCCTTCGCTGATTTTACCAACCTTGAGAAACAACGGGATACAATTCTCCGTAGTGTGGTAGAGAACATGTTTTGTTCTGACTGGAGCATGGACACAATGATTGAAGGAGATCCACTTGACGCTCCCGAGCCTTCTGCTGATACTCTTGCCGAATCGCTGCCTGCACCTTCACGTCCTGATATGAGTAGAAGCAGAAGCACCAGCCCGCCAAAACGGCCAAAGCCTACTCCGGAACGAGACCCAAATCTCTCAACAACCCTCCCACCATTGGGAAAGACGAGAGCACCTTGGCCAGCGTCAACTATTCGCTCACTCCCACGGTCGCGTCCCACCCGTATTGCTCTGTCATATATTGTAACACTACATCCTCAGCGTGGTAAATTCCTTCCCACCAAGGCCATGGAGCTAGGTGTCACTCCCGGCCCAGACTTCAGCCGATTGACAGCAGGCCAAGCAATCACGACTCCTAGCGGAAACGTCGTACAGCCTGCCGATGTGATGGAACCAATGAAGCCTGGAACCGGTGTTGCTGTTTGTGACTTACCGGACACGAGCTACGTCAAAGATTTTCTCGCAAGAGAGGAGTGGGAAAATACTGAGAAGGTTAGAACCGAAGTCGGATGTTTCTTCTGGATCCTCGGGCCCGGAGTCTCTGCAGATGAGAGACTCCGGAGTTTCATGAAGCAAATGGAGCATTCCAAACACATTGTCAGTGCTCCGGACGTCTGCCCTAACGCAATCACATTCAAAGGGGGCGCGAAATCGTCTACAAAGTTGAATTTGCTGGATGAGGGTTTCTTTCCCGTGCCTTATTTCACTGATGGGGCACCCTCCCAGGTGGACGAATTTATGGAACCTGCGAAGCCTGGAATGGTCTTCAGAATTGAGCCAAGGTGGGAATTTGACACTGAAGCCATCGAATCTCCTTTTAGTAGGGATGCTATCTTGCTGGAAACAGAGCCCGCGTACATCGAGTTAGCAAAGGTAGCTCGCGAAGGCAATGTTAAGAATCCCGGGGATGATTCTCCATGGAAAGATGTAGAAGTTATTACCTTGGGCACTGGCTCGGCACTCCCGAGCAAATACCGCAACGTTTCTGCAACTCTTGTTAAGGTTCCTGGGGCCGGTAGTATTCTGTTGGATGCAGGCGAAAATACCTTAGGACAGCTTCGCAGACTGTACGGTCCCACGGAGCTCAAAACAGCCCTAAGGGATTTAAAAGCACTCTATATTTCTCACCTCCATGCCGATCATCACCTTGGCACCGTAGCGGTCTTAAAAGCGCGGTACAATGAGGTTTACTCATCCGACATGTGTGAAGCGAACCAACTGATAAACATTGTTGCTCCCTGTAAGTTCCTTGTCTGGCTCCGAGAATATGCCGATGTGGAAGAATTTGGTTTTTCCAAAATCCGATTCATCAGTTGCGAGGACCTCCTCAAGAAGAACCAAGGTTCGCCTCGTAATATCGCCGCTCATCTTCTTACTGAGGTCCTTGATTCCCTATCCATGGCCTCAATTCAAATCTCTCGAGCAGTTCACTGTCTGGACTCTTTCACTACTTCCTGGACCTGGAAAAATGGCTTCAAAATTGCTTACTCGGGGGATACTCGTCCTACGGAGGGCTTTGTTGAAATCGGCCAGAACTCAATAGTCCTTCTTCACGAAGCAACGTTCGACGACGAGCTCCTTCCAGAAGCAATTGCCAAGAAACACTCTACCACCAGCGAAGCTATCAACGCAGGAAAGGAGATGGGCGCGAAAAACATCATTCTCACGCATTTCAGTCAACGGTACCCGAAGTTGCCGATTTTGAGTGCTGCGGAGGAGGGCGGGCCGGAAGTGCTTGTCGCGTTTGATCTTTGTAGGGTCAGGCTTGGAGATGTGAAGAGGTTCGGGACTTTTCTACCTGCGTTGAGGGAGTTGTATGAGGAGGCCGAGGAGGAGAAAATTGAGGGGGAGGAGGGGGGGGAGGGGGAGGAGGAGGAACCGGCGGCTGAAGAGAAGAAGAGGAAGGGCAAAGTGGGTAAAGCTGGGGGAAATAAACCTGAGGGAAATAAGCCCGAGAAGAAGAGCAAAAAGAGAGAATAAGGCGGTGGTTATTGACTCTCGCTCCCTCTCGTGAGTAAATAAATAGAATGTGTGTAACCTGTCGAAATACATTATTCTAGAACTAGTAAATATAGCACTCTATACATAGGTGGAAACTAAAAGTTTGCATACCTGCCGCAATAATGATTTCTACGCCTATCTTAATGGAATAGCATGGCTCAGAGTGTATTGGGAGTTGGGGGGTATCGGGATGGAAAACGTCAGCAGGGACGGTGGAGATCCGGGATATCCCCTTCTCAAACTCTCCATGGTGAAGTTCTCCCGTTTTTGGTTGAGTAGATACAGACTCGAATATAGCAGCAAGTAGTAGCTTTATTCACACAATCAATTAATTATACAGTGTTCACCTTGTCCAATGCGGGGGAAAAAAGAAAAAAACGTCTACCCCCATAATCAATCACACAATCGCCCCATTTAGTGACTAAGTTAGCGATTATTTTATTCATCACGTCAATCAGCCCATTGCTCATATCCCACAGCCCCTCTGCATACACACATGAGAACCATTGGTGGCATTCCCGTGCAGCCTCTCCTGTGAAGGGCTCTTTTTGACATTGCTCTGTCATGAAGATTTGTTTTAATTTCCGCGCTTTGCATAAGCACGAGAAGATTCACATCTGAGTCTAGGATCCGTGCCATTTAGTGTGCATATAAATTTAGACTGCGAACTGGATAGTGTGTCCTACTTATTTTTCCTGTGGATGATGATGCACCTGCAGTGGGGAGGCTCAAGAAAATTTTCAGTATGATAGAGAATTTGTTGCTGTAGACCTGTGGTGTAGGGTATGTATGATGTGATATAGGCATTTACTGCTCGCCGATAAAAAATATAGGAATTCCACCTTCGCTCATGGTGGGTGAAGCGTAGTTCCGAATAGCGTGTAGGTAAAGGACGGGGACAGACTTTTTTTTGTTTTGTTTTGGTGAGTAAAAGTTCACGAGGATAAAGTGCAGTATCATAATTACGATACTCGAAATATATGATACCCCAATATTGGCCTGGCGCCCCTCTCCACCGGCGGTCCGACTCTCACCAGTTCCTACGGCAACCTTCATAGTGCCCACCCCTTTAAAAAAGCTACCGGTGCTCAACAAGGGTAACGGTCAGAGGAAGAAAAAAAGTATGCAAGTCCGATCTTCGAGTGACTGCCCATGAACATTACTCTCCTGCCGACGAAGCTTCCACCACCACCGCCAACCCTTCACACCTCTCCTAGAGCCCCACCAATCCCACCTCGGTCTGACCACTCCGGAAGGAGATAGCTTACGCTGCTGGTATCATAATATTATCATAACAAAAATCACCGGTGGAAGTGCGTTTTACGCCCAAAGCAGCCACGTTAACATTATATAACACCACCCGTATCCCCACCGATAAAAAATCCACAATTTAACTGTATACCCAAGAGGATACCTTAAGTTTTTTTCCTCCCAAGTTGTCGTCACAGGTGGGTACCGGTATCTCGTTCCCCGGGATGCCGTTGACCAAAGAGCAAAAGTGACATTGGGGGCTTGGCGCGTTTTAGTATAGGAAACTGTGTTTTTTTGGGGCCATTTTTAGAGTAATTTGAGCTGATAAAATATCAATTTGTCTTTGCTAGACCTAAACTTTTGTGTATGAAAAGTCGGCATAGTTCTGAAACCTGTAAGTTTTGTTTTTTTGCTTTCCTTGGGTAACATGGGGAGAAAATTCAACTACGTTACTGTGGGGGAGAAAGCTTTTTAGAAAGTGTACAGTATAATATTATTATTATAAGGGTGGTCCTCATCCCTCTCCTCCGTTTTCCTGCTGACGGAACAGCGAACACAATGGACGGACATGAGGACAACTGACATGTTAGACGGAGACAACTAACACGAGATTTTTTTTTTTGACCGGTGAATAAACACATACGAAACTCACATTTTGCAATCGGAGACAAAACACCCGCCGAAGGAATAGTATTTTCTCGACGCAGTATAACTCGGGTAAGCCAAAACTGGTAGATCTCATTAACAGATATTCGCTGTTAACCCAACTTGCTAAGCCTATTGTGGTTTAGTGTGTGTTGATTCAGCCAACGACAAGCGAGCAAAGTCCCCGATCTCAAGATAGCACGTGAGAAAGGAAAGGAGTACCAGAATAGCTTCAACGTCAACGAGGGCACGACAATCGAAGGGGAACATTGGGAAAGAATGGCACCAGGGGCTTCTACTGCACCACTTGTGTGGATTGATTGTGAGGTACGTGGAGGGGATGGGATGGGATGGAATTGGAGAGAATTCGTCGTGGGGGGCTAATTTACTTTTTTTTTATACTCTGTTTGATAGATGACAGGACTAGATCCTAACGAGGATGTCATATTGCAAATATGCTGCTACATCACGGATCACGAATTGAACCTTCTGGATGAGGAGGGGCACGAGACGGTTATCCACTATGAGAAGGAGGTTTTGGTCAAGATGGATGATTGGTGTCAGAAAACACACTCTTCTGTAACCCTCCCCCTCCCCCTCCCCTCACCTAGCTAACGCCTCCAAAAGACAGGCCTCATATCCCGCGTCCTGGAATCAGCCGTGACCGTCACCCAGGCAACAGAGGGGCTCCTCGCGTACATCAAGAAGCATGTCCCGGAAAAAGGAATCGCCTTCCTTGCCGGGAATTCGGTCCATTACGACCGTGTTTTCCTGGCGCGCTATTATCCCTCCGTTGTAGAGCACCTGCATCACAGGATTATAGACGTCTCGACGGTGAAGGAGGCAGTGAAAATGTGGTGCTCTGAGGAGGTGTATGGGAGGGTTCCTGAGAAGAAATCGCTTCATGAGGCGAGGATGGATATTTTGGAGAGTATCGAGGAATTGAGGTATTATAAGAGAGTAGTTTTTGACGGGAAGTAGAGGGAGGTGGGATTGGGTGTGTTGAAGGATTGAGGAGTCGGATTGCTGAGAGGGGATCTGGGAGTTGGTGCGGACCGTGTGGTGGCTCGAATGCCTGCTTGCTTGCTTGTGCTCATCCACGAATGCGCATTTTTGCTCCCTGTAGTATATGCTTGGTGTTTCTTCGAATTGAGAACGACACCAAGGAAGCGCTATTACATCCGGTATCATTTCTCATGTTGGAAGCTAGATATTTACCCACCTAGAAACAGAAATCCTCGCCCCTGTCCCTCCAACCCTTGGGGTTTTGCACGAATTACGCAGAACGCACCAGAACACAGGGAAGGAACATATCTACCTTAGTATTAAATCTCACTCACCCACTTTACCTTAGCCATCGGGTTCTGGCTTGTGCTTCAATTGATATCATAATATTATCATATATAGGATGTAAGGAAAAAAAAAGAAAGGAACCCCCCGATCTCATCACCAAATCTCACTCGAGGAGACTCTGAACTTATTCCGGGTACTGCAAAATGCGTCTTTCAATCTATCATAACTGGGTTGTTGATGGTAGACGTGATTTTGAAGAAAGGCAATGATAGTGGCTTGGGGTGGTGGATTTTTTTTACCGCAGGTTTCCGCTGGAGACTAATGGGAAATCCCCCTCTCTGGATACATAATAATATTATATATAGGACAAACGATTTTGACCGGTCTGGGATAAAGCGATAATATTATATTCCAGTTCTACCCCGAAAAGGAAACATTGTTGTATAATTTCATGTTGAGCCACAATATCGAGCCACAAAACGTCGTGTTGAGCCACACACAACCTTGGCACTACCAACAGCACTCACATGGAAAAAAAAAAAAAAAAAAAAAAAAACACCAATTCCTCATCTCCACCAACCCATTCATTCATTAATCCATCCAACCTCCCCCCCCACACCTTCCTTCCTCCCTCCCTCACCCATCAATCCATCCATCCGACCCAACAAAAAGACTTATCATACCATAAAAACCCATTACTCAAGAACCCTGGACTGACCGACCGACCTGGTCCCCCCCCCCCCACGAAAAGACTCCAGCGAGCGAACGAGCGAGCCCAACGGGTTATGATATTATTATTATTATAAATAAAAACTCCACCCATAGTTATCAACGCCTTGCGACGAAATTATCCATACCGTGACAAACCAGAGTTCACGGTATTGTAATGTGAACAAGGGTTCTCTCTCTCTCTCTCTCTCTCTCTCTCTCTCTCTTCCCCCCTCCAAACACGTGCCTGGAATGAAAATGTGCCAGTAAGTTTTCAAATAAAAATAAAAAGAGACCGCCGCCACGTGTAATTTAAACTTCTACGATAAGGTACTCGAGTATCATAAGTTAAGGTAAGGTAAGGATATGATATGACTGCGGTCACCCCTCCCACGTTATTCATGACTGTTCCGCACGAAAGGCGCACGCGTGCACACACAACGCGAGAGTGAATGGATGGATGGATGGGTCGATCAATTTCCCTATCCGTAGTCCAAGGCAATTTTTCCGCCCACCCCCGAATCCAGGATGTTGTATTCGAGGCCCTGTAGACTAGGGAATGGAGGAAGGAGCAGGGAGAATGAAGGAGGAGAGCCTCCTATGCTATGATGAACCCTTTTGTTTGTTTATCTGCTTGTCTGTTTGTATGTTCACCTGCTTTCTTGCTTGTCTACTGGCCTATCTGTACTCGTACCCGAGGACGGACCGCCCCACATTCGCGGTAGCTGTGCGTCAAGTAATTATGATAATACATTGATTTCCCAGGAGTGCTAACACCAGGAATGAAGTTATTTCCCCCCTTCCCCTCCCTCTCTCTCGCTCAATCCTTTCCGTCAGCCAATCCCATCTCGCCTTATCCGCCCGCACTCGAGCTTGAGGATAAAATGGTAAAAATAAAAGTAAAAAGTAAAAAGAAAAAAAGGAAGGCAACGGAAAAAAAACACAATGACGAAATGAGGCACGGGGGAAGGAACATGACAAAAAAGAAAAAGGGAAAGGAAACAAAAGAGAGAAGACCAAAATACCCGATTACCAGAATCCCCCCCCATCCATCATGACAATAATTATGAAAGCCAAAATCAAAAAGAGACTAATACCCTGAAAATAACCCAAACAAGGAAAATTCAAGCTCCGGTAGAAACGAGACGGAAATGGAAAAAGGAAATCACAAACACCGAACCTAGAATGGTGAAAAATAAAATCAGAAATCGGACGAGAAAAAATGTGTAATTCCCACCCGTGCCGTACCATACCCAGCCCGCATCCGACCTATGCTCTCCACCCCGTCACATCCCAACTTTATTTTCCTTACTCGAACCGCACCGCGCGCCCGTCTCGGTAGTTTCGAAATGTGGCTATCGCTTTCCCTTCTTCCCGCTCGCTGTGGTGGTGACGGAAAATGTGGCCAAAAAACCCCCCACCCCGGCCGCCGATTCTGCTTTTTCCTCTCGCGCGAAAGGGGGGAAGGAAGATGCACGGACACGCGTAGCACCGTGTATAAGTTCCAACACAGAAAAGGAGAAAAGAAAAGAAAGGTGGATCATTTCCAAGCTAATGGTAGAACGCCCCGAGACTTCTTTTGTAACTAAGGAAAACGAAAGCAAAAGAGAGCAGGGATCAACAGTATGGGTAAGAGACGCGAAGAAACGGTTTGGTCTGAATGACAATTGATTAGCTCAAGCCGGTTTGGTTCGTAGGGCAGCCGTCCAGGCCATTGTTAAAATGTATTTAAGATGAGGATTTGAGAGCGGAAAAAGGTAGAGGGAGGAAAGCAAATCGAGTAACTTGCTCCAGCAAGTATCCAGGTGTATCGGTCGGGGGTCTAGTATTATCCACCCCTCAAAAAAGCAGCCCCCCAGGCCCGGGGAAAGGAGAGGGGGAAAGCTGCCCGAACATTCCCCTAATCATGACATAAGAAAGAAAGGGAAACCATATACCCCAGCTTGAACCATTGAAAAGGAAAAAGTTATGATCAACTACAATCAACACCTTTCGATGCCTTGCATCCGCCCTGACCCGCCAGCATTGTGCCCAGAATGATGGCTCTGTTGATGGTAGCTTGATTGCTGTTGGTGATAGTTCTGTTGGGCCGGGACGTGCACACTCAATCGGAGCGTTTCAAGCTCATTCCGCACCGCATGGTAGTTCTGGGCCTCGTTACGAAGGGTCTCGAGTTCGCGCTGCATACTTTCATGGTTACGCATCATAGTATCCTGGGACTGTTTCATCTGGTTGATGTATTCGATAGCTAAACCCGTGAGCATCCTCGAATAGTAGCATGAATAGCCAAGAATTGTAACCTACCTTTGGTCAAGACCTCCCATTTGCTACTCTTCCCGCCCCTCTCGGCAGGCAACTGATCCCTCAGCTCGTCAAACAAATCCTTCATCTCCTTCCTCCGCTTCCTCTCTGCAAGCTTGTGGCTTACTCGTAACTCCGGTGTCCGAGAGTAAGGGGTGACCGGAGGAGATGCCGAATCCCCGCTAGCTCCAGCACTTGGTTTCCTGGTCTGCAGGTGGTGGTGGTGGTGCTGGTTCCCGTTTGCGGCTTGGGCATGCTGACCTCCCGAAAAGTTACCATTCCCATTGTCAGCAAGATTAGGATGTAACAACCCAGAATTAGTACTGTATATGCTGCTTGCCGTAGACCCAACCAGGCTGCTGGTGCTGTTCCTTCCGGGTATCCCGTCTCGGCTGCTCCTCGAAGGGGGGCCGGCAAAATCTGGGTCGGGAAATGCATATGGGTAACCCTTAGTCGGAGATGGCGCATTAGGGTGAGGGTGGGGTCCATTGATATACGGAAACCTTGGTGCCCCAATAATCGGAGGCGCTACCCTTGTCGGACCGTTCGACTTGTGTGATGGGGTGTATCCATTGCTGGAATCCGTGGTCGAAGTATACCTACGAGCAATCCCACCATACGGACCACTGGTTGAAGAACCATTGGTGTCGCCATTTTCCGCACGGTGCGATGCAGGCGAATTGCTGTGTATTCCCCTCTCACGCTGCAGTGTGCTCGCGAGACTGACCTGGCTTACAGCTGGTGTTCCGTTAACGGGTGACGACAAATTCAAATTTCCCAGGCGACTGTCAAAGCTGCTTCGACGAGAAGCTGACGGTGACGGAGCTGGTAATACGTCGGTTGCCTGGTATACACCTGCGGGCGGAGTGGTGTGAAGGCTAGTAGTCGAGGCAGCAAATGTGCTGCTCGTTGGAGAGTGATTGTAGCTAAAGGGAGGGTTGCTCGTGTCTTGTGCGTGTTGGCGTGTCGACCCGTGTTGCTCAATTGGGGGAAGAGTCAATTGAGGCGAGAACGATGATTCAGAAACTTCTGTTTTGTTAGTACATTATGTTCCAGTCGCGCACGAACCACCTTAGCCCCGCGATAGGAGAGGGTTGACCGCATCGATAGACAAAACGAGCTCCAAGAGAGAAAGAAGAAAAACTCGAGAAAAAACCCGAGAAAAAGGATGGTAAGAGATACTTACTATTGCTCGCTCGCGCAGAATTCATAGACCAGTTCCCCGAATCTCTCAAATCACCAGACTGTTGGTTTAACGGAGGAGAGTGACCGTGCACTGAATTAGGTTTGCTGACCGTAGGGCCATTGGTGATGTTGGCCAGCGAAGGTAAAGTTGTTGTAGGCACACTGCCTGAAGAAGATTGTCGTCGATCCCACGGCATACCTGCACTATCCATACCGCAGAAGAGGACGGGTAGGAGAATAATAGTAATGAACGAACACAGTGGAGGGTGTCAAAGTGGTTTTATAAAGTGATTGAAGGTCTTGTGGCGCGGACAGGAACCAAGGTGAGGTTTCGTTGGGTTCCGTTTTAGAGCGGATTGGTTGTTCACTAAAGAGGTTGAGGGAAGAGGGGGGGGGGGACCTGGACCTTTTGACGAGGAGGGTCCTGGTTGCACGAGGCAACTTAACCAGACAGTTAAAAATCGAGTTTCTTAGCACGCTGAAGCTAGACCCCGCGAGAGACAGGCGGCGACACCCTTCGGCGCTTTTCTTAACAGGGCAGATGAACGCTGGCCGTCTATTGATGGCTAAGATCGACAGCTGATGGTGCGGTATGTTCGACAAGATAGCAGAAATAAAAGAGCTTGTGAGTGAGAGCAAAGGAAGGTAATACTCTTTCCCGAAGTTGCGCAGGGTAGAAAAGCTAGCGAGAAGAGAAGGCAGGCGACGGGCAGATAAATTTGCGAGCGAGAGGTAAAGAGGGAAAAGTCAGTCCAGCGAGAGAAAGAGAAAGAGAGGGAGGGAGGGAGAGGGAGGGAGGGTGTGGGATTGAATTCCCTGTGTTCAGCACAGTGGAAAACAGTGGCTCTGAGGGCTGCTGCTAATACTCCGGAACCGAGGAGCTGGTCGCTGCGCTCTCAGGCCTCTGTCACACTCGCCGGAGATCTTGCGAAATAGAGTGTGTGTGGTCGAGAGGTAAAAAAGAAAAAATGGAAGAATGGGGAATGGGACTCCAGCGCCGGGGGGGGTTGGATATGGTTGCGATTGTGGCGGGAAGGTAAAGTAAAGTTGAGCAAAAAGGAAAGGGGAAGAAAAAAACAATGCTAAAGCTCCAGCTCCTTCGGCCTTTTTTGCGACTTCTTTGGATCGCTTGCGGTTATGGGAGGGACGGCTCTCAGGGCCTTCTTTTCGGCTTTTGGCAGGGGAACGATAAAGAAGGTGAAGAAGTAATGGTATGATAGCAGATATGAGGGAAGGTTGATTCGAGGCGTGGAGGCCTCAAGATAAAAAAGAAGGAAAAAAATATGTTGTCTGATATGATGTTCGTGGGGCGTCTTGTATTATTTATTTAGTCTTGGTTTCTTTGACCAAGCGAGAGATAAATGGTGCTATGGATACTACCGGTATGGTATGAAAGAGGGCATAGAGGGACTAGACGGGGGTAGGAAAAAAAGGTACCGTAAAATGGTATTGTGTACTGTACAGCAGGTGCGAGCTATGCACCCTACTGTGTAGATATATATATATATATATATAGGAGATATCCCAGATGGATGCCTGCGCAAAAGATGGGTGGAAACTACGAATATTAATAAGAGCGAGTAGAACACGGTGCTGTAGAGGTAGAGGTAGAGGGAGGATGGTACGGTACTCGAGCAGCGAGTGCGTGAA